CAAAGAGGCCGATCGAATACGTCAATGATTTATTTTTACCATGGAAGCGATTTATACGTGTGGAAAGCGACCACGTCGCGCGTATCGTAATAGGAACGTAAAAATAAAATCGCCGGGAGTACGCGTTTTCCCTGTACTATCAGCTATAGCCGTTGACGTCGTATAATGAGCAACGTTGTGAAATTGCTCCCGAGCCTGACGTCTGAGAAGCCGGCGGTGCAGGACGTGTGCAAGCGAAAGCACCCGCGAAAGGATAACGCAATCGAGCGACCCACTTTCAGGTCAGGTGCATTTTCATCACAATCAAGCACAATTTTCTTCGAGAAAGCAATAAATTTTAATCAGGAATATTAAGATCCTACTTTTTTATCCATTTATAATGCATGTGAGAGATATAAGCATGATGTGTGTGTATGATTATCAAATTCGTCACCCAGCATTGTGTGTGGCAATGACGTCACGCGAAGCATTGGAGACAATTTGTCGTTTCCTGTAATTTTCGACCGTCCAGCCACACATAGATCATCCATTCAGCAGTTTGACCATATAATGACGGCATGCACGATTACCAAACTGTGGTTCCGTAACCCGCTATCACTCGGTGCCGAAACAGCACTTATCGTGCTCTTCGTCAACTTCTGGGCATGAGTATACAAATAAATTTATTACGCTCCGCTCGCGAATTGCAGCCATCGCTAAAGTCCTAATGGACGGAAAGAAATACGCAAGGCACACACATTCACGCAGTTGTAGCCCTGAGGCTTAATTTCATGCGCGTGTCGGCGGATTTTGCGCGTGATGAACATAAAAAACGCTTCGAGAACGAGCTTAATTTTTTGATTGCGTCCCACAAAATTTTTTATCAACCACGATGTATTACTTCCAACAGACGTAAGTTTAATTTAATAACTGCAATTTTAATAATTGTGTATTTATAATTAAATTCTCAATTTAAGTAAAGCTTATTAAAAATATGTTTCGAAAATTAAACTTTAATTGATCATAGAGCAGAATTTAATACACAGTCCGAATGATTTTTTATATTTCAATTTTCGAGTAATAACTCAGTAACTACGTACCTTATTTTCTAGCACCACCAAGATATAATAAAATTAATAAAACGGTATCACTTTCATAATAAGTATTAATATGCTAGTTAGTTGATGTGCCGTACTTCAATTAATGAGTGCCCGTTATTTGAAAATCATTTATTTATCGCATAGAACACCGTCGCGTGATACGTTACGAGTTGTAATTTAATGTTTTAAATACTAATTAGTTAATTCATCGCCACAGCCACCAACATAATACCCCAACAGTGTAAATAGTATTGACACTAATTGATGACTACGCGTTATACGTGCAGTTACCGATGACAAACACGTCGAAATTTCGTGTTTCAATGCGAACAAAATTCAACTGAATCGAAAATATACATGAGTGAAAAAATACTAAAAACAAGTTCTGAATACGTCTTCAGAATGCACGTAACATCCTAATAGTTATAATAACTGGGCGGTGCTTTCAATCATTAATTCAGTAATTTATAATTTAAATTGGAACCTGTACTGCACGAAGCAACGACCACAAAAAACAATAAATAAATAATTTCAAAGGAGTTGCATCCGAAAATCTCTTCCGAAAGATTTCTGAGCGATTTTAGTCAAAGTGCGATGTTCAATTATAAATCGATATCAATATATTATTCAAATTATTTTCTTAAGAAGGCGGACCAAAGTTCATAATTTTTGTTCGAAACGACTTGTTTCTTTGAGAAGAGTAAACACGCCGACCTAATATCGTCAAGAAGTTTACCCTCCAACTCCGCCAGCTTACTGTCCAGCAGGCGTATTTTCCGAACGTCGCCAGTACAAAGTTACCTAACAGCAGAAGTCTACGCGTTTTTTATACGCTCCCAAGCGTGCAACATACATTCTAACAAATACGCCAATACTGCCGCCACCGGAGGAGGCGTGTTATTCAATCGCATCACTTCAGCAACCCGTCCGCCCGGGTTCGATACTTATTTTATAACGGCTGCCGGCGTATTGATTTCCTAATGAATAATTTCTAGCCTGGCGACAACTAACGGGGTGTACACGCCGCACGCGAGCCTTTTAATAGCCCGCGTCGTATGCATAAATGCATAATAAAATTCCATGCGCCCCTTGTTTCCTATAAAAGCATCATTGTACGAATTCGACACAATCGTTAACGTTTCTATTTTTAACCTCTGATATTATTTGCATACTGAACGTAATGATAAAACACGCACACATGCATTTTATATATATAATAATAAAACAATCGTTTTTCTTTCTACTTGTGCGACATTGCGTAAGTAAAGTATGTAGTAAGTTAATTCTATGTATATAATAGGATTTTCAGGATGGATTGTTACTTAGTTGCATCTATGGTTTCGGATTTTACGGATTTTAGTAGCACCCTTATATGCAATTAAAGGAAAACTGCTCTGATGACAATTTTTCCGATTATTCATTCATTTGCGAAGGAGGTATGCGTGTAAGTTCGAAAAGATACTTGATACCTTCGTATTCAACATCTGGATGAAAAACACGTATAAATTTAGTTTTTGCATCAATTTTTTACCATTCAATATTCACTATTCCTTATTAACCAATTTCCAACTCGTCCCCGCATGTCCTCATGGCAAGTATCAATGCCCCCAACGCAAAGTCGCACGCCTAGCCCAACCGCAGATATTCCGTATATATCCACATTTCGTGTGCAAACGAGCTATCGCCACCCTTCGCCATCGTGCCGCCGAGCGCGGGTAGCTAGAGAGTTTGACCTCGTTCGGCGGCGGCAACGCTTGCTTCCTGCGAGCGTCACCGCCGCCATGCTTGGCGTTGCGCTGCAATCAATACCACAGTGCACCCCTGCCGGGCGGCAAAATAGGCGCGCCCTTCGTGAGCACGAAGCGCGCACGCTTTCCTTCCATTTTCAGGTCGCTGGCGCGCTTGCTGGCTGGCGGTGGAGCTCCGCGTTCCCCACATGCATGACGATGCCATCGCTAACCACCGCGCAGCGTTCGACCGACAGCACACATAGACGTAAGGCCGGAAATCTACACATGGCGCAAACAAACCCAAAAGTGCTCACATAATCAAACTTTGTCCACTTGCATAGCGATGCCAACAGACTGAGATGTTACTCGGGCTAAAGTATTCAATTTAAGAATAAAAAATATTCCTGTAAATACCTACTAGAAATATAAATCATGAAGTAGTACCTACTCTATAAAAGTATCTAAAAAGTATCCGGGAGTTTGCACACGCAAAATATCTTCCTGACTCGCATCAATGTAAATAAGATATCACACTCCCATGCCTGATCTACTTCAGCTAACCACGATACTGCGCTGAAGCGTTTGAAACCTACCGCAGAAAAACGATATGGCACACGATAGGCTGACTAAAGTGTGCGCTCACCCAAACTAGAAGTTTTAGGACACAAGTGTTTGAGTGTCGTAACAGTCACACGGGCGGCACGACCGTCCTTGTGTACCTGCCACCCCTGCAACTAAAACTATCATCCACGTATGCACGCAAGTAATGCAGAATCAAACGAGTAACCACAAATGTAGTAAGATGGTTGTCTGTAGAGTGACAGAAAAAGAAAACAACAAATTACATTCGCGGCTTTTCATAAATCGATATCACAAAAATCCACACGCTGGAATCGAAGAGTGTACCTTCTCGAAGATAAATCCAATTTCTTTGTACTTCGACCTTTTATACGAGTGACGAATTCAATTTTAGTCTTGTTCGTGCGCACCATTCTCACATTGATTATTGAATTAACAATTAATTACTTCATTATGTCGATATAAATTTTCTTGACACCCCTCCCCATAAATGAGTTTTTTTTTATATTCTCATGAATCGACCTGGCAATCAAGGATACGCTAACATGGTTTAATGAATAATGGGCGCGTGAAAAAACTTTTTGCCAATAGCATTAATTGTGTATTCTGTGTGCGCCGTGTTCACCTACTAATTATAATGGACATTGTTTAAGTATCGATTTAAGCCAATATTTAAATCGTTAATCCGATCAAAGTTAAATCAGCCATTTTCATTCTTAAACTTGCAGATAATTCAATTACAGATTAAATTTTAATGACAATGTAGAAAGATTGTGGTAACAAAGAAGAAAAGTAAGACAAGGAAAACCGCAATACCATTAAATGTATAAAATGAAATCCACATCGTAATATAGAGCGTCTTTCTGCGCATCCGCAGCCCGAATTGAAAAAAATGTTATTCCAAAAGAAACAACATTAACAAGATAAAATAATTCAATTTGCTGTTATCGACAAACAAGTGCCAAACAAAAATTAACATTCCTTACACACTTAAACACTTGCAATAAATCATCCACGTCCCACGTCCAAAAAGGACCAAAGTGGGCACAGACACGAATGTGAATGGTGCAAAACATTCTATCTACAATCTGACCGACATATACAATATATAGAAGTAATCGTCAATATCCCTTGCTCGTTTGCGCTTCGTTCATATCAATTTACGAATACACCGCCAGCCGCTTATCGAAACGGGAGACGTGCGCACGCGTGTGCACTGCGCGCAGATTAGAAAAGTATATCACCACCGCACATGATATATGCGATTACGCAACGCCAAGGACGTTTAATAAATGCTGAATGGGTTTCTAAGAGTGTTTGTGAGTGTTACTTCCAGGCACAGTTTTACGAATTACGTTGATGTTGTTTTAAGTGCGTCGGATTATGCGAACGTATTGCTAAATCGCACCTATTGTGGATAAATATCACCCTAGCAATATACAGATTTCTATAATAATCAGCATCTTATTGATTATAACTAGACTAAATTCTTGAAAAAAACAGTTTCACACTTATTTAAAATGTATCTATAAAATAAAATGAAGTGAATCACTAATATTGGCTGCAAACTTTAGTCGTTATTACCACAAAGTCATTAAAATTAGCAACTTACATCATCATCGGCCGAATTTCCAACCGAATCCATGACTTGCTTCCAAAACACTCGACGCGCACCACTCACTCAAGAAACAGCTTAATCTTCCCCAGTAAAGTCTTCAACAACCAGTGGTCTGTACGTTTAACCTGGTTGTTGGTATTAATCGTCAATAAAATAAATAGTTAAATATGTAGGTACTACTACGACAGGAATGTCTTAAGACGTCCAAGCACCATCTGAGACTGTCACGCTGGACGCGGAGACATATGCTAGGACGGCTCGGTGGCTGTCGACTGAAAGACTAGCCGCTGGCCGAACGAGCGTTGTCAAAAGAGCGCCGATTATGCTCCCCTGTAGCTAGATATGCCAAACGATATCGTTGCACAGCATAGCATCTCATCAACGCACCAACCGCGAGGCTTTTAATGCAATTGATACCACACACTACACAACAGAAACGCGCGTAGGCATACGCGCATGGTGATATTATATGCCCACCAACAAAACGAATAAAAAACTAATTGTGCGTCAATTATCTTAGCATCAAGCCTATTACATCTAGTTGCGACGATGTAAATGTCATTGTTGGCACTTTTCGACACTTTTATCCCCAGAGGATAGTTGATGTGAGCGTTGAAACTTCCAGATTAATGGAAGAAGAACGACAGGTTCAATAATTTGATTGACTTTTACGCGAAACACTTTTCGCTGACGGGTGACAAAGAGACACTTAAACGACTGTCAAACGCGACGAATCGGACGTTACTAATGTGCGCCTCGGATCAATCAGTCATTACCGTGTTTTGTTCGGCCGCGAGAAAAATCAGCGAATGATAATTTTGTCGCGTGGATAACCTTTCGACACCATCTTCGACACATACTTGCACAGTGGCCATGTGCTAAGTCAAGATTAAAGTTAACAAGTTCAATAAATGAATATAGTGACGTTCGACTTCATTTCACTCCGCAGCAAAAGTTATCGGTAAAGCATTCGGAAAACATCGTACAGAAATTATCAGTAAACAATTCGGAAAATAATTTTTGAAGCATATTTTGGGATAAATCCGAGATTGAAAGAAAAAAACATTTAAAGACACTATGAATTTTTTTATTTCTTCCCTTTGCATAATGCGTGTTTTCCAAATTCGAAGGCCGCAAAAATGTTACAGGCGTCGGCCGACCGTCTCTAGAGTTACTGCTGTCTCCTCCCAATCCCGGCCAGATTTCCCCCTGGTCATAACTACGTAACTCTAAACACAAATTTTATACATTCGCACATCCTGTGTTGAATCCTGCATATTTGCCCTTACTTTTATTTATTACTCTCTAATATTTGCTTTGCAGGTGTGCAATCAAAATAAATATTTCATTTGTAAAATTGATTTGTAAAATTTCATTAAAATGTTATTAATATTAATTCGGTGATATTTATAGCAAACATTTAGTATACTTTGAGGGAATAAACGAATGTAAGCGACGTGCACGTAGCCCAAAGGCGTAATTTTGCATCTGGGGCAGACGTATAGTGGCCATGATGTCGCGACACCTTATCGATCCTTCTCGACGCTGGCAGAACTCGTCCTCGTGCGCACCCGCTCCTTTTCACGCTGGCAACGAAGACGCAGCCGTAACGCATACACACAATCAAACCGCGTACACATGCACGCGCAAAAATAAATTTTACCCTGCGCATAGATTCCGTATTCCTTCCGAAGACTCCCTCAAAGGAGAAGGAAAAAAATGAAAATCAAGAAATTATGTGCAGAATGTGCGCGTGCGTGTCTCTTCTCCATCGTCAAAATCAGATTGGCAACATTATACCTACAGCTAATACTGATATAAGCATAGCCTATCAACTTGTGGCAATAAAATACCCCGCACGCCAAATCGAGAGACAAACCGACCGGACCAAACCTAATCGATAGGAGAGTATCAAATTTGTCCAAGACGAAATATTATCGCACGGTTCCATGAAAAGATCGTTGTACCTAGTATTTGCTAAATGTAGAGCAGAAGGTCTTGGAATCAGGGCCATTTTACGAATCGGTATATAATTGCAAACAAGACTAAATTCGCTCCCAAGAAGTCAAGACCCCTCCTCGACCTGCGCCCTCGTCCTTCCTAAGCTTCCTGTCTCATTGGCAAATATTGGCGTTCCAAGACACACAGGGAAAACTTTTGACAGAAATTAATTATCTCTATCATTAAAATTAAAATATAACGTCGTGTCATTGTCGTCTCGACAAAGCGAAGCAACAACCTCTATTGATATTCCTCAGGCAGCAGAAGGAAAATTAATTAACGTAATTGGATTAGTCACGAACCGCAAACGCGAGCCAGTGTTGGTCGTATATTGCTGCAAGAGCCTGGTCAGTGCACATAAAGGCACAAAGACAAATACGATACACGATTATGAAGCGAAATAAATTCTAGGCGGACGACTATAGCCGATCCACAAAATTCAAAACAAAATAACACTAAACACAAAACAAAACATCTTCATAGCATCATTTTCAATGAGCATTTAAGTAGTTTTTATAAACGCGTCGTGCAAACGAATATCCAGCCACACACCATTCACGTACCTAGTCGTGCGGAGGAAATCGTCTATTAGGTCGAAGCGTTTAAAAAAATGTGTGTGAGTGGACATCCTCAATTTTTCATGCGCAAAAAGCACTACGCGTCGTGCGCATGTCATGAAAACGATTCGAGAGAAAAGCAGCATCACACGCAGGAAATTTAAATGTGTTCGTAAATAAAACCTACAGTCATCATACGAATTAATACGCTCTATCACTGTATACTAATTGTTGATTGGATTACGCAACCAAATTATATTACATTACACATTGCTGTAACTAGAAATTTATGAAAACATTATGAATTTAAACTTCACTTCAGAGGTTGTATAGTCTGGACCTAAGTATTCCTCACACATCGTCTTCACTTGTCTAGAGCGCAGTTAGTAACAAACGATTCCGTCAATGAATTAACAACATGATGATGTGTGCACATTCAGTGGAATAATATTAGCCTTGTCGCTTATGTGACTGTGCATAATGTCTTTACTTGGGTACGGACGTACCAGACAGTATACATTAGGTTCAAAGTGCAATTTCATAAAATCTAGATTATTTTTTGTTTTTCTCAATTTTTAAGAGCAAATAAAAACAATATACTTACACCTATACTACTGGTTCTCATCTATGATCGTTTTTTTCTTCATTTTGTATGAAATTGGAAATAACAGTCATGTTTTATTCATTGGTAGCGGTGGAACGTTTTGTATAACAATGATATTGAAATGATACGCAAGCTATTTGTACATTATGTGCACATTATATTGTTCCAAACTTGCTGACGCAACACTTCGACGTCCCTGTACTCGTACTATAGGAATTGGGCAACTGAAGGAGGCAACCGGAAGCTGTTCGGCCGCGAAGAATAATGGGCTTTTCATGAGCTAGTTTTACATAAATCTATGTGCAATGTGCGCGGCCGCTATTATGCAATAGATAAATAGGAAATGAAGAGGAACCAATCATTTCTTTTCGCAAATTTTATATTTCAAACACGTATCTATCAAACCAACTTGACCAAAAAACTTCGAATTGCTTCATGTATCCGAATTGTGTGCGACTCATATAGGTCATAGCGAAGGGCCGCCCGCACACGAGCAGACAAGAACAATTTTCGTAATTCAAAGTCGGCGATAACGCGATAACTCTAGGCGACATTGGCAGCGCGTCGTTTGGAATTTTTTTTCTCCACCGTGCGGATATACTGATTGTTATTATGGCCTATCGCGGTCATTACGGCACGAGACGCGGTCCACATTTTATATAATTTCATTTATGGCGCGCTCGCGGACGCGTAATTGAGCACCGCCAGTGCTGAATGCAAAGCTGACGAATGTTGATGCCATGACATCCACATGTGCAGTGTTCGTGATAGGTTAGCAAACTGTATCCGCTGTACACGTGATCACACTTTCCTTAAATGCGTTAATTTAAATATTTAACATGTGCCGATTTCAGCAAGACATTTAATGACTTAAAAAGCAAAAAAGCAGGACCCATCTCATTGTTATGCAACTAAAGTTGTGGAATACAAATCAATGCGCAGATACAACCAAGGATTCCCGAATTTCACGTACAATAATCTCCCATAGGTAGTAACTTTAGGGATTAAGAGTGCCGCATTCGGAAAGTCCGCAATCCGAACAGTACTGGTCCTTTAATAAATTACGAACCTCCCATTCGCGCCCATCTTCTCAAGCCTCACATAAATCTACTGCACCTTCACGCTCTTCTTCGCACAAATAAAATTTATAGACGACTAGCGTCAATACACATTAGTTGATACAATCCGATGCAATTACCTGTTACAAAAAAAGCTCCACCTTGATACTAAGACAAATCCCAGAAGTGGTGTGCACACAACATCCACTAAAAAAGCTACTAGGGTAGTTATTAGGTGAGTTGAAATCAAATGAAACAATCACGAAATTAAGCTCGTGTGTGTTTTACGACATTCAATGCCCGTGTGCTGGCGGTGTACGTGCAAACAGCGCTTAACCGCCTTATTCGCCAGTGTGCGCAATTCCACAGTGTCGTTCAAATATGCTCGCTGCGGTAAACTATTCAACGAAGAAGAAGATTGTAAACCTTACAAAACCAACGAGAATAAATCCGCAAAAAGTAATTTTACATTTACATTATCCACAAATAGTACTAATATAGAACGGTACTCAATGGCTTTTAAATAATTTGTTTATTGATTTTATTTCAATGCTTGGCTGAAGCATGAAAATTGCCCACGAGCGCATTTAATAGATCACTACGGACTCGCAACGCCATCTGTAATCATTTTCCGCCAACTTCAATCCTATTAAAGATATACTATATATACCATTGAAGAAGACAAATATGTCTTATAATAAAAACAAAATACATAATGTGCAAAGTTTAGAATCATCTTTTTTAAAACCCGGTTACAATTCTCCATTTGTTTTTTCCTCAACGATACATCCAATTTGCGCATAACAACCATACATGCAGGTGGAATGTTTAATACAACGTAATTCCGATTAAGTTCGCAGAGTAATGAAATGCGTGTAATTGGATGGGTGAACACCAAGCGGACCGTGTATGTACCGTCGGGTGTACGAGGCAATATCATCTATTTGCCAGATGCAATATCAACAAACAGCTTCCACTCTGGTGCGTAGCACAAATGTGTGTCAAGGTTACTTGTTCATTATCATTTTTTTGTTTGGTTTAAAATAATGCGTACGCATTATTTTCTAAATTTGCAAAGCTGTCGAGCTTAAATTGTACTACCGCATATCGCCAATAGGGCCATAGATATATTTATGAATAATGGAGGTTTCCAAAATGCAAATGATGCGTGAAAACGGAATCAATAAATTGCACATGGTTCCCATAGCAACCCGTCAAAGAGTTTTATATAAAGAACACTGTATGAATACGAATAGTAACTTTTCCAATTCACTCACTAAATCAGGATAATAATATAGCGGCAAGCTTTGTAATCTGAGATTTATTTGTTTAAATTGCATTTGTGAATAACTACACATGTAATATAAATTCCTTATTTTCTATTATAAATAACTCTAATAACTCTTTAATTCCATTAAAATTATAAGAGTTACATTTGCAACTTCAACGCCTAGTGTCGACACTATTATCACAAAGCTTGTGACCGTCTAGATTGCATGATTCACGCTTCCTATAATTGTAGCAATGCGTCATTTCAATGCAACAGCCCAAATAAAATTTCCAGTAGTTCTCCCTATCTTAAAATTGACTTTTGAGCACTTTTTGTTATTGGTTTCTTTAGCTTGACACACGCAACACCCAATAATACGATCAAAGATTCAAATTAACCTGTAAGTCTACACTACATTGCACCGTATTACTTCATTCGTAATAAAATATTATTACAAACCAATCAAATAATTAGCACTGTAATTCAGATACCATTATCTCATGCGGCGCATGAAGGGTTTAAAGTGTTAAGACTGAAGTCTTGTTGGACATCATACGCATGCAAACATTTGCTTAGAGTTTTAAATAAAAACAATAAATAGGCGTGGCCTTGGTAACCAACTTGTTGAAGTTAGCAAATGACTTCGCCGCCGTCGGTCGCTTATATACCGCTTATCAAAATCGTTGTGCCCCATGTGTAAATATTCAACTGGACGCTCAAGGAGTGTGGTTGTCGCAAAGTATTGGCACTATAATTAAGAATTAGAAGATATTTAACTCACCTCGTCGTTCAATCCACCTTTCGAGGCCATCTTTCGACACAACTGCACCAACAACAGAGTAACTACTACTCGTGCACAGGAACTTCGCGTGCGCGTAAACGGCCGGAGATTTACGAAAAATTCAATTCAACTCTTTACTGTAACTCGGCGCGACACGGACAAGGTGCGCGCGCCACCTGCGCTCCTTCAATAACACACCTTATGTGGCAACAATGCGCAATACACCGAATTTTAAATCAGTACCGCAAATGAAGATGCGGTGATAAATTTATATTGCTAGAGTTTACAGTTTACTCACAAAAAACACACTAGGGAAACATAAGTTATGTATTTATAGAAATTGTATGGATTACGTACGAAGTTATACGACCACAACCGATGTTAATTCAATTTTCAATGTTTTATATTCTACATAAATATTAAATACAACAACGGATGTCAAAGCATATTGTACCAGATAATAAAAATTGCAAAAATAAAAAGAATAATATATTATTGAAATTATTGTTGAATTGTTCAATTGTTATAACACGGTTTAAGCATGCCATTAGATGTGAAAAAGTAAGATTTCGTTATCAGATAATGCGCTAGAATTAGCACAGATGCAGGTGTCCACTAGAGTCCATGGAATAATTCAATGGAAATCAACGTAATTTACTTCATTGCATTTCATTGCAATCTGTACATATAGAGGGTTGAATTCAGATATGGAGCATGCTTAATATTTACTTATTTATTTGTATTTTCTTTGGAATTTCATATGTATCGTGTAGAAATATAATTTTTAATTTTCGGACATCTTTTGCCAAATCGGGCTGTTTGTAAATTATTTCAAATCCGTATAAGTGCATTATAGCGCCATCTTGTGTTGATTACTTGCAATCCTTTATTGGTTGATTGGCAACGCAGCTGAATTATGAGGCGTTTAATTCCACACAACTCGTGCCTCGCACACAGCTTTCGTTACATTATTCTTAAGTTTCTTGAGTTCAAACCAGTTGTCCGTTAAAAACCCGCGCAAACTACGGCCCGGTATAAATTGAATTGCCTCAATTGTACATCGTTAAACTATTCTACGTTACTTTCATTGTCTTCAGCGTTAATTTTGATTGAACAGAAGCAAAATGACGAAACCAAAAAGCGCCGGCTAAAAAGAAAACAAACGGTTACAAAATGCCCGATCCTATAGCACAGGGCGAAGTATTGCAAGACATTTGTAAGAGGCAATGGATTCTTGGCCCATCCATTGGTAAAGGCGGGTTCGGCGAGATCTACTCCGCAAGGCCAAGTGATAACTCAACTAAAGATTACAAATATGTCATAAAAATTGTAAAGTTTATCTTTTAAAAGTATTAATATGATTAATATTTATATACAATCTATTTTAGGAACCACATGAGAATGGTCCACTCTTTGTTGAGATGCATTTCTACAACAGATGTGCCAGAGAAAAAGATGGTACATAATTTTATTTATATTTCAACATTAATTTCTAATAAGTGTTATTTTAGTTGTTGAATTTAAACAAATGAAGAAGTTAAAGCATTTAGGAATGCCAATTTACATTGCATCAGGGTCACATACCTACAAGAATGAAAAGTATAGATTTATAGTGATGGAAAAGTTTGCTCCCCAGGACATTTGGAAACTATTTGTGATGAATGATAAGAGATTGTCACCTATCTGTGTTTACAGATTGGCTATGCAAATGTTGGATGTATTAGAGTACATCCATAGTAAAGGATATATTCATGGTGATATTAAAGGTGCTAACATTTTGTTGAGTGAGAAAGATGCAAACTGTGCGTTTTTGGTTGATTTTGGTTTGGCTGGGAAGTTCACTACAGAACCACAATATGTACCTAATCCAAAGAGAATGCACAATGGGACTATTGAGTATTTAAGTAGAGATGCCCATCATGGAGGTAAGATAATTAACTTTTCTAAGTTATTTATATGATGATATTTTTATGTATACATATTGTTTCAGTGCAAACGCGTCGTGGGGATATTGAAATATTGGCTTACAATATGATTCATTGGCTCACTGGGACGTTGCCATGGGAAGGGAATAGCAATCCAGAAAGTGTGCAACAAGAAAAAGAAAATTTCATGGATAACATTACTAAGTTTTCCACATGTCTTGATAGTGAAGTTCGAGGCACAATTGTAGAACTATTGACATTTATTAATAGTATTAAACATGATGAAGCACCAGATTATGCTAAAGTGCACAAAATATTGCTCAAAGGTCTTAAAAGTGTCGGTGGAACAGAATCTAGTCCTTTAGTATTTACTTCACCAAAGAAACGCAAGTCGGCTACAAATCTCGACAGCGTTGCTTCTTCGAACAAACGCGGGAAAGCATCCAAAACAAAAAATATACAGGTACCATCTACTGCCGACAATATGAATGGTAATGAAGCACCTACAAGTTCAATGAATGCGGAGGAAATGCGTATTGCGACGTTAATACGTGAGAAACCTGCAAGGCAAAGGAAACCCAAAAAGAAAGATGCGCCGAACGTTGAATCCAATACCAATGGTGTAAATGAAAATGAAGCACCAACTAGTTCGTTGATGAATTCAGATGAGTTGCGTGAGCTGAAAGTCAAGAAGACTCCTATTAAGAAACACACAAAGGCTATTCCTACAGATGCTGGTGATTCTCCTCCGCGAAGCCATGGTAAACCCAATTTATTAAACGCATTACATGAGGAAGTCAGGCGGTCACCAAGGAATAGGGATAGGAAGCGTCCGGATTATATTAATTAATTTATAGTATTATTCCAATGCCTGTTATGATTAGATATTGTACGGTAATTTATATTCGGTTAATTTTTCTTGCTTGTGTTATAATACCATTAAAATGTTAACTAATGTTGCATGTATGGCACTAAACTTACGTCAACACTATTTTCATAATGTAGAAAACTGTAGAAAATATTTTTTATAAAATAATACTTCCTGAATATTACAAAAAAGGTTTATTTCGTTTTTATTCATCTTAAATTTAATTGTAACACTGCGAGAGCAACACTCTAGAAGGCCAACTTCTTCATTAACAGATACATTTGCTGATCGACTTCGAAACCGTGCAGGTTGTTGGCGTCACCTTGCAATCGCATCAAAAGACCGCCAAACGAAACGTACGCCGCTCTGAAAAAATAAACAAAAAAAGCATTAAACTCAAGACAAGGTCATGACAGGCAAACATTACAACTTTTAATACAAGTGGATCATAATCATAACATTTAAAAATGTATATATAGTGAAAAAGTTATTATTAAATTAGCGCATAGAGAATAGCATGTTGAATACAAAGGTAGCATGGATAGTGGTCGTGATTTAAATCTACACAACCAGCTAACCACACTGCCATCGCGCCCAACACTAATCAAACACTGAACTGCGCTTCACGCAAATGACATATTAAACGTCGATGACGCACCGTTACTGCTTTCAATGTACTTTCGTTCACATATAATGTATTTTGGCAGACTACATTTTAAGCAATTTAATATTCATTCAATCAAAGGTATGCCAGATATCTTGACTCTCAATGCCTATTCCCTAGTAAGTAGGCTGTGATAAACGTCATTTTAACACCTAAAACTCTAAGAAGTAAAAAGTTACAAAAATATATAGTTCGTTGGCAAACTCAAAAAAATAAAATGGCGCAGCAATTGCTTGCAGTGATAACATAGGAAATTAAAGGATCAACAATAGAAATGTGAGTTTTGTTTCAAGTACTGTACATTAACGACTTTTACACAGTAATATTTGCGCATAATCAAAAAGACATTTATTACTTAAAAATATGTACATAAACAGTATACAACAAACTGTAGCCGCAAAAATTAGGTAATCCGTGAGACAGTGCTATCGATAAGTGCCCGGCTTATTTAAATGACCGCCGCATAACACAAGCTATATATAAAACACTGATCGTCCTTGACTCGATTAAGTGTCTATCATTTTATCATCAAGGTTAACATAATGCACTCGCAGATTATCAAGCACACAACTTCTAATGAAAAAGATGGGCGCGTCAAGAGTGTACAGCGAAAGCGTGCACGAGCACATACTGCGAGCGATTTCCCAAAGATAATTATAGATTTTTGAAACTAGATGATGTTGATGACGAGCAGCCACCTTATTTTGCAATGTGTGTGCATCATCCATTGCACCGGCGAGATCGATCAATCTTGTAGCGAATCGAGAGGGAGGAGTGTAGTAGGGCGTTGACTACAATATTCTCGTTCAGATAGTCAAGTCAATTTGTTTGTTGCTATTGGTATCGAATGAGAGCGGGGGCAGCGTTCGTCGTCTTGGAGTGTCGTACCAGATAGTGCATTTACAAATGGCTGAAAGAAAGTGTAAACGCGCTTCTGGCACGCAGCCCAAGACTTTCGGAATATTCGCAAACGATCTTTATCCAAAATATGATTCTAATTTGACGTATTAACCTACAAACAGATCGATTTTATTTGCTCATCAAAACTCAGCAAAGCACACGTTAAATACACGGTACATGCATTCACACGGCACATCAATTAGAGCTTAATAAAAACAAACCAAAGAAAAATAGAAAGCCGTTAAATCGCATGTGATGGTATAGTATAGTATATTATTACGGATGTTTTACGTAACACCAAAATTACAAAAAATGTAAACTTAAACTCAAAGAAAAAAACAACTGCCAAACGTCTCATTCGGGGTAAAGTTTTACCATAGCAACAAACTGTTATATTATTTTACGTTATAGACTAATTTGGCGTCTGATTATTCAACAGGAAGGATAATATATGAAAAAAGGGACGAGCCACTATCAAAGCACTAAAACGTATACTTCCACACTGGATTGGATTGATTTTCCAATGCAACTCCCAGACTTGAACTGATAATCCAGATTTTGGCCGACGTTGATAAGAAGAAGGAGCTCAGATATACTTCGAACAGCTGAGCGGGCCGCACTGTTCGGACGTTCGAAACGTAAACGACGAGCAACCCACATCGGCACGTCTCTAAATAACTACAATCTGCATTATGCAACGGACGACGCGGCGATCCTGCGGGAGAGAACGCGGCGAACACGCACCCAAGTCGGTAAATTAAATCGGGAAAAAAATCATCGCTCGTGTCGCGCACAAGCCGGCGCGCGGCCAGAACGGGACAACTTTTGGCAAACCAATTTGCCGCGAGTCTGGCCCGTGCAACCAAAATCTGTACCAATCATTTTACATTACCTGTAATGATTTAATAACTTTTCATAACAAAAGTAAATATATAGGTATATATGGTTCACCACAACTTACTTAAAATTAAACTTATTATATATAGGTATATGCATGTTCACAATGTTCACGCACATTCCACACTCTGACAGCGTGGATCATGTGCCAGTAATTTTTCGCGACAACGACGCGAAAAATGCAAGGACACAATGGCGAAACGAGCGAAGCACGCTCCGCAGCGCATCTGCTCGCACGTTGCTGGGTTAATAATATTACGTATATACACGCACACGCGGCCACCCGATTTAGATCAGAATCTGCTAATGTGGGCCAAAACGGCGAAGGTGATTCGCGCGATGCAAACGTATGCCTGAAACGCAAAAATAAAAACCCTTATGCTCATTAGCGCACATCTAGAATATAAAGTAATGGTTAAATGCATTAAAATTTTAAAAATTCCACGAAAACGTTTGCTGTTTATTGCATATTGCAGGCGACGTCATTTTCAATTCGGCGTTATATAACAAACGCGCGCGCGCGCGAATGTGGAAAATTTTCCGTTGCAACACAGCGCCACGCGTGGAATTTTCCACCAACGCCACTATCAACGCTTGCTCACAGATGGAGCATTGAGCATTGAATTTTCCACTTCGAGTCGCTATTTTAATCGCGGCAGTGTTCGTATCAAGCTACTGAGATACCACCAGCTGTGTTCACTTGTTTAATGCTACAGTCAACACAGGGTGGATCCCGGCAGCTCAGATACAATTTTAAAACTCTTTAGACATTTAAACATATTTATAAAAATATATCTATAAATAAAGTATGCGTTTACTTACAATCGGCTTGACGGTTCATTCGCCGCTTCGTCGCCTTCAATACGATACACTTTTCCGGACATGACGTATTCGAAACTGGCGGCGCGAGAGCCCTGATTATTTTTCGCTCCGTGTGGATTCCAATCATTACCATCCGGGTAACCATCTTCTCGGAGTGTTGTAGCCAGTACTAATCGAAACTTGTCGCCTGCGAATAAAAAAATTATCCTTAGAGTAACTACGCATAAAAAAGATTAGAACTATAATAAGCAGTTGCCGGGATGATTACATATTCCACGCCACAAACGGAAAAGTGATATAAAATGAACATTATCTAAAAATTGAAATTATATCAAATCACATCCTGTATTCATCGATGCAGTTTTTATTTGATAGTCCTTGAACTTATCCGAGTTCATTCTTCGTGTGTGTATGTTTTTTTTTTGTTTTCAAAGATTTAAGAATATTACTATAATGTATATAGCACGTTTCGTAATTACAAATCCGATTAAATTTACCCAAAACGTTAATACAACTTAATTGCTCGTCACGGTTTGGGATTCAGTTATCCTACTTGCTAGTCTGCGCAAATGTTAGATACTCATCCTTTAATTTAGTTTTTCTTATGAACTAACTAATTGTACGCTTAAACCAAGCGCACCGGCGTAGATAAACTGGAACAGATGCACATTTCGGTTTAATGCCACTAAAATGTATTTTAAGATGTTGAACGTAAGTACGTGTAAATCAACATGCCGGCAAATATTTTCTAGGCATCTTAGAATGCGTATTTCAACACCAGTCGTCAATTAAGTACAGTTAATTGAAATTATAAAAAATTATAGCCCCACATCACCATCACTTCTTCTTCCTTTTGTTGTCTGCCCATTTCCGCATCGCATTCGAGCGCACAAATACCAATCAGCAACAATTACAAAACGCCGAAGTTGAACAATCATTTTGCCATCCTCTCTAATTTCATCTTCATCTCCTTCGTTCGCCTCGCAAACATGATTACGATTATATCAGAACCGAAGATGTTGCCCCGGTCACGTCTTTCTCAAGTGTATATAAATACGTTGCGCAGCGCGCACTTGCTCCTTTAAGGCGCCCAACAATAAAAATCGTACAATGATCGAACCGACATAATCGTTTATTGTGCGTCGGGCGAACGCACGTTGAACGTGCGCAAACAATACAGGCGCGGCGGTAAAACGCGGACTCAAATTCCACGACCGCGACCGCACTCGCGCACACATACTTATCCGGCGGCGTGAAGAACGTCGAGTCTTCAACGAGAAACCCCGGCATGTCGAAAAGGATGTCGGTTGATGGTTGGATGGCGGCGTGAGTAACTTTGGCCGCCAGGCTGCGAATTAAGCGATGGGAATACACAGAGCCGCGTGTATTGAGTGCGCGAAGAATACGCAACTCGCGCGAAAGAAGAAGGCCATAGACAAGCAGCAGCAGCGGGTATACGCAGAAGTTGACCTTGACTAAAAATACGATTCGTTATATAACAAGGTAACTCATACCGCGCGTGCGCAAATGATTGTTTCCAAAATTATTGTATCAACGAACAAGAAAATACAAATGCAACCTAAATATAAGACAATGTTAGGTAATAAAATTGATCGTGTCTAATTTCTGTCCTTGTAATATTTAAATTACTTTAAAAAACCATTCGCAGTTCTTTGAACTGTGTTAAATCGGATATTTTGAAGATCTACGAATCAAGGTTGATTTCATCCATTCTCCTAACTCAACAAGTTTTAAGATTTTTTTGTTATTATTAAAGCAAATAACTTGTGGGTTGGTATTTCCCGTGAATGAATGAATCAAAAGTATAATAAATGCTAGTTTATACCAATCTTGACTAGCAGCAATAAAACACCGCGCAATTTTCTACAAACTGCATAAGTGTGGGTGTCCTTGCCCTTGCGTCCTTAACATTGCAGTCGTCATTCATAGCACTCGGCCAGCTAGCTCCAAGTTCTACTGCGCTTTGCGCCTGTGCCTGCCTCGCCCTTTTATACACACACACATATATCAGCTGATGTTGTTCTCTTTATCGCACACATGGAAACCGTCCAACGTGCCGCATGTTGCCGGAAAAACGCCTTGCGATGGCGCTCGTGCTACCGTGGTGGTGCACTCGCCCCTATAGCGATCAATAAGCTGCGCGCGCGCGCGCGTATCTACAAGTATACTCGCGTACATGGAAACCAGCGGTTGCACTGGGCAGGACCAGCACAAGTTTCATGACGGTGACGCGAAAATGCACGCGGGACTAGGGCAAACGCAACCCTCCTCCACCGATCCTACAACCCCTTCCCTAACTCACAGCACAAAACAACAAATTCGATGCCGGCGCGAATCAATAGCACAGCCCGAAATGTGGTGGCTCGTCCTTTGAGAGCGAAAGCGGCGGAATTTTCGAGAACGCTGACTACTACGCCGTGCACTACATTCGCGACGTGAAAAGGACGGAGATAGTAAACAAAACATTATGGTCACATTGCGCAACATGTTTTTTGTCACTACGTGTTAAAATTGAGCTGATTTTCTTCCACAGCTAAAATTATTGCTCCAAATGTGGTTATCAAGATAAAAAATAAAATTTCACGTTTCATAAAACTTTGGTTAAGATAAATTCGAGCCAGGGCGGTTCCTGCTGCGTAAATCAACGCACCTACGCAAATCATCATCGATTTCCCTGGGATGATGTATGCAACCGAATCTGAACCACAACCGACATTATTTATTTAAAGTTTATTATTTAAAAAAAACACAACATCTAAAAAGCGGTGTAATTGTTCGATCAACAAACGGTTTCGTGTGCCATTTTCGGCCCGCATGAACAGTGCAGAAACCTCACGAGCGCTTATTCTCCATTCACCGCCTCTGCCATTGTCGATGACGTGCGGACGCTACGCATGGCAGTATTATTAACCAGGGCGCCAGTTTTTCCACCATACCTGCACGGTGCCGTTTCGGCTAATTTTATAAACGAATTATCGGTTGGAAAACGAGAAATACCTAACCGGACACGAAAATAACACGGGTAAATCCAAGTCTAAGCTACATGGCTTTTATTAAGACTCACACAGGTCGTAGTTTACTGTTACCGATCACAAGACTCACCAACGGTATTATTATTGCGCTCTATTAATTACATGTGCATACTTAGGTCAGAATAAAATGAAATTTTCAAAAAAAAACTTCCATGTTGGCGCTTTGTGAGAAATGTCAATCTCATTCGGTTATATTTAGAACGAGGGAAGCCTTTCGAATTCAATATCGATTGAATGTCCTTAAATTGGCATTGTCCTTTTATGCTCCATAATACTATGCATACATATTTTTGGTAGTGTAGCGTTCTAGACATTTAATTAATACGCATTTCTTGTAATCAGCTCGAGTGTAAACGGGATTTAGAACTTGCGGTTTGTTGGTGCTCCTCTCGCCGAATGTGCAATTTGCTTGAATAGCAGGTTCGCATGCACATTATGTTGTGATCACGTGCCGCGATTTGCGACCAACAACACATCGTTGTGTGGTGTGGTGTTTTTTGTTGTTGCCAGGCGGTCCACGATTGCAACGAGTTTCATACATAATTCGACGCGCTTGTTACGATGCGGCGCGGCGAGTCGGGGCCTAAAGTCGGGCCCCAGTGTAATTTCCTTCCAAGTTACCTACAATTTATTTATCTCTACACACACATAATATGTTGCACAGTCAGTTTGCATTTTTTCGAAGCAATGCAATGGCAATAAAGCTAAATACGCCAGCATTATCAACATTGCCAAATTGCTTGCGCGCTTTCCGGCTGTGGTGTGGTACGTACATATGCCAAATGTGTCTGCATCAGATTTCTTGGCATATTGCGCCGGAATTCGGCGCAAAAACATTGATCGCGATAGAAATTTATACTAAACTAACGATTGTTGTAACCAACCTATTCGCAAACGAAACCCGACGTGTTAAAATATCGAAACACGTAGTATTAAATAATAAAAAAAAAAACTCCGTCGACCTTGGCCCGCGTTGCGTCGTCGTTATGTGTTGGTAGCTTGTGCACACTACTCGTGCGCGAATTGACGAAAAGTACACACAACAAACAGCAAAATACCGCACAAGTTGAATAAAAATCAAAATTTTCTATGTGTATGTGGTGGCGTGAGTACAATAATTAGGAAATAATGAAAATCACCTTGATCGAAAACTTAATTTTCCAATTCGCTGTGCTGTATCTACGCCGCATTAGTCTTCAACGAAATTCATCTCGGGTCTTGTCATCCGGGCTGCATTTGTTGTTGCCTCGCAGCTGCGACGAATGCACTTAATCGTCCTGACTGCAGCAGGATTTCCATATTGTACCCGCAACACAATCAAACAACGTTAGCCGCGCTGCGCTGCGACGCACACCGTCAGACAGGTAGGCGGCGACTGACTGAGTTCGAATTCGTCAACATTGTTGAAAAATATTGCAAAAATATGCCCTGACTGTCGAAGTCAATTCAGAATGTTAGTCTACCAGCTCCAATGTTGTTGGGTTGGTTGGTTAGCTGACATTGGCGTAGTCGGCACGTAAATAAATAATATTTTGATGTGAGCGCGCCTGCTGTCTTCGTTCGCTGGCACTGGTGCTGGTTGGTCGGTCGGTGCAGACGTGGCGGCGGTACTGGCGGTGTGTTACGCAATGTCCAGGAGGCCCCGGTAAGGCGGCCGCGAAGCAGGAATCGCAGGACGCGCAGGCGCCCGGCCCAACCTTGGCATTGAACTTGGATGCGTCGCACACGTACGCCGCGGCAGCAGTAGGCGCACACAGCACACAACTTTGAAGCTGATTTAGCGCGCACTGCTAGCTGGCGCGATGCTGCTATTCCCCTGCTCCTGCCTTCGACATTGATGTCCGGCCGCGGCTGGCTTTCGCTACGTCCGTGAATGCAACATTGCAGTCATCATCATCATCATTGCACCACGACCGGCACAAATACCTGCACTTTTGCAGCATGCACTCCTCTGCTGCTAGATGTACTCGCTCTAAAATGTACGTAATCGGCAATGTGGACGAGCATAAAATATAATCGATATTTGAGCTTCTTCCATCTTCGTCGCTACTTTCCTTGCACCGCCACCGCGGCAAGGTTTGATCTGGGACATTACTAATATTTCCTCATCGCGTCGTCTCAAATGCATGCAGTTCGAAATTCTTCCGGCGCATTTTATTATTCCTCCTAAATTTATATTACAGGTGCATTCCGGCGCGTTTTCTCGTTCATCGGCGCCGGCAGGTTTCCATTCGCGAGTCGGCGCGCCGCGTTGGCTCGTCACGTCACTGACCTAGATTACAGTAACGACGTTAGGCCCTTTCTCGACTGCGCGCCGCTGTCCGCCAGCCTGCCCGCTTGCAGCGTTGCTCCAGCGTGGTGCTCGACTTTTATCGAAATGCGTCGCGACTGCTAAATGGACATGCGTAAGGAACACGCCCATCCAAATATGACTCATGCATAATTTAGGTATTGTCAGTGCCGACAGAAAAAAGGAACGACCTATCGGAAAATCCCATCGACAACCATCCACGGTTCATACGAAATTATTTGGCGCAGTACCGGATACTACTTACGGCATCACAGACATTTCAATAAAATTATTAAATTAGTGAATAGACCTCATCACAGCGTTGACGCACTACAAGCAATAATGGCAGAGCATCACCCAGTGGCGATGTGACCTAAATATGTATTTATTCACCTTTAACCTTTGTCAGTGCGCGCCTATAATGCCAAACTCACCCTGTCAACGACAATGTATTTAGGTACTCCAAAAAACACAACACGCTTTAAATCCGAGAATATTAGATTTTCTATAAATGTATTTTAAAACGAAATTCAAAAAATATGCGAACTGAATAAAGTTATTCGGCTACTTATGTAGTTTTCATGTACGATTTTCAAGTTTAAAATTAGCTGCGCACTCAGGGTTATGTCAGCTGTTCGGTGCAACGCAGGCTTCTTTTTTACTGTACCAATCAAAGTCTCGTTCGTTCTAGGTACAAATATTCATCAAGGACGCATACAAATTTTTCGCAAGCGATGAATGCACGTAGTGTTTTGACATGAATCAATATTTAATGGCGACATTTATTTAAATATGTAATCATCAACGAAATGTATAATTTTTGCAACTTACCAAGTTCCATTGGATACAGCCAGGAGTTGATGTCCAAAATGAGATCCATTTTGAAAGATTCTGATTCACAGTGCAGTCGACTCACTGAAACAATAATAAGACGAGAGTCATCAATATCTTTAATATTTATAACATATTTCCGAAATAAAAATGATGGTGAGCGTGCAATGGTATGGTTAATGTATGAATCTAAAAGCGATCAATCATAGTAAGTTCACGCCCGAGCTGTGACCACTGAGTGAAAATCGCAATTACAAGTCGGATCTAAGCCGTCGGTGCGAATCGTCGAGGTGCGTTACGCACCGACAATCCTCGATTAACAATTTCAGCTAATTGCCCATTTGAGCGTAACTAAATTGAAGTGATTATCACTACCGACAAAGAAAAAATATGATGAAAAAGTAAGCCAGAGATCACATTTCGTTTTATATAAACAGAAAAACATAAAAGGGATTATTTTCCGAACAATAACAAACCTGTCTGAATTTATTGCCACAATATGTGACTGTATTATTATACAAGGTTATACAGATTCGCCACAATGTGTACATAAATTTACCCAGAAACTGGATTGTTCGGTCATTGATTGATTACTCGAATATCGGAAATTTATAATTTAAATATAACAAAGCGCCAATAATCGTAAAAATAATCGTAATAATAATAAAAATTAGCCATATGATTAAAAAAAGTGTTATTTGTAAATGCTTGCATACATGTTACATTCATGTTAAAAATAATTAGATATTATAAATTCGGCGTGTACTTTAGGAATGAATTTATGTAATGTAATTAAATACCAAAGAAGAGCTAACAACAAATAAGATCTTAAAAATTCTAGACTAGAACAAATGAGTAGGTACATAACATTTTTAAGATGATCGAAACGAAGGCTTCTAACGTCATACCTCGTGACCCTCTAAAAAGAAGAGGTCATTATGTGCAAAACACCTAATAGCCGCGAATTCGAAATCTGCGTAACAAAAGATCCAACATAAGATAAACCATCAAACACTGTAACCTCAACCATCCTGCTGGAATTTACATTATCAACGACAGACAAAGATATACAAGCAATTAAAATTCATTTAAATGCTTCGGCTGATTCTCCGCAACAAATTTTTGAAGAGAATATGAAATATTCATGCAAAAACTGACGTAAATTACAAACGAGCCAAAAGTACCAGTACCCGCGAATGCATTCGTGGCGTAAAGTTTAATAATAGAATTTCGTGCCGTGCATGCTACAAACACGCTAGGTAAGTAAGTACTACTTACTAAGCAGGCTTAGTAACACCGCTTTTAGACACATATTTGTTTCACAATTTGTTCCCAGATTAATTGTTAACAAGTTTATATTTAAATCAATTCTATTTCAATCCCAAGAATGAGAATGTGTGCATTACACCTGCACATCTGCGAATACATCTAAAAGTGACACCTGACGCACACACACCGCAGACCAATATTCATTCGCATCCAATTCGAATCCTTTCATTGAATTCGAACGCTGTTATCAGGAGCAGGACGAACGACACGCTGCGCATGCAGTGTGTTGGCCAAAAGGTACGATCTTTGTCGCGCCCACGCGCGCTGAGATTCAATATTGATCGCGAGAGCAAGCTCGTCGCGCAGTGTGATATAAACGCCTCCATTTCCGCCGCGCCTATGGCACTATGCATTTTCTGCGCGAAGAACACTGATATATTTTTTTACTTTTTATGTTTTTAATCATATGCAACATCTTCATATTACGTAATATTGTGCAATTTATCTATGATAAAGTCCGTTGTTTTTCATGCAAGAGAATAACAAGAAAAACAACAGTTTAGTTGGCGGTGCCATTCAATTAGAATATTGAATAACAACAACAGTATCGCCTTTCATCCTAGCAGAGAATGCAAAGAACAATAGACTTACCTGTTAACTACATCAAAAATATTTTCTTGCATATTCATGAGAAAATATGCCTTACTTTGGGGTTGATGCAAGCAAGAGCTCAAAACAAATAAAATTTACCTACGAATTGTAATGTCGCTTTAATTCAGAGTTTCCATGCCGGGGAAAAATCGCATCAACCATAATAAAATGCGTGAATGCTTGCGTATTTACACCATAAGGTAATTGTCTCAATAAAACTTGAAATATGTCAAGGCCTCTCTGTTCGTTGATTCAGGTACGCACTGACGTTATTTTTACTCATTCAGACAATCACAAAAGTGTGGTTGAACCAGCAGAAAGATGGTTTTGTTATTGTGACTAAAAATTTTCACACCACGTGATGGTGATTGTAATATTACTTGACACAAGACATCCGCGTCATTTCTAGCCATTACTCATTCCATCTTATCCACATACACACACATGCACGCAGCACTTCACGCCGTAATTAGTTTTGAATTGATTGCGACTTTTATGGTAACGCAAAGTTCCGGCGCGTTGATTTTGTTGTTATTTTTTCTTGCGCATGCTAATATACATATGTAAATATCTGCGAATCGTTGGCGCTCAAAATGTATGAGTAATTTATCTTTTGCGAGTCAATGTGCGTCAGAATGTAGAACTCAGCTTCGATTTCGAATACTGTAAATGTTACATACGCGTGTGTGCGTGCCAAAAACGTCCCACATCCGTGTTTCTCGCGTTTCTAACATGTTGTTGTTGTTTTGGTCAATTACTATACAATTTACAAGTTTGGATGAAAAAAAAGCGTGATAATAATTATACGAGTTAAGCCTTGATAAAATTAAGCATTAGTAATCATTGATCTATTTCTGTCCCGTAATAAAATCGATCGATTGTATGTAACTTGTATCCAACGAGCAGATATGACAACAATACAAAATGGCGACCACTATACGTCCGATATTTACGCATTAACTATTTCTCCGCATTTCTCGCGCAGTTCTCAATTATTGTAATAATAATATTTTACTCACCAATATTACATTTGTTATCCCGCACCTTTCTTATCTCTACGCCGTAATATTACCAAGAATGTTGTGCAAGTTGATAGAACCGCCATCGACTTTCCGCCGATTCAAAAACGTGGAAACAAAATCGTCTGGACAAGTGAGGTGTGCAGATGAATGACTTTGGTGGTTGGCTTGAAGGCGAGAGGAACCTGAGAGACACTTCGCCGTGTGTGAATGTCGATGATGTGTGCGCGAGAGCTCAGTGCATGTCCGTGTACTTTCCGCGGAGATCGCGCGCGTCGGCCGAGAACTACGCACTTGAAACGAACGACGGACGGCGCAAGGCACACCGGCGCGTCGTTGCTGTATGACGCTGTAATCATCCACCTATAGCAGGCGGAGCGATGATATCGCAAAGAAACATTTCACAACCAAATGCTATTTAAACGTCTATGTAGGCACTTTGCATCATTATCTGTTGCTATGTTTGTGTGCAAAAATTTATTGTAAACATTGAATAAGTTCATTGAGTGTAATTTCAAAAATTTCGATGGCAATGAATGAATATTGCGGCTAGCGGAAGTTCAACGGCGCAATAAAATTGTGCATGTGTACTGCATAGCGCATTGAGTGCGCGATGGAGAGGCCCCGACATCGATACAAGGTTGATCAAAACTTATAATGAGGTTTTTGAGTCATTTCAACGCCAATAACCATTATTTAGGAGGAAGAATATACTATTAATAATAATAATAATGCACATTGCTCTTATGTTAATATAATAACTATTTGGTAATTGAAAATGCCTCCCCCTTTTTAAAACAATATTGTTTCAATATGTAGTTGAGCGTTTCAATAGAATGTAATAGCGAATGAAAATGGCGAAAAGGACGCGCGGAATGAGGAAAAGGACGCGGGCCCGTGTTGTTCCAGCATGTTCCACCGCGACCTAGACCCGGTGCCCTTGACCGTCATCAAGAACGCACGAGCTGGATCGATCTGTTCCACCAGCTCTGTTGACTGCTTGGCTGCGATCCGCGCAGTTTCCCTCTCGCGCATCGTGCACATGCAACGCTCACTGCAAATTGCATTGGTGCGAGCGGGAGGCGCAGCCTGCTTGCTGCACAAATAGGTAGGTATATACCTACTATTCCAAGCAGGCTGTCCAGCGAATGAGAATTAAAGAGGGGAAAAATCCCAACCGCCAAAATAATTCTGCGCGTGAGAATTGGTCGTCAAATATGCTGTCATATTTTGCAAATACAGCTGATTATTAATATTACTTTTAATAATAATCCCGATATATTGTCATAATTGAATTCTGCCCAAGTTAATCCTGTTAGATGATTTAAGTTTTGAGCTTAGTTTCCGAGTTGGAAACGTTTGAAGGCCGGAGATATCATAGAAGACGCATGAGTGCACCTTTCTGGATCCTCTCAATATCAGGACTTCAGACATTCAGGCGTTTCCACGCTGACGTTTACCCTATTTTCGTAAAGCGTGAACTGTTACCATGCAAGGCTCCTGCGCCTCATTTTAATTGACATTTAAGGGATGCTGGACAATAGTATGCAAGAACTATACATGCCTTAACTAATATCTATAAAGATTTAAACTCTTCTTTTTTAATTGTTTAAATTGTTTAAAAGCACGTTGTATTTGATACATTTCAGGAACATAAATATCTAAAGTTAACCTCAAAAACCCACGGCGTAGTAATTTGTTGGAAAATGAACTCACCACGATCGAATTTTTTGCCTTCTGGGTCGATGTCTTTAACATTAAAGATGTCTTCAAATAAAACACCAGCCATAATTACCGAATTACGTTATAATAAACGAGAATTTGGCGAAAATATTCAGTTTGGAGAAAGACTTGTGTACATTAATTTTAAAACAGTTGCCGTTCTTAAATCCCCAAGTTAGTTCTTTTTGCTATCAACTTAAAAGTTACTAAACGCGTATTTTTATCGGTTTTCTATATTATTATGAGAGTTGCATTATAGATTTAATAAATTATATTGAAATATTTATTTGCGAGTAAAAATGGTTTATGTTATTTTGTTTTTATTTAAATTTTGTCAAATTTGTCCCTAGATTTTATTTAGGTTGGGTGACAAGTATGAAATTGACAACTTTATCTGGCCGTGTTGCTGTCATTCAAACGTCACAACAACAAATAGATTTGTATTTAATTTAGAGCAACGGTACATTCATAAACAAATCGTAGTGAAGCGAATCGATCGGATTAAGTTGAGTTATAATAAGTGCGAGTGCATCCCTTCGAAATGGCGGCCTTGCCGCCTAGACGTAACCCTACGCCGACGAAGATATCCAAACAGCATCTGACACCATTGCAGATTCTCTTGCAGATGGGATTTCCTAAACACAGAGCGTAATAACAATAAACTTATTATGTTTTTTTATGTTTTCACAGTAACAATAAATATTCATTTATACAAAAAAACTTACAGGGAAAAAGCATTAGCTGCCACTGGCAATCGAGGAGTCCAATTGGCTTCTGATTGGTTGCTTGCTCATGTTAATGATCCACTCCTTGATGATACCACTCCTAGAGAATATATTCTTTATGCCTGCCCAGTGGGTTCTTTTCTGGATGAACTTCAACATTTTTGGGAGGCATCGTTGAATCATTGTGGATGGAATGGGGCACATAATTTCACTCCACACATTACTCTAGTTTCATTTTTTAAGGTAAATTGTTTTAAATTATATTAAGGCACTTATTATTTGTGTATTGCTTGCTTTAGGCACCAGATGAAGATTCACTCCATTTGGCCCAAATGTTAAAGACTGTTATGGAAAAACAAGGTGCCATGATAAGTGAACCACTCAAACTAGAAACATATACATCCCCGAATTTTATGGGATTTTTTGTGTCTGAGGAACACGCTGATTACCTAAAACGTATTGCAATGCAATATGTTAAGGAAGTTTCTAATGCAAGTGAGTGTAGTTAATACTTTAGAATAAATGTAATTATTTGGGCATATTAGAATTGGTAATAAGTAAGTGGTACTTGAAAAGCGCACCAAAACATTTCGCACACTTTGATAGACATGTAATATATTGTAAACTAATAATGGGATGGTTACCTGTATGCCTTCTTTCAGTTATTAGTGAAACGTATGAACACATTGATGCATTAACCGCTTGCTTCCCATGGTGTTCGACTACAACGGCTAGATGTATACCGAGGGGCAGCCGATGTATGCTATACTCTCTTACTCTATTACTCCCACACATGCTATTTCAATAAAAAGTTTCCACTGGTGATGGCTAATAATGTATAGCTTAATATTCGTACTTTTAGAATGAAAACTAGTTGGAACTTTAATTCGGAAATAGCATTATTTGAAAATTAATTCTTGATTCTATAAAAGGCTCATTTTTCAGCAATTAGTTTAGAACCACACGTTAAATCACTGCATTTGACACTTGCATACCAATTTCAAAATTCTCAGTTTGCAAGTTTAAAAGATACAGTTGACATGTTGGATCCCAGCTTAAGTTCTACTTGGGAACTTCGTTTATATTCTAGGGATCCACGTGTTAATGGTAAACAAGTTCATAAAGTAAGTAATCTACCTGCTGCCTAATTAGGATCTCTCTAAACTGTATTAATTTTAAGGTGGTGCATCCATATGTGCCGATAGAAAATGATGAGTTAGAATTACGAGCAGGCGATTATGTTTACATAAATAGTGATGCGTTGACCACCACTCCGGATGGCTGGGTAGAAGGTACTTCCTGGTTAACGGGACAAACTGGTCTGTTGCCGGCTAGTTACACGCAACGTACGGCAGAATCTGATGCATGGACGTTGCATAAAAAAGTGTCCCTCACACATATTCCGGAAGACGACGAAAGCACACGGAAAAGTACTAATTGTAAAACACCGATTGTAAGTAGTTCCGACGACGATGAGAAATCAACGGAGATAATGCGCAGTGTTAGTGAAAATTTGACAGAAAATGATTTAAACATTGTGCACAATCCATCGAATTTGTTAGAAGTTTGTTCTAATACTTCCAAAGTAAGTTATATGTTTTGTTAAACGACTACTTAAAAATAATAACCCTTTTGGTTTTATTAGAGTTCCGATGAAGATACACAAAAACTGTTTGTAATGCGTCATGGCGAACGCGTTGACTTTACTTTTGGTTCTTGGATTCCCTACTGTTTCGACGCCAACGGCGGATACATCCGTAAAGATCTCAACATGCCTACGAATATTCCAGCGCGAGCCGATGGACCAAAAGGCTACATAAAAGACTGCCCATTGACTAATATCGGCCAACTGCAAGCACGACTTGTTGGTGAAGCCCTTTTTGACAGCAATGTCACCATTACTCACGCATATTCCTCTCCTTCGTTACGCTGCGTACAAACATGCGATGCTGTTCTTAGCGGTTTGGGTATTAAAGACACAGTGAGTATTAAAGTTGAACCATCACTTTTCGAGTGGTTAGTGTGGTACCAAGACACGACGCCCAGCTGGCTCACTCCAGACGAATACCGAACAGCCGGGTTTAACATTGACGAAAACTATGAGTCCATCATCACGCAACAGGAACTGTTCAAGAATCGCGAGAATTGCGAACAGTTCTACGAGAGAAGTCATCGAGCGACTTCAACGATAGCCAAGAATCATCCAACGGGTAATATCTTATTAGTAGGTCATGCTGCGACCATAGAGGTATGCACACGACAGCTCACCGGTATGAATATTCGCAGTCCATCTGAAATGTCGAAAATAATTCAGAAGGTACCATACTGCAGTTTGGTGATGGTAGAAAAGAAAGTCAACGGTAAGTGGGAGTTGTGTGAAACTCCTTGTCCGCCTATAACGCATTCAGGCAATAATAGATTTGACTGGATGGTCCTACTCTAAACTTGTTTAAATTTAGTTTTGATGGATTTGTAAGTGTAACTTATTTAGGGCATGATATCTTCTACCTTCAGTGACTTATAAAGTCGACGAGTGCAGAAAACCGATTGTTCCCATAGGCTGAATTTGTGAACGCTAAGGTTGCGATTTAATATGCATATGTTAAAATGGACCTGCTCAATGATTGTTGTTAGCGATGCTGTTTACTATATAATGCTTAGAATAGGTGTCATTATTCTTCAGAAACTGTAACAACTGAAGCTATGATGTGTGACAATACTCTTAAATCATACTCTTGACACATTCCTTTCTTTGCGCTGATTGTGCAGTAGGAAACAGTCAAACCGGGAAATGGTCTTAGAACCATTAACATTAACATGATACAAAACCGAATGGACAGCTTAGTTACAAAATGTTAGTTGTTGATTACTCAACCATATTAATCAAAAAAAGAAACTGCATGATCCTTTACTTTACATAATATTGCTGCGGAACCACTTAAAAAATCACAAATTATATGAAACTAAAAACATTAAACTAGCTTTGATAGAAAGATACATAAATAGTTTAAGAAATTCAACTAAAAAGACGATATTGTATTACAAAATTTCAACTTCTGTTAATATTTACACAATGTTCACCTATATTTTGACTTTTTTGTTTAGTTTTGTAAAACTGTTGATTGTTAAAAATGTTGTTATATCTCGGTGTATTGATTCCGAAATTGTTGACTCATTAACTGTACTGACTTATTGTTGAATGTAATCTGTGCCGTACCACTACCTACATCATTATTATTTGTTTCGCGCAGACGAACTGTAGAGTATTGTATGATGATGAGACACAATTAAAAGTATTCAAATATGTATTTGTACAAATTGTTTTACAAGTTATAAACATTCACAGATGTCGTTTTTATTTACTCTAAGATGATTGGCGTTCATCAATATAATCATTCCACTTTCATCACATTCGTATGATTTAAATGTGACCACCTTCCTTAAGTTTTCCAACAAGAGCGTCTACGTCAGGCAGCACAACGCCAGCTTGACGAGTTGGTGGATCCTCCACGCTGAGGATTTTAATGCGTGGAGTTACATCAACGCCGAGGTCTTTGGGCGTCATTTTAGCAATTGGTTTCTTCTTGGCTTTCTAGTATGAAAATAATGATTAACAAACTGCGAAAGGAAATGTTTTTAATAATTTACCATGATGTTTGGGAGAGTGGCATAACGTGGCTCGTTTAGTCGCAGATCGGCACTGATTACGGCAGGAATCTTGCATTTTACAGTTTCCATACCACCATCAACTTCACGTTTTACTGTCATATCTTTGTCACCTTTTTCTATCTAAATAATCCAAACATATCTTTGAATATAGTCAATTAATAGCTACATGTAATATTAACTAATACCTGTGATGCAAAAGTGGCTTGTGGCCAGTCAAGATTAGCAGCAGTCATTTGTGCTGTCTGATTGGCATCATCATCAATTGCCTGCTTGCCTACAATGATCAGATCCACCTTCTCCTTTTTCGCAAGTTCAGCCAAGATTTTAGATACATGAATGGGCTGCAGAGTGTCGTAATCCTTTCCACTGACCTCTACATGAATACCTTTGTCCACACCCATAGCAAGTGCAGTCCTAATCACTTCCTGACTCTGTGTAGGACCCACTGACACAGCAATGATTTCTGATGCCAGCTTCTTTTCCTTCATTCGAACTGCCTCCTCTACAGCAATCTCATCAAAGGGGTTCATTGAATGTTTCACACCATCTGTGACTACACCTGTTTTGTCAGGTTTAACACGGATCTAAAAATGTTTCAGAAACCATTTTCCATGTGATGTAATGTTATTTGTTATAGTTTATAGTAGATAGCTTAGTTTTGTTGTGCTGGTTAGTGCAAATAAGTTACCTTAACTGCATAGTCAATCACTCTTTTAACTCCAACAAGAACACGTGCCATTTTTACGCCAAATATAAGCTGCGAACGACAATATACTGGAACAGTGTATGGGGTAGAGTTATATTATGTAAATTCGGCGATTAGGACTGACAGAGTTGAACGATGGACTTTGGATTTATCAACTCGCAGTATCTACGAATCAACAACATTCATGTTTAACCACTCTCTCTCCACTTCAAGCTACCATGGCCGCCGCCACGCGTTAAAAATATTTCAAATTCTCCTACTCATTTTAAGCAGCTATAAAGTTGATAATGCATATATTTTGATATTAACATTAACAATTAATCCACCAAGAAACTAATTTTTATATAACTCTACTCTCGAAACCAGAACATTATTAAGTTATACAAAATTAATATAAGTTAATACAAAATCATTCAAAATTAAGTTTTCTTTGATTTTCACCGAAATTTTAAACTTTGGATTTCAGATGTCATTCAACATACAAAATATAAGTACTAAGTATTAATATATTTTAAGGGATTATTCGACCGGAGATCACAAAATTGAGATTCAAAATCACACTCTGTGCACTTTTGTTATAAAATGTTTAAATATTAATGGTTATAACATCATAGCTTTACTCTAGATAACAACATATACTGAGTCTTCCTCTTAGCGTACCTCTCATTGTTTCTTGTAGCAATGAGCAACACATTGTTTTTAAAGTGAATATAAGTGTGGTGTGATAATTGTTTGAGGAATGGCTTATATAAAATAACTACATAATGAATATGATAGATAATGACTAAATATTTAATTTAGATTACTTGCTTTTTACAACGTTGACACAGGCCTCCGTGGCGCAATCGGCAGCGCGTTCGGCTGTTAACCGAAAGGTCCGTGGTTCGATCCCACGCGGGGGCGTCTCTTTTTTACATTTCAATAAATGTTATGATAACAAATAAATTTCTGTTATTAAATTTGCTTTTTGTTTTGTAAACGCCTTTATTTTTGATTTTGTCATATTTCAATTTATTTTTTTAGCTTGTACTGTTCTTGTATTATTTTTATTGTAGTAGGTAGCATATTTTATATTCTAGGCAGCAGCAACCACTTGGTCAGCCACTACAACTACCCACATTTGGCTTGACGAGCATTTGCTTTGATTTTGCAATGGTTTTGAATGTTTTATGGCAAGTCCTCGCGAAGAACTTCTAATCTGTTGTATTATTTTCATATAAATTCAAAATTGTTAAATAATTGATTATTCAATTGTAATTATTTAGAGGCTTGTTAGCGATACCATTTTAGATTTTATATAAATCTCGTTATAAAACTATGATTTCTTGAATGTATTGTTTTGTGGGAAAAGAATGAGTTTTGTTTATATCAATAAAGTCCGGCAGGAAAGTAGTCGTCAGTGTATAATCTGTGGTGAGTCTTTTAACTTTAATATGAATAAGGCTACAATAGATGTCGCTACCACGTTAATTCCAGAACTAGTTATTTCTCTTTTCTTGTCATCCACACGTCTCACTTCATTTCAGTCAGATTTTCAGTCAGTAACAATGTGTGGTTGAGTGTGGTCGTGAGCAACGTTATTTGGTGAACAGTTTTTTTTTGGAAAATTCCTACTGCTTTATTTGCCCCATCACGTAAGTCCAATACCTGTATTTATCATCCACATATTAGCCTAAAAGACGATTGTCTCGTGGCTCGTCAATAACGTCAAGGTTGAGCGAAGACGTGATTCATAAACATAACCCTCTCAGCTGTGACAGTATTATATTGCCTTGCAGACTGGCGGAGCTACTTGCGCGTCGGGTTGTCAGGTGTTTTGATCAATAATGCCGGCGAAATTTTCCCACTTGGACACTCACTACCGAAGGGGGTGTGTTGGGTGTGTTTATGATGATTATGATGCCGATCTGCACGCATTTCATTACATTTTTATTCGGATAATTTGTCTCTGGTTTATCAGTGGTGACAAGACAAGAATTTTGCAAGTAATTCTTGATAAGTAGCATAGTAACGTAATGCATCCTCATGAAATGTAACGAAAACGAATACGTGCCTAGTTAAATTTCTATTTTAATCAATAAGTATTAAAAAAGAATTCTACGGGCATGGTAACTATATTATACCTACATATATACAATTGCGATACAATAGCATTATAACTGTAAAAGACGTTGACAAAGAGTACAACAGAGTATGACAGACGAGAAACCAAATCAGGTGGTAATTTTCCAGACGAGGCGACCCTTGACAACGACGCGAATTCATAAAAACTTGTTCGGGCGGTGACTCATGGGATCACATTTTCGGAATTCGTTTGATGTACGTTTCAATGTAAGCACACATGCGATATATTATTCACAACGTTGGCGATGTATCGGATGGAATAAGCCATGTTGGAGGGGAAATGCTCTCCACGCAGTTGCATAAGGATTGTGCAATATTATAAGGATTACATGTACTTGTTAAACAACTGGTGTACTGCAGAAGTTTAATAGATTTATGTTTTTTCATTTTTTAAATCTAATTTAGTAAAATTGCAAATATTGCAACAAATATCTACGTATATGCAAAGCTGCCGGTAGTGTAGCAAGCTTATACTTTCTTTAAATGTTTTCAACTATTTTCTATTAACTTAGCTGACTTTGATTTTATCCCTTTCATTACGCGAGTATGAACCAAACATATGAGTTGATACGTGTTCATTTCCGGTTTGGAATTAGGCCAGATATAGCTCATTGTAGGATGCTGGCACACACATCTCGAAAGATTGCAAACGTGCCAAGGAAATATGAAAAAGCTAAATTTGCACCAGTAGACCTAGTCATTTTTGCTTGGCTTTGAAAATTTTGTGTTTATAAAGTCATTTATCTTCCAAAATTTAGGTTGTACCTAGTTGACTATAGTTTTATATATATGTATAATAATAATAAATATCATTAATAACATGACGTCGTCTTGGACTATATTATGTTTTGTTTGTGTGCTACGCACGCCATGTTTTTGCTATACTTGTTTATTTTAGTGTCTATCTAAAGAGGCGGTACAATGTTACTCGGAGTCACGACCAAGGTAACATCAATTTGAGACCGGTTGTTTGTTATTGGTGGCGGGAGCTCAATACGCCTAATGTATGTTATTGTATTATATTGGAACGTTTATGCTCGGTTGAACCTTTGCACAAACAACATAGTTCAATTATTTTTTACATATGCCAAATATTGCTTTAATCTAAGAAATTTTAGGTATGAAAACTATAGAGAATTTAATTTATTTAAGATTGTACGTGAAGTGAGTGAATTACATTTTGTTTCGAGGAATACATGTTTTGCCTCGAAGGCATCGTCAGTAACTTCGTCTATTTCTTATAAAATATTTAATTAAAATAAATAATTAATAACTACCTATACGATCATTCTCACCGTACTCACTCATTCTACTCGAAGATTTATTAAAAATATTTACTAATTTGTTGGCATTGCAAATTGTTTACATAGTTACAGAAATCCTTCAACAGTTTCTGATCATGTGGGCAGTCATGAAAAGTGTTTCGTTTCAAGTTTAAAGAAAGCGTTTTATTTTTCGGCGCTCAGACGGCGACACGTGCCAAAATTATTTGTGAATCTTCTGCGTCTCGCAATAATGTGCGTCTCACGTAGGACTGGCCGCAGTAGGTTGTTGCGAACTGTAGGTTGATATGTGACACATTTGTTTGGCAAACTATTTGGTAATAAAAGAAGAATAAATAAACGCATGTTGAGATGTTACGTTTCATCTGTGTCTACACGTGCAAACAGTTCTTGAATTGGATATAATGCAATCTTGTCATTTTATTTATCGACATGCTACACAATTTATTTAATTATTTGTTTAATTATTGTTTTAATTAATTAGTTATGTATATCTTGAACAGGGCAATTAAATTAATTTTGGATATTCGCCTGAGTATAGAGTTTTCTATGCGTTTTCATTATTTATTCGAACTTGTTTTACATTCATAGCATTTTACCTTCATAATAAGTGTGTAACCAATACAATACATAATTTATGTTGTTTTTGTCTAAAAACTAGATCCATGTGTGGTATTAATGTTTTTAATGTTTTGCATAATTTGAATTTACAAATAGAACTCAGCCGATAAACTCACTTGAACCGAACCTTCGCTGATGCACAAAACGTGGAATATGCGAACGCATATTTGTCACTACTACAAAGTCAATTTCTATTGAGTACTAAATAGAAGCAAACAAATTTAGATGTGTTTGTTTTTTAATCTACAATGTATTTATAAACAAATTGATACGGTTTTAAAAATAACAGGAAGCTCAAAAGCAGATAATGTAGTTTTCAAAATAGAGTATATCATGGCATGTGTTTCGTTAACTTTGTTTATTAGAATTATGATTTTATTATTTATTGTATTTATCTACGCAAACGCGGTATGCCATGTAGAATATCGCAGTAACTTGTTTTAATGCGTCAAACATACTGATAATGTATTCAAATTCATAATCACATATTTACACTGCCTTGAAATCTATAGTTTCAGAATTGTATCAGACAAATATTTAACGTGTGTTTGACATAAACAAATGTTTTATACTGCTCTCATGCGTATATTAATATAAATCGAATATAGTGTCAGATCATTTAATCGCTTGTTTATAGAATTTGTGGTGCCTGTATTTTGAATGAAATGAACTGAGAACGTATGAGAAATTCCTGAGCTGCGATTCGTCGAAAAAAGCGGCATGTTCGTGAAACTCGCGGTTGATTGGTCTACTCAAGAACGCGCCATACGTCAGTTTTGCAGGTGTAGTACTATGAATGTTAAATGAGTAGTAACTTGACTTTAGGCTTAGCTTGAAACTAGAGATACTTGACAATTTTCGGTATATCCAAAGGACCCGCGGTTGTTTTTACTTACTATCTTTGTATATTTTTAAAATTCCAAATGCAAATATTGACAAAAAAGTACGTTTCCTTGAGATAACTTGTAAACAGGAGGCATTTATTATTTTGAGAATGTTAAGTTTGAGAATGTCGGCAAATTAATGTTCACACTGTGTAGCATTTTCGTAGTAAACACAATTTTATGTGTGCAACGTGGGCTCGTCTAGTAGAGTTCACCATCGGCGTGCCACGCGCACCGCACACAGAGTAGGCCGAAATGTTTGTTGTGCAAATTTAAATTTTCAAGGTTACTTTATCTTTAACTGTGTGATCTACCGTGTATTAAGTGGATACTCAAATTTTTTAAGTGACCGAAATCTTCAACATGGGTTAAGGATGTTATAAGTGCGCAAAACGTTTCCTGTTTGTTTATATTGCAAATAGTTTGCATATTGTGAGTTAGCATTTGAATGGGAATTTGCACGTTTTTCAAGGACAGCATTCAATTATAAATTGTTATGATATAAAATACGCCGTAGAAATTCTGTTTTGTTTTTATAGGTCAAATTTACATATCAGGCACTTTTAAACATTTAAAAATCATTATAGTGCATAAAAAATTGAATGGTTAGTAGTCTTGATGACAACTGATATGTTTTTATGTTTGCTTCCACATTCTACTCTACATTTACTTTGCCTTTATGGTTTGTTTGGTTTGTATATTCCGCAATGCCTATTATATAATATGTGTCACCAGATGAAATACGTTTATTTTTTATCTTAATGTTATTATTGTTTAGATTTTTGTCTTGATTTTTGATTTGTGCAATATATTTAGCGCTCGCAGAACAAAACAAATTGATGCATTTGACTGTTTAAGCGAAGGATGTGCGTCATGTGCGCACGATTGTGTCCTTCGGTTTATGAGTCCATTTTTAAGTACGTTGTTTACGTTTGTAATTTGCAAAACGTCATAGCGTCAAACGTAAACCCAATTATTTGTCGAAATTGAATTCAATATTTTAATTTATTCTATTGTGAATTAGGAGCCTTCGGAATAATAATATGTAATCGCGTGATGTGTACAAAATCGATGAAGGATCACTCAGAATGATTATAAGGTACATTTTTGCGAATTGCCAATTTCATACGAATTTTATTTCGACGTAATTACGTAACATGCTTCGATTGAAAATATAACAACCTAATAAGTACATCGAATAACAAAAATACTGATGACCATCAATCATGAGTGTTTTTTTCGTTATTTTTTATTTGCAATAAACGATAGGTACATAGATATAGGTACTTAATGATTAATATTGGAATAATGCCAATGTAATCTGTTATCTAATAATCAACCATAACAAAGCATACATCAACTACGTTGCTTTAATAACATGTTTTTTAACCAATGATATGCGTAGGAGTAGTTGCAAAGTTTGCGAACGGGAAAATATTTTCGCACATTAACATTAAATAAATAAACGCACATTAACTCTCAAAATTGCGTTATAAAAGTTTGTTTTCTGTTATATATTGTATTAGTTTTAAGTAGGAAGGATTTAATTTAATCTTTTAATTCGGAATAAATGAAATTTTACAAAAATTTTGCAATTTTTTCGTTTTCCACGAAGTAAGAAATAAGTTACTACCAAGCTTTATTTTTGTTAAAATATTTGTAAAGTATTTGAGTCGCTTGATTGAAGGTTTAAAAAAATCTCTTGAAATGTTCAGCTTTTTGGCATTATTTATGTAACTTCATTATTGATTCATTATTCATTATTAACAGCATTATTGTGCTTTCATATGACAAATAGAGTTTAACATTTACGGCAGAAAATGCTGTTAAACCACGGCTGCGCAGACTTCAGACCCATGACTTCCGATTAAATCACACGATATTAATTTATTTAAAGAAACAAAATATCTTACTTCTTACTGCATTCGAAGCTTGTTTACTTCCTTATAATTTCCAACTGCCACTGACATACAATATACATATTATTGCGCAATGGATCGTTTAATATAACCATAATTACAAAGTGAAAATTACAGGAGTTTAATAGTAAATAGCTGAAATAGAGAGTGTTACAACTCGCAACTTGTATTCTTAATTAACATTACAGTTGATATGTGCGGCAGTATGACTCGAAAAGTTACTGCAATCTGTGAAGTCAATTTAAAAGTTAAATCAGCTGCTTGCAAAGCACGAGTCAATGCATCGCCGACTCCCCAGAATCGTTAAACTAAGAACTCAATATCTATTTGAACTCTATACGCATTCATAGGTAGTTCAATGGAATCATAGCTTTTATGAAGTTATATTCGTTCTTGTTATTGAATGAAAGTACACTTAACTGCTTATATTATTATTGAATCGAATTTCGTGCTATTTATAACCAGACTTACTTAACCGTAAGTAATTTGTGTATTGTTACTGGAAATCGTCATTTAATCATTTACTTAATCGAAATTTTTATACAGTGTGTTTTTAGGTGTGATTTTGGTGTATCAATTATTATGTTTGTAATGGAAAATTATTGTACTTTCTTATGAGCAACAAATCAATTCTTTACGTCAATGATATAAATGAAAGGTCAAATTATATTGTGGAATTTCTATATTATCAGTAATAACTGATTAAATGTATATCTTTTTGGTATCACAAATTATGGAACAATGACGAGGCAGTGTAGATTACTCTATAAATGTGACGAATATGCGAATCTATTGTACGCCATTGAGGATAATTTTTAAAAGTATTTGTATTTATGATTGAGCGCAGTTTGCACTGCATATATAAATGTTAGTAAGGTGATAAACACAGTTATGAACCGTCCGATTCAAATTTGCACGCATATTATTCTCACACAATCGCGACGCGACGTAACGAGGTGTCGTGTTCAGCCATTATCTATCGCACGATTGTGTGTGACGAGCCACCAAGTCGCGCAATACGATTTTATAAATGTGCGCGCGGAGCGAAAGTAAAACCAGTCGATCTTCGAACTCGAGTGCGAACGCAGCTACGCTACAACCAACCAAACGCAATTTAAACAAACTAATCAAAAGTCATACAAGTGGCTTATAAAGAACTTCTAGTTGTTATATAGTGTTAAATAGTTTTAGGTTATCACTTTGAAATTTTAAAAGACTGATTTTTGCATCAAGTTTTATGCGAACCGTGAATGTGCAATAAATTTAATTATAGTTTAAGCATTCAAGTTTTGCAACTGTGAAGTTTGTCAATATTTGGACTTATATTTCGCGCGTGTTGCAATAACTTTCAAATCTTGGCGAACGTATGTTGTTCGTGTTTGAAAACTGTAAGTAATTTGTCTTTAAATTCAATCAGTCATTTTCAAGTTATTTACAAAACAAAAACATTTTAAGTTATTTAAAAACCTGCATATCTTAAAATAGGTTTAATGTGTGTAATCGATATTCATAGCGTGTATCGAAACTAAACCGAATATGTGCCCATTTCTATGACAATAGTAGACTAAAGTTCAAGAACCTTTTCTAGGAGATGATTTTAGTGATTTAAAAAAAAGTTTTATCACTCGTCTCGATTGTTTTAATCGTGGTTTGTTGATCACGAAAATGTAATGTTTTGGACTTTGTTTTTTGAGATTCGAAGAATTTAATAAGTTATTCTTTGTGTTTACAATTTGTTCCGTTCGAGGCAATGCATGTAGGCATTGCAAAATAAAACTATTTCGCTTATATGTACATTTAACAATTATAGTCATTAGTGTGCGTCATACGCAAAAGGTCGACGTTTCTTTGTTCAGATTTAGAATCATAAAACATCTATTATTTATTTACTGATAAGTTTGATGTTTGTTTCATGCTAGAACTTTATTTTGTTACAGGTATGTTCTCAAAATCTGAAGAAATTGACGATTAGAATGTGTCTGGGTGCAAAATAATCAAAATCAATTACATAATCCCAACGTGCACCAATCCCACCGACCAAGATGTCTATGAACTACATCGGCCGGGTGTTAAATAACTTTAAGGAATTTTACAATGAAATCAATGGCGCTACACTCACCGGCGCAATCGATGTCGTCGTCGTTGAGCTGCCGGATGGCACGTTCAACTGCTCGCCGTTTCACGTACGCTTTGGCAAGATTGGCGTGCTTCGAAGCCGAGAAAAAGTGGTAGGTTAATTTGAATACCGAAATTTGAATGCGAAATGAAAAGAAAGGATTTTAATTTGGTTTATTGTGGATGGGTTTCAGGTCGATATCGAGATCAACGGAGAACCTCAAGATATACATATGAAACTAGGTGAAAGTGGCGAAGCGTTTTTCGTCGAGGAGGTGCTCGACTCTGACAATGAGGACATCCCCGAACATTTGGCAACTTCGCCAATTCCGGTTTCGCATTTTGAAGAACTCTATAATTCGCAGGTATATATTGCTTGCGGCTTTTTTTTCGCTAGTACGTCAACAGACAACACGTTGATTAATATATAAATCTAAAAATGAGGTCATGCGTTCAACAGACTCTAGAGGCTAGACAGTAGTACACAGTTATACGTAGCAGCAACCTTATTGATGTTAATTCTACCTATTTTTAGGGACGCCGTCGCAATAGTTTTGATCTTGGTGATAAAAAACCTGTGCAGAGCATCATTGATATTGAAAACTTGGAGAATCAAGCCAACGATTACAGCAAACGTCGCTATACTGCCGACAATGATAATGAGAAGAAGCGCGGTCGGGACTTTATCAAGCGCCAAATTGGTTTGGGAAATTTAGATTGGGCAGAAGCTTCCATGGAAGACTTGACTTTGTCTCTACAATCTAATACCAAAGGGAGTGCGGATGATCTCACGCAGAAGGATGAAGTTTCCGATACTATTTTTAAGATGGACAGTCTTGATGGCGAGAAAACTCAACCGTCAACACCGAAAGAAGAAGGAATAACTGGTACTCCTGTAGTACCAACTGTTCTCACTACACCTGCACCTGTAGTGACACCCAAGAATGAAGATACTTCTAACGAATCAAAGAGTAGCAAGAAGAAGCGCAGAAAGAAAAGTGTTATGAAGAAGAAGAATTCTCAGCGTAAAGTTTCATCTGTCGAACAGCCTACTATGGACGCACCGGAATTGCAGCTTGAACCTAAAGGTAACGACTCAAACACAGATCGCAGTTCGATGGAAAGCAGCCCGTCTGAGACGGATCTAAAAGAAGGCAGCAAGGCGGAGGAAAATACTGTTTCGACCAGCTCCAACACCAGCCGCAAAGTTCCTATGGATCCAGATTTTCACTTTTTCAGTGACACCGAGCTCACTACCAATCCGGCTGATTCAAGGCCTAATACTCCGATTCACGTCGAATCTGTACAGTCTGATACTGAATTTGAAGTACAGAAAAGTAAAGGTGAATTTAATTTAACAAATTATTTTCCTTCTAAATATTTATGTTGTATGTGCATGTTATATGAATACAGAAGATGGCAAGGCGCCGACATCAAATCCAAGCCAAAGCTGGGCCTGGGGTGAATTCCCTAAGAATATGACTCAACAAATGTCGCCGACAACGGAAAATGCCGGCGATGTCGACCCCAATCAGGATCAACAGTCGATGTTGAGTCACGTGTTTTCATTTATGAAACAAAACAAGCATCGACATCGCAACAGCAAAACCGACGGTGTTTACCTTGCTGATATCAGCTCGGGCGCGATTGAGCCGGAAGTCGCTTCGCTGTACTTTACTACAAATAACTACAAGCGTAACACAGGTAACAAGAACAGTTTGAGCACGTTATTTGTTGAGCATGTGAATTGTGTAGCTATGATGGGTTTCTGCTTGCGTGTGGTGTGTCTTGTAATATCGATGTTATGTGTATTTACCGTTCAGATGCAGACATGGATTGTGAATCAGGGAATGGACCATCATTAACGCAGAGTCCTAACAGCGCCGAGGGTTCCAAATCGATTGACTCTGATTTTGACGAACAAAACAAACTGTAAGCAAAATATGTTCCTTTCTACCTTTTCTAAAATTACTAATTTCTTGCTTTTGAACAGTGCTCAATCGTATATGCATGATATTTCCATTTCGATGTGTGGATGGGATCCTGAACCGACCGATGACAACTTTATTCGTCATGTAGTGGCCTTCAGCGATCTTTGCAACAATCCGTCATTGTTCGAGTCGGAGAGTCTTGTGGTGCGGATCAAGAAGAAGTACTACACATGGAAAGTTGCAGCGCCGATCATTTCTAGTCTCATTATTTATCAACGACCCCTGCCTCAAGTAAGTTTTTTTTTTTGCTTTCTAAACAAGATTTATTTAATTCTGTGATTAACAATTTAGTCCACCGTTGAGCAATTGGTGAATATTCATATGCCAGTTAACAATAACAACAATCCTACGCCTGAAAAAGAGCCGAAAACAGAACAGCGGTCGTATTGGTGGAGTTGGCGACGTGGTCGTAATTCTAGGGAAACCACTCCAGTTACTGAGACAGCGGATAAGCTGCCTGAACTGGAATCAATCAAAGTGGAGGAGGCGCCTGCAACGAAAACCGAAGCTATCGCAACTACTATGACTCCTATCGATAGTAGTAAAGATTCTGGTTGTGAAGAAAAAGGATTGTCTGATTCACCTGAGTCAAACATGTGTGGTCTTGGCGAGAAGTGCCGCAAGACTTTGAGATTAAGTTCCAACCAAATTGTAAGTAATTTGAATAACGTAAATTTATATTTTAAGTACATATGCTAATTTTTATGAAAAGGCAAAGTTAAATCTGAGAGCCGGTATGAACGAAGTGGAATTTTCGGTTACCACTGCATACCAAGGAACGACCAGATGCAAGTGTCACATTTATCGCTGGAAGTGGGATGATAAAATTGTCATTTCCGATATTGATGGCACAATTACCAAGTAAGTGTTTAGCCATTATTTTAATGACTATTTTTACGACTGTTCAAATGTATTATTTAATAAAGGTCAGACGTCTTGGGACACATTTTGCCGATTGTTGGAGCTGATTGGGCTCAGACTGGAGTTGCGCAACTCTTCAATAAGATCAAAGACAACGGTTATAAATTGTTGTATTTGTCAGCCCGTGCAATTGGCCAAGCACGCACTACGCGTGACTACCTCAAATCTATCAAGCAAGGTGATCTATATATGCCGGACGGTCCTGTGTTACTGAATCCGACATCGCTGATCACCGCCTTTCATCGCGAAGTAATTGAAAAGAAACCGGAACGGTTTAAGATTTCGTGCATGAGTGATATTAAGGCTCTCTTTCCGCCGGACTCTGATCCGTTTTATGCTGGATATGGAAATCGAATTAATGTATGTGTGAATAAATTTATTTTTATTTAAAAGTTGCTCTAATTAATGTTATTACAGGATGTTTGGGCTTACACCGCTGTTGGCATTCCAATTGTGCGCATTTTCACGATAAACTCGAAGGGAGAGCTCAAACATGAGTTGACTCAGACTTTCCAATCAAGGTATGTGTTTATTATTCAGTTTATTACTTATAATATAAGGGCCAGTTCGGTACAGAGGAGTTTAAATGTATATTTAATTTTAGTTTGTAGTATAAATGTGGGGACAGGTGCATGGAAATATGTTGTCATTATAAGTGATTCTATTAAGTTTTGGTATGTTTCTTTTAATTTTTACAGTTATTCCGGCCAATCGTTGGTTGTCAATGACGTATTTCCACCAATCTTTAATAAAATTTTCTCAATTGACATTGACGATGACGAGATTGACGATACAGACTCGTCGTCTGACTAGTTAATGAGTTTAAACGAAATTTTGAACAAAACGTGATCGCGAAACATTGATCAATTGCATTTATAAATTACAAAATATGCAATTGCAATGTATTAAACTTAGCTGTGATGATCGAAACTGATATATTGTTAATGTTATTACGCGTAGATAATTTTACAAGATGACATAAAAAGTTTTACTTCTTTTTAACTTGTGCAAACTTGTTTGTAGTCATCTTTTGTTATAAGCTAACAAAAAGCACTAGTCATGTGAACAAAGTATCAAGCATAAAATAAATTGATATTTTTGATAGTAATGTTTTAATATAATATTAGCTGATATTTGCCATGACCACTGTGTTAGCATGGGAAACAAATGGAACATTTGCAATAAGATCATATCATTATATTAATTAAGCATGTTTGACTGATTTGTTTTATGTGCAACTTTAAGTTCTTGTTTTATGTGCATCTTTAAGTGCTTGTTTTATGTGCATCTTTTAGTGCTTGTATTATATTTAAATAACTAACATGTGGTGGCGGCTAGCATTCGTGTAGGCAAATGTTCCTTTTATTTCATGTTCGATAATTGTAATGTAAAACAAAGTAGATATTTTGGCAAACTATAAAAATAATCAACGAAACCCACAATGCTCTGCAATATTCTGCACGTCCACACAAGCAACGCATTTGTTTGAATCGGTAAGCGTTAGTGATGAGTTTGCATTGAATTTCGTGTGGCGAATTTGTTTAGCATAATATTAATACTGTGTGCATTTTCTCTTTTGCAGTTATGCGAACATGAGCGTCATTGTCGATCAACTCTTTCCACATGTTCGTGATCCTGCAAATGACTACTCTACGTTTATTTACTGGCGTGCACCAATGCCAATTGTCGATGATTTGCCGGCGCTCTAAATAGGGAAATGTTGTCGTCGGTGAATTGCGGGGCGCATTTACTAAATTAACGTCGCATTATTCAATATTAAAAAGAAGAAATTTCATTCGTAACTTATTCAAAATGAAAAGCTAAAGTGTGTAACTTTCAAATTAAACATATTGGTGTCTCTTGCTGACTAAACAATACTATTGCAAGTTGCGTAGTTACATTTAAAATTTGCAAGTTTTAATACACGCTAAGTTCACTGCTCTAGAATGGCTTTTATGCTACGTACTTTGCATAATAAACTTGCATCCATTAGACTCATTCGATTGATAAAGCTGAAGTTCTTTGATTAATTTCTGTAGTTGTGATTTGTTAATTTAACAATTTTAGAGTGGTTAGTCTATTTTAGTGCTACGTATATTACCAATTGTTTAAGATACCAATTTGTTTGTAGGAAAACGTAATGTTTATTGGTAGTTTTTAGAATGTGTTAGATGAATTGTAAATTCACGATTATTGAATTGAAAAGGCTGTTGGTATTGTGATAATAACTACCAATGCATTGGATTCCATAATACTGTTAGTTTTTTTTGTTAGATATATATTTTTGTATTTGGAAACATAATAATCAATTATTTCTTTGTGATATTTATTTTTAAGTAGATCAATTTCAGTCTGTGTGTTTTCCTAATTTTTACGTGTACGCTATTGTTTGATGCGAAAAATACATTTATGTATGCAATGAAATGGTATGATAAAAAATATAGAAATAGCAACTGATATAAACGATATATGTATGTTAAAAAATTCGAATGTTTTCAAATATTTCGAGTTTATTACTTTCTAGGAACTTTTGTACAAACCTATCGAATTTTAACTTTCATGTGCATTATATATTCTGGAATAAGTTTCAAGGCAAAACCCATTTCAATATGCGACAATTTGGTCCTTTGGTTTAACCTTGCAGTGATCTGATTATCCAAAAACTACCACATTAATTAAAGGATTAAAAAAAGAAAACCATTGGAACCCAGAATGTGAATGCCAATAGCATGAATTTTTTACCTTATGGCAGCATTTTATCACAAAATGCATAAATTTGTTGGTAAATTCCATCCAGCCTTTCCCCTTAACATTGTTGTTTGCTTCACGGATAATTTTCCGATTCTTTCTATCGTCCTGCGCAGGACAAAGCCAATCCAAGATGGTGGACGTCCTTGGCATGACATAAATTATGATGTCATTATGTAATCTCGCGCAAATGTCAATGTTGAACACGAATTTATAATTATGTACAAATACGTGTGAGTTCTTACTCGGCAATGAACGCAAATAAAGTCCAATACGCGTGGTAGTTGCAACACACTATTAGTTAGGTGAGTTTTAAATGAATACATTAGATAACCTCAAACTAGATTTTATCATAATCATATTTCTGTGCATAATTCTCGGTATCATTTCCAAATAACTCCTGTCCATTCTCATCAAGAACAATCTACGAGAATAACGTTGATTTCACTTGCATTTAACAAAATGTACATAATTTTCACATAAAATAACTTGTGTGGGTTTGTTTGTAGCTAGAACTTGTACATTAAAAACAAGCAAACAAAACAGGTAGCTTTTTACTTAAAACAAGAGTGATCCTTCTAAAAAAAGAGCACGATGGCGAGCTTCGCGGCGCAAGCGGCCCTCCGCGTCAAATGGACTTCGTTGGTGGAGGACCATAGTATCGAAGTACCGCCGGAGGTCACAAACAAAGTGACCAGTGTTGTTGGATGGCTGAAGCAGGTCAACAATACACTTACAATGTGTACATGTTACGTTGTTAAGCCACACGCACAATGCATGTAATTATTTCCTTCTTATCAGTTGTTTCATTAGGGAGATAGATTGTCAGCAAACACCCAGTTACCAGTTGCGAAATTTTCATTAATCACACCTTTAAGTTGACTTCATAATCACATAATTGCACTTATGATTTAATATGGTTTCTTTTCTACATTAATAGATGGTTTTCAGTACATATTTAAATATGTATTGATATTGTGTAATTGTCTGTACTGTTCAAATAGAAAGGTAACTGGGGAGTCAGCAATCAGCCTTTAGCTCTAGCTTTAGCTCTAGGCATTGACCTAATTACCTAGATAGTTTTTAAAAAAAACTTTAATTAGCTTTCTGCAGTGTGAATTGTACATTGGCTGCGCTTGGTTACTCATAAGTTTTTGTTCTTTTTTTCTGTATCGGTGACCAGGCGTCGCTGGAGGTGAAAGCAGCAGGACTAAGGGCAGTGAGCAAACTCTCTGAAAACGCCATGGCGAATCAAAACCAACTCGTGATACTTCACTATAACGATGTGTACAATGTCGAGCCTCGTCCTACGGAACCCGTTGGTGGTGCGGCGCGATTTTTGACCGCAATTAAAAGTTTTCATCATCTCAATCCCCTGATCTTTTTCAGTGGTGATGCTTTTTCACCTAGCATGTGTAAGTAACACAATTTAGATATACGTATTTAGTATTCAAGTTTTTATTAATATTTTCAGTGAGTACATTCACACGCGGAGAACAAATGGTTCCAGTTCTTAACGATGTTGGAACTCATTGTGCTGTGCTTGGCAATCACGATTTTGACCACGGATTAGAAGTGCTCGCGCAATGGGTAGCAAAGTGCAACTTTCCATGGTTGATGTCCAATGTTGTGGATAATGAAACTGGTCGTCCATTGGGGGAAGGTAAGATCACGCACGTGATTGATTTTAATGGTAGGCGAATTGGACTGGTCGGTTTGGTCGAAAAGGAATGGTTGGACACGCTCGCCACTATCAATCCGGAAGAAGTCACATTTCTTGACTATAGCGAAGCTGGGCAAAAATTAGCACAGCAGTTGAAAGCAGAAGGATGTGATTACATTATAGCATTGACGCACATGCGGACTCCCAACGATATTAAACTAGCAGAGACCTGTCCAGACATTGATCTTATCTTGGGTGGACATGACCACGTTTATGAAGTCCAGGTCGTAAATGGGATACATATAATTAAGAGCGGAACGGATTTCAGACAGTTTAGCAAGATTACGATTAATTTTGATAAGGCTACACCTGAAATTGACGTTGAAGAAATAAACGTGAATGCTAATTATGCGGAAGATGCTGAATTGAAAGAAAAGTTAGATAAATATTCAGCTGTTGTCGAAAAGCGAATGGATGATGTCCTTGGAAGTTTTTCAGTACCACTGGACGGTCGTTTTCAGTCCGTACGCACTTCTGAATCAAATCTCGGTAATTGGATCTGTGATGTAGTTCTAGCTGCCACCGGTGCTGATCTCGTCCTTCTCAATTCGGGCACTCTGCGCTCTGATCAAGTGCATCCTGCTGGCGATTTTACAATGCGTGATTTAGTCAATATCCTGCCGATGCGTGATCCACTTGTTCTTATTCAGGTGACAGGCCAACAAATTCTTGAGACCCTCGAAAATGGTGTAAGTCAGTATCCAAAACTCGAGGGGCGATTTCCGCAAGTTGGCGGAATCAGTTTCGCGTTTGAGCCAGCACGCCCGCCCGGTCAACGTGTCGATCCCGATTTTGTACGAATCGGCGATGAGTACCTTAAGTTGGATCAGACTTATCGCCTTGCTACCAAAACCTATCTGCATTCTGGTTGTGACGGATATACTATGTTGAAGAACGCTAAGGTTTTGGTTGACGATGATGAGTGCCCAATGCTTGGACTGGCAGTGCAAAATCACTTTCAGGCGATTAATATGCGTTTAGGGAAGACGCGCAGACATTCGAAACATAGGCAGTCGTTGGTGACGCTGTCACGGAGGCACAGCCTGGTAAAGATGTTGGACGGGAGCGAACTTGATGGGCCTCCACCGTTGAGAAAGACAAGCACGGCGGAGGGTTCTGTACCGCCAGTTACGCACGGACCACACACTCATCCGCACAACAAGTTGACGCGGAGAGCATCTCTAGATGATTTGGAGGATGACACTTGTGCGCTCACTCCGAAAATTGACCGGAGAATAATTATTATAACATCTCCAGAGGTAAATTATCATGAGTTCTATTTTTATTTTGCATAATAAACAATTTTGTTTTTATTCTAGAAAAAAACCGAATTGAAGATACAAAGACAACGCCTCGAACAAGATTCAGTCATTCAGGAGGTCGAGGACGAGAGTTCTCCGCAGTATTAAGACACGATTTGAATGTATCTTTCTATTTATGTGAATCTTCCAGTTTTCTTCCTCTTTAACTCTATGATTCCATTTGTTGGTGCCATTATGGTTGGTTGATATTTATTTAATGTATTCATTTCTGAACCATGACCATGGGATATTTATAGCTCTCTGAAAGCGTCAAAGATGTGAAATCTATAAGATATTATTAATATTAATTAAATAACATTTTGTTAATATTAGAAGGAAAGTACAAATTAATTACTGATTTATTGATGTCAAACTTCAATTGTAATTGTATCATGAGTTATTTGATTAATTTTGAACATAGAATGTGCAGTCTTCATGTCGAATATGATCACACCTCTTTGATTACGTATAAGAGCTAATAATTCTTAGAATGGCAGGAATTGATCTACAATTTCTATGTAAAAACAAAGCAAAAACGAAACAGTATCAAATACTTCAGCTTGATTCTACTAGGTAGTGAAAGCGTTAATCGTGTAGTTAGTAGTTTGTTGAAGGTATTGGATAATTAAAAAAAGACATGTCGATTGCAGTGGATGACACACCAAATTTACAAATTATCTTAAAATAAGTCAACTTTTTGCTTAAAGACACACGATACGCGTCAACTAAATATGTAAAAATGCAAGGATATGTACAACTATTAATTGCTAATTACCAGATAATCAAACAAAACGAACATACAATGAAAGACGTAAATCATGATGCTTTAGCTAAAATCACACATGTTATAATCTGTGATATAATTTTCGATAAGTAGACTGAACATTTCGATACATTAACATTATTGCGCTAATTGTACACACACGAGTATTGAGAATTGAAGGCGGACGCCATGTCAATTTACCATCGAAAGTAGAATGCACTATTTGTGTGTTTGTGGGGTCTGTTTTCATGTTGGAATTTATAGCAATTGAATATAAATCGCATGTATGGTGCACTTTGTTGAACGATATCTACACAATGCTTATTGTAATTTGGTCGAACAAATATTGTTGCTTTGAGATGGACACAACATGACGTTAAATATATTATACTTTACCTAAATATACTGTTTTGAGGATCCTTAATTTATAGTTGTTCACGTGTAACGTTTCAATCCAAACGGCAAGTCGCAGCTTGTCGTCTGGTTCTTCACACACTGCATATGTTTAAACCTTTTTCCGCTTGACGCCTGAACTCATTAAAATGATTAAATTGACCATTGTATTCAAATCTTATTCATGGCTGTGTATAAATATTCTTTGTTCGGTGTTTTCGGCCATTATCTAGTTTTTATTTAAAGCTTAACATGTTATTTTCCCTTTATTTTGCGTTATTGTTTGGGTATTGTAAGAGTGTATACAAATTTACAGGAAATGGCACTGAAGTTTAATATTTTATTGATGAGAATGAAATTCTCAATAATATTTGTTACAAAAATCCTAATTAATCATACCTCAGGGTCCTTTGAATTTGTTTGGCTCGTTGCTACTCAATTCAATTAGAACAGTTGTGTTTAATGTTATTTGTTTTATGTCAAATTGTTTTCATCCCTCATTGTTTGCAGTCTTGTCTATGGAATACTCTACTCTTCACTATGCTTAACTACTCTTTTCATATATTCGCTCATTTTAATAACTACGCTCGAGCTGTTTTTCTAGTGTAAGAAGACTTTTCCTTTACATCTTCTACGCGCAACAATTTTTATTCCTTATTCCATTTCTCAAACATTTTTCTGAGACTTTTCTTCAAAATTTCAACATTTCAGAACTACTCAAGTAAACAATCATACACACAGGTGTAAAAGAGAATAAGGAAACGTGTGAATCTCCTACTTTTGTGGATCTTACAATTGTAAGGATATAGGCAATTGTTTATCGTAATAATAATAACCCCAGGATACACTTATTTGCACTAAATTCTTGTTTTTAGTAATGATGTTGTGTTTGTTGGTAGTGGTTACTGTTAGTGCAAATCCATATAACACTACTGTTCAGAAAAACTGCAGCGTACCATGAGTTTTATCTATTTGTATTCAATTCTCGCAACAGTATGTGAGTCATAGATGTGTGTTGTTTGTTAGTAGCAGTGAGGGTCCATTGAGTACCTATAGTGTCGAAATGCGTGCTCCTGTCAGCTTATGCAGTTTTGTATGTCAAAATGTTTTTGGATGTAGATGAGTGGGAATTGATTTTATTGTATTTCCGCTTTTAAAGCGCATGTTTTTCAATGGGTTTGGGACACAAAAAGTGATACTCTAAAATGGACAGCACAGGCCGTGACTAAAGTACTAGTCACAGGCTTTAATCACGGAATGGGGTTTGCACCTGCGCATTTGCGTACGGTGCAGTACAAGATCATATGAAATGCCATGCGCCGACTGTCAAATCTCCATTTTCCAGTAGTGTGCGAGCTACTTTCAAAGATTTGAATTACAAAAGTTCAAATACGAAAACTTCAATGTGAAAATAAAGCGGAAGTCGAAAAAATAGCGTAACCATCACGTTGCTAAACGTTGTTAAACACTCGATTGATTAAACGCTTGCTACGCTCGGTCTTAATCAATTTCGTGTCAATAACTTCCGTTAGACCCACTTAATACTTAATATGCTATTAAAATTTATATTTACATTATATTTAAAACAATCATTGAGCCCTGCAAACTTTTGAGCTCAAACGACTAATATTAGTTTTATGTCCCCATTTAAAATCCTGTTAATAATCTTCTGTACTGACATAAAATGATTGCAACATCAAAATTCCAATACCCACTAACAAGTAACTCTGTTTTGTGCCATGACCAAACGAATTACAAAATAATTTGACGTCAGTTCTGAGTGCAGTGTCAAATCTAAGTAATTTAGAGAGAAGTTTTAATAAACCAGAGGCTAGATCCATGAGGGAATTCCAAATTGTGCAATATATTACCACAACACATTGGAGCACGTTCTGCGATGTACGCGTTTGCATAATTTGATTTGGATTGATAAACCTCAACATTCTCAACGATCTTAACTCTTTCGGGTCGATATTGGAGGTAAACTGAGTGTAACTTTGTTAAGCGCCAGTGCACGATAAATTAATATTGTGCGGTCCGCTGTAATGAACAACAGAGCGAATGCCTTCCGGTGTATGCATGAGTAATACACGCGGATGAACGGATGGAAATGGTCCTCCCGGATCCTCACCTGACGTCAGCTCGCGCTCTTCGCGGGCTCTCTCCTACTAGAAGACTCGACACCGCATTGGAAAGTCGGTCAGTGTGCTGTTGTCCGACCAGCGAGCACGAGTTCGAGCGCGAGCGCATACCGTATACACCTTCGACGTGGAAGCCGAAGAACTCGACAACTGCGTACAACTTTGCGCGCGTACTGTCTGCACTCATATCGAAGAGAAACGACGTTGCGACCGCGTTAAGTTTGTTCGACCAAACGCGACTACTTACGTGCAAGTTCACGTACGCGTACGTGCGGGCATTAGAATATAAAAAAACTAAGAGTGCGCCTTCTTGTGCATTGGAGAAAAGAGGAAACTTCTCGGGAATTTCCAGCGACTATTGACGAGTTGGAAAAACTTTACACTTTACACACTTGTGGACTACTTCGATGCTATAAGTGAGTAGAAAAAACTTTTCTTTTTTTTTTAATGTGTTATTTAACCGAGCAAAGCAAATTAGTTCTAATTCTACAGTAAAATTGTCAATTAACAAAATTATTGCGCTTTGGAATATTATTACTAAGCTGTAATGAAGTTTTAGTTATTATTTAGGATTGTGGTACTAATTATATTTAGAAATTTCATATTCTGATTCTGACAATTTTATTTCCGCAAAAACATTCTACTTTTCTAGTATTCATTTGTCCAAATTAACTTTGTATATTCATTTTTTTAAGTTTACTTTATTTTACTATACAAAATTGTATTTCTATCATTTATGTATAATATATTAGATCTGCCATTTCTTTTTGAGTAATTAATTAAAGTTTTGGTTAACAGGTGCTAGTTTGGCATGTTTTAAACTTTCTACATTCTGTTATATGATATATGACATATTTGCGGATTTGTAGTATATGTGGAACGAAATGCTCAGTTATAAAAAAAATATTAATAAATAATATTAATAAAAATTAAATGAAATGTTTTATCCGTCAACTTAGATCTTTTAGATCCTGATTTTTAGTTTTATACTTTTGTGCATTTGAAATTTTAACAATTAAAGTATCAACAAAATTTGAATTTAAAATGTAAATTATTTAGTTTACGAATATTTTTGACAATTCCTGTGTTAATCGGGTTTTTGAACTCTTTCAAAGGAGTTTTTTTGCCCGGGCGGCAATAATGTGATTTTTACTCTTACATAAACAACAACGCTTAATGTCGTTTCGTTTTCGCCGGACACAAGACACGTCACTGGCTATAGAGATACAGATACCTACGTGTAACGATACAAGAATACAAGATACCTAAAACAAAACAAAAAAAAGTAGACAACACCAGCTTAAAAAGATATACTAAAAACACTTTCTCGATCTATATTACCTACACGATGTTTACTTAGTGACTATTTTAATCACACACTTTTACTTCAAGTCGTACTTTTTGCCATATTCAGAAATCAACCGTCAGACATCATTAAGTAGAAATTTTCAAAAACTTAAAAGGAGATTAATTTAAAAATACGTTATTTTCGTAGGTTGTGCATAAAATTTGTTGTTTTAAAATATATTTTTTTATTATTATAATGAGCAATCTTCGTCAATTTTGTTAAAAGAACTCATTTTTGGTTGAAACTAATTTATATATAGGAAGCTCTTAACAATATAAACTTTAAAAAGCTATCAATCAACAATCTGCCTAGAGTAAAGTTTACTGTACCGAAATCGTCAATGCAAGAAATTATTGAAAATAAAATAAAAGCATACTTTTACCCTATTTCCATGTTTAGATTTTTCTACTTAAAAATAAAATACTTTAGTCACGGGCTTTAGTCACGTGGTGGAGCTTGCGCTTTCAAGGTAAAAGTAAAAAAAATAACATTTTTAAAGTTTCCTCACATATCACATAAAACCAATATCCCTGGATTTTAAATATGTTATTCAATCTTCAGTATGAATTATTTTAATATTAGCTAATGAATTATGCTGTGTGTTGGGTCACCAATGTCTTGTTTACAATATTTTTTTATACCTTGTGAAATAACTTCCTAGAATGCTCCATTTTGCTAACTTTTAATTATTATTCAATCTGGTGTATATGAGGTAGCACGATTTTTTACATATACTTGAATCTCGCTTGTTTTTAATTACTCGGCCATGAAATACACATTTTTTATTCTTCATACATCGTGCAACGCATTAATTCTTTGAAGTTACGTGACTTTATGACAATTTTTTGTCGTAATACTAAGACCATTGAAAAATATGGTTATGCTTTATTTGTTGTTCAATGTGTTAGCGAAATGCGTAACGTAGGCAACCAACAACACAACATACATTACATTATTTTTCCCGCGCAACACCGGCGCACTGCGTGCGCCCGGTGCAGTAGCTAAGTACAAGCAGAGCGCAGCAGACGCAGATTAAGAGACGCCTTATTCAATAAACGCTATTCAACATTCTTTTACAATTACAAGTGCTCATTGTTTCATGCTTATCTTTTATCACCTGCCCTCACAAGTGCCACACCTAACATCTCAGAAGTGGGATGAACAGGTAAGACGTGAGACTTGAGCATTATTGAGAGCATCCTGCGCGAGGCAGCCTAGTTTTTTTTTCCGCGCCAACGGAAATCTTGGAGGTTAGAACACGTGCCGAAGGGGGCACAACGGAACGCACGAGTAACGGCCAACGTCCCGGCCAACGACGATTCGCGCGAGTATCCCCGAGAAGCCGAAAGACGTTCTACATCCACGATGGGCGATGATGGAAACGAAGCTGGTGCGTCGCAACAACCGATGCCACCACAACCTGGCACGGACGCCGCCACCCTGGCCGGCGTGATGCAAATGTTCAATACGTTAATGCAGTCGATGGCAATGGCGCAGCGCCCATCGCCACCGGCCACCACCTACCATAGTGCACCGGGTGCACAGTCCGGACTTACGACGTTCGACGCGAAGACGAGTGCCTCAGAGTGGTTGGCATCGCTACGCCGCCAATGCCAACTACATCAGTGGAACGACGCGTACGCGCTAGAGGTTGTGCGAACGCATCTCGCTGGAGGACCCGCCGTATGGTTCCAGGATCTGCAGGGCGTGCACACGTTAGTCGATTTTGAAGCCGCCTTCACCAACACCTTCATCCAACAAGACAGTTTTGCTACTCGTTGGAAGCGGATGGAAAGTTATGTACAATCCAAAGACCTTGATATTACTGATTACTTTTACAACAAACTTCATTTATGTGCAGGGTTGGAATTGAGCCTGGAGGAGAAGAAGGAACAACTGCTTATTGGGTTGTATGATAAGCAGCTGTGCACAGCCATGATGGCACAACGTCACGCCGACACCAACAGCCTGTACCATGACTTGCTGAATTATTTGCGTGTGCACAAGGCTCGTGAGGAGCGCTTGTTTCCTTCTCCCAGGAGTCAATCAACCCATGCACCACGTGTGATGGATTCCTATGGTGCGCCCATGAAGAAACCATCAGAAGTAGGGCGGTCCGCAACCCCAGCACCGCCACAGCCGACTACAAGTCGAGTCATGAAATGCTTCAACTGCAACAAGGAGGGACACCTCGCCAGAGATTGCCCTATCCCACCAAAACCACGCGGACTATCCAAGCCCGAAACCCGTCCAGCGGAGACAGCCGCAAAGAGTAATGGACAAGTAAAGATCATTACTTCGCAAGACAATGATGGTGTGCTCAAATACTTGAAGCCAATCACATGCAACGGAATGGCGTTCCAGAGCTTGATTGATCCAGGAAGTTCGGAGTGCACCCTGAAGGCGTCGCAAGCCATCGCCGCAGGCTTTACCATTCAGCGCAAGGAGACCTTGCTGAAGGCATTTGGTCCCGCAAACCATGTTGTCAAATCTCCCGGATTTGTCACGGCGGATGTTGCCATCGATGGTGTAGTTCTCTTAGAAATAGTCTTTAGCATCGTTCCCGACGACGTTCAGAGCGTGGACGCCATCATCGGTCGACCATTCACCGAGAACCCGTCTATCGTCTACATGCGCATTGATGATGACCTGATATTTACGTACCGTAGTGATGATCCGTTCTCTGCTTTGGAAGTCGAGGCGAAGAAGCGCGCGTCAAATCGAGTGACGACGGAAGCGAACATTCCACCACGTTCCGTAAACCTGGTAGAGGTTGTCTCAGGTACGGAAACGCATGCTTTTCCACTGATCAATTGGGCGGTTGAGCCCACTCATGTATCTCAGAACACGAGTCTGTTTCGGGGTGAGGTACTGAATTTGGAGCAAGCTGAGCCCCGCCAGCAACCCATTCCACTCGAGGTCATCAACGTGGACGACAATTTGGATACGGACACAGTGAACGAGCTGCATGGCCTCCTCAACGAGTTCCGCGATACCATTGCGATCGATTCCTCCGAGTTAGGATGCACAACGGTCCTACAAATGGACATCACCGAGGTGCCGGGCAGTCAACCCGTGCGCCAGAAGCCTTACAGATGTAGTGCCGATGAGCGCGAGGCGCTCAACACCATCATCAACGAATACAGAGATGCAGGTCTAGTCACCGACACGACCTCACCATACGCCAGCCCTGTACTGCTGGTGAAGAAGAAGACTGGGGAGTACCGAATGGTTGTCGACTATCGACGGTTGAACAACCAGACCGAACCATTGCCATTTCCGCTGCCCGACATGGATGAACATCTGACACAGATTCGCGATGCAAGGTACTTCACGACACTTGATTTGGCTCATGGTTACCTCCAGGTACCATTGTCGGAAGAAGCACGCAGAAAGACAGCTTTTATTACTCCGGACCAAACGGGTGAGTTTACCAGAATGGTATTTGGCTTGACCAATGCCCCCTCGTACTTCTCAAAACTAATGCAAAAGGTTTTGGGACCTCTCCGTAATGACACGGTGATGTACTACCTTGACGACATCCTCATACCTGCGCGTGATTGGAAGGACATGCGAGTCAGGTTAACCAAGACCCTGATGGCGTTGAGAGGTGCCGGATTAACGCTGAGGATCGAAAATGCTACTTCATGCAGGAGCGTGTGGAGTATTTAGGGTTCATTCTGAGTGCCGATGGCATCGAGCCTGGCCCCGCGAAACTACGAGCGATCTCGGAGTATCCTGCGCCTACAGATATCCACCAGCTACGGCGTTTCCTGGGAATGGCTAGTTTCTTTCGCCGTTTTATAGCCAATTTTGGTTCCAGGGCCGCCATTTTGAACAAATTGCTCCGCAAAAACGAATCTTACATTTGGACGTCTGCCCATGATGCTGCCTTTAAGGATTTGAAGACCGCTCTGACGCAGAGCCCGGTACTCAAAATCTTCGACGCGAAACGCCCGACCTACTTGCATACAGACGCGAGCAGCCAAGGCCTGGGTGCTATGCTGTTACAGAAACACGATGACAAACTTCACTTGGTCTATGCAGTAAGTCGCAGGACTAGCGATGTTGAATGTAATTACCACTCGAGTAAACTCGAACTGCTGACCGTGGTATGGGCCGTCGAGAAACTCCGACATTATCTCATCAATATTCCGTTTACTGTGGTCACCGACTGTCAGGCGATTGTGTTTCTGAATACTGCCAAAACAAAGTATCCACAAGTAGCAAGGTGGTTCAACATGTTGTGTGAATACAACTTCAAGGTAGAACATCGTCCTGGCGAAAAGATGATACATGTTGATGCGCTGAGTCGCGCACCAGTGTCAAACGAGGGTGAGACTCCCGTCGAGAATCTGATCACCCGAAACGTGTTCACGATACTTTCCTTGGAGGAGGAAATAGTACTGTACCAACGATCTGACGAGCTACTCAAACGCAAAATCGAGTTACTCAACAGGCAGGTACGTACCGCAAGCGAGAGTTCGGAAGTAAATGGTTACGTACTTCAGCAAGGCATTCTCTATAAGCAAATTCAAGAGGATGAGACTCAAAGGTTGATCTTTGTCGCCCCAAAGGCAATGCGAAAGAGCCTAGTAACAAAGTATCATGACCTACAAGGACATTTTGGCGTCGAGCGCACAGTAGCCAAGATCCGACGCCACTACTTCTTTCCGAAGATGACACAGTATGTCAAACAGCACATAGCCAGTTGTATTGAATGCATCATCCTGAAAAACAAAAGTGGGAAGAAGGCCGGCGAACTTCACCCTATTCCCTCGGGGCGCCGCCCTTTTGCTGTCATCCATATTGACCACGTTGGTCCTTTTGTTGAGAGTACGTCTCACAAACGCTATGTACTAGTAATCGTCGACAATTTAACCAAATTCGTCCGATTACACGCTACCAAAACGACGAAAACTCCGGAGGTTATCAAGGCCCTCTCAGCGTTCGTGCAGGACTTTGGAGCCCCAGAGCGTATCATCAGCGATCGTGGTACTTGTTTCACCTCGTCCACCTTCGCCGAGTTCTGCAATCAGCATGGAATAAATCACACGCTCAATTCACCACGACATCCGCAGGCTAACGGTCAAGTAGAACGCGTGAACCGTACGCTTCTACCACTGCTAAGAAATTGCAGCGAAGATAACAAATGGGATAAGGAACTAAAATCCACGGAACGAGATTTAAACACCGCAGTTAACAAGACTACAGGAAAAACGCCCTTTGAGGTAGTGTTTGGGTACGCACCAAGATTAAACGATGGTGTAACACGTTGCCTCACCGTCAACGAGGAAACGTACGAGTCCCCTAGCGATTTACAAAGAAAAGTCAGAACTCGACTGGAAAAGGAAAAGCAAAATTACAAGCGCCAGTTCGACGCCAAAAGATTATTAAATGTCCACTATGACATAGGCGATATTGTATTTATGAAGACAAATAGTGTTGCAACGGGTGACTCTACTAAACTGCAACCCCGTTACAGAGGACCGCTCAAGGTGTATGAAGTGCTCCCCAATGACACATACCGCGTAATCAATCTGAACGAAGAGGAGCCTGGGAAGCTGTACGCGACAACAGCACACGTCAGTCAGCTCAAAATCTGGCGACCCAATCAAGCTGACGACGTTGCAGGAGAAGAAGTTCCGGCAAGTGGAAGCGCCACTGCCGAGGTGAAAAACGTAAGGAAGAGCTCACGAGTCACAAAGGTTCCAGCCCGCTTCGCAGCATACACACTCGAGGACGAGTGAGAGTCAGGACGGTCGAGTGTTAGCGAAATGCGTAACGTAGGCAACCAACAACACAACATACATTACATTATTTTTCCCGCGCAACACCGGCGCACTGCGTGCGCCCGGTGCAGTAGCTAAGTACAAGCAGAGCGCAGCAGACGCAGATTAAGAGACGCCTTATTCAATAAACGCTATTCAACATTCTTTTACAATTACAAGTGCTCATTGTTTCATGCTTATCTTTTATCACCTGCCCTCACAAGTGCCACACCTAACAAATGTTATACGCATTAGTCGCAAAAAATGAAAAGGTAATTTCATTAGCATTTCCAATTTTAGATTTTCAGCCGCTCTGTTTGCATTTTATTCATATTGTTATCATAGATCATTTCCATTTTAATTAAAATCTGTACTCGCAGGTTTTGGGTCATTTAAATGATAATAATAAAGCGGTGCAATAAAAAGTGTCCTCCGATTGCGCCGCTGCCCATTGTGGCGTTGATAATCGTAATTAAATTTATTGCTTGGCATTTTTCGCTTTGCATATGAAAACCAGCGCAGCTCGGGCGCTCTTCTTCATAACGCGTTTTCCTGTTGTTGGTTTCAGCGGTGTGCAACAGGGACGTGGAGCTGGGCAGATTTGTTGAATAAACAGAACGAGTTGGAATTCGTCGTCGTTGCCTTCTTTGTTGAGGCTTTACGCGCGCAAATCCACTGTTTTGAATAACAAAAAACGGTTGGCTCACTTGCCTTTTGTATTTGTATGCAGCGTATACTTTATTGTGTATTATAAATGACATCAAATGAATTTTATGCAAATCGGATAAGAAACTTGATACACTACAAAAAAAACGCATAGGTAGATTGGATTGCCTACAATATAATTTTTTTACTTCCGTTACCTGGTGCTGCAAGCTAACGTCACATTGTTTTTAATAGTAATAAAGTAGAAGTGGCTCGTTCGAACAGTTTAAAACATGGTACACAGAGTACAATTACTAAGAACGAGTTCAATAACATTCACATCGATCTGCTTTTACAAAATCGCAGTCGATTTAATTGAACCGTATAAATCATCACCGATATGCTGCCATATGCTTTACATGTTTTACATGCTTTAGTGCAGCACAAAACGAAGATGTAACAGATACATAACAAGCAAACACTTCATAATAATTAATTGCGCATCCAGTCTACTGTTGGTAAATTCATAATATTGAACGCAGGGATTGTTGAAATTACAGTAATTATTGCTTATAGAATATTTATATGCTTATGAGAACCACTGTTCTGTAAACTCTCTTGGATTGAGGATAGTATACCTATAACCATAAGAAGTTATCAAATACTGAAAAATCCTAAAACCGAGGTTGAGGCGCACACTTTGCTCAATATTTAAAATGAAACTACTACAATGAAACTTGCAAACACATTTCCAAATTATTCAACAGATTTTTCATTTTACGTACGGATCATCCACATCATGGTGGATTTTGTCCACCAGATCATGTTCAATTCCGCAAATGCAAAAATCCCTTATGAATCCATACTTGGGTTTTTCGTTGCCAAATTAAATTGTCCAGTACCTACATAAACAAGTAAATCAAACTGTTTGTATTTTGATACATATTCAATCCAGAGGTATATACAGATCAGTAAATAGAACGTAACTATAACCTATAAGTTTGCTGTCATAACGGTCACGAAGCAACATAATCTAACATAACCTATAATATAAGCATTATAAACTCTTGCTTTGTATAAATATTTCTATTTAGAACTACCGGTTGCTAGTAACTATTGTTAAACATATACACACATGTTTTTTTTTTCTTCCAAAATTCGTCACTCAATTTCGAAGGCTTTGATCTTATCTCATTCGAAGAATTTTCTTCTGCAGAATTTTTTAGTTGTAGTAGGTTGTTGCACAAGCAATTTAAAGTTATTCTCGTTGGGTAATTTGTTGTTTTGTCTATTTCGACTTCCACGATCATGATGTCGCTATCATAATCCTGTTAAGTGCGGTCGTGCTCCATACGGACGCGCAGACGAATGCGATGTTTGCTCCTTGCAAGTTTTCATCGTCGTCGGCGGATAGAACGGTAGCGTTGTTACCCGACCAACGTAATATCAGCAGGAAATTGTGTGCATTTGTATAGTACTCGCTGTGCGGTATACATTCAGGTGCACAGTGTGTGACGGCCGATGAGATTATGTCATTTTTATGTTGGTATCGCGCATGTGTGTTGTAACCTAAAGTACACATATTTCGAATTGTTCTTTTTAAATCAAAAACATTTGCTTTAATATTAGTCATAAATAAATGTTGTGTTTGTGGTAATCCCACATAGTGAATATTTCGATTTCAACATTGATGACGTTGATATTATTAACAAATTAAGGAAATACCTTCGGGTGGGCGACCCGGGATGGAATGGAAAGCTTGCGTTAATTGCATACCAACGTCGGCATTACGGCCACCCGCACAAATTCGATTTATACAATGACGTTCCTAATTACTTTGATGCGAGGACTAGGTTGAGAATTCAAAATTAAAGTTGACTGTCGACTAATTGCCAATTATATCATAGTTAGATACATACATATTCATCTTTGCGTTGGCAGAAAATTTTTGTTCAATATCGTTTTAATGTTTCTCCAATGTCATTAATAATTTTTGTTTTTGATTTTTCTGTCTTATAGAAAACATAAACAATGAGACCGTTTGAGTGGTCTGCATTGTTAGGAGTGCTACTTTTCCTGGCTACAACAACGATTACCGCAGCGAAAAGGAGTAAAGGTAAGACGCAATTCATTAAAATTTACATTAAGTGCATACATGTATAGGAAATAATGTTAGCAGCCTCATTATAAAAGTACAATTTTTACATTTTACAATATTAATTTCGCAATGTAATAAATTTTATATTTACTTGCAGAAAAATTTCACGCTAAATTTCACGTCCGCACAAACATTTATTAATCATAGATTTGAACGTGGGTGCGAATTGTTTACCAATTAGTCGCTAATTTGTTCCAATGACACGACGAAAGCAAAGTTTTGCGTTCCGCGGTCCAGCCGTCGTTATTAATATTCAATTAATGCTCATTTAGATTACTTTGCAATGTGTGCAACTCTTGCCTATAATCAATGTAATAAAACATTATTTACATTAAGCGTGCAACTGCGGCATATACATTTTCCACTCTGCTTAAGCGAAACATTTATTTGAATTATACCTACGCTCATTTCTCTTTCCATTTTCTTTGAACAAATTTTTGTCAACGATATTCGATTATTAATTACCTATTGGTTTCGACTAGCATCATATTAATGGAAAGTCTGCAACGCATGTAGGGACTTTACTAAGCAGTTAAAGTGTATATGAGCAGTACAACATAAGTACAGTATACCTTTGCATGGAATTGGGTTAATTGCGGTCTCTTTTGAATATAGAAACGCACGATTAACGAACAAAAATCTGATTAGCAAAAAACAGCGCATTGTGGTAAAAAGTGCAAACAGCGATGTGTTTCGGAACAATCTTACAATGATACGTTTTATAGTGTTATACACTTTATAAATCCACGGTCTTCCCACAATTGTTAAATGCAGCGAAAGAATGACATTGAAACTAGCATTCCATTGATCTGAATAAAATTTTTGTATAAATCTCGAGAACCAATGATAAAAGTTTAAGTTAGTAAGCAGGTTAGTAAAGTACCGTATCATACAAATGTATTTTGATTAAATAAATTAATGCCAAACCTCCAAAAGATATTAAAATCTTCCTGTTGGTAGTTTCTTTGAATATTCTTTGGCTGTAAAACGTCAATTCTGATTTGATAATTTTATTTGCTTGTGGGCTTTTCAAATGCTATAGAATTCCATTCGTAACTGTGCGGTTCGAGTGAGTACAACGGTCTTGCGATTTATCGTCTTCACAGCCAGAAGAAGTACAAACACGAATGACGAACTTGAAGTGTCATCGTTCTTACTACGCAGCTAGGCCGACAGTCGGTCAGTGAGTCAAACGGAATTGGCCGCAAAATGTATAAAAAGTGGTACCGTGCTGAGCTTGGTATTGCGCGGTACCAGTCATAACTCTCACGATTTACATTTTAGCTTTTTAAGTTTATTTTATAATGATGTTGCCAAAGCAAATAATATAAAACCGTTTATAAAACAGTTTATTTGAGAATATACAATTACAAAAGGCGTTTAAATTTTAAAATCAAATTTAACTTGCATCCATTTTGATTGTGTGTCTATTTGTACAATTTATGTCTGTGCGGAGGACGTTTAACAATAGTCATTGACAATGAATTGTTATTTTAACTTTTATGACATTAAAACAATTCACATCAAGCGTGCTCGATGCATTTTGCATTTGACGATCATGAATTTATACATCACCTTCCTGCAATGTCATCGCTTTACGAATAGTGTCTTAGCACGGCATTCACTACATCTATTCAATAAGCTATAAAACATCTATCCATCTACCAGTATATGTATATGAAATATAATCTAATATACACCTATAATTAAAATTATGAATTGAGCTCAATCAGATTCACAATACGCTTTCAAGCGAGTGATGTGTGCGTGGCGGCAAATATTCCACGTTGCGATATGATGCGGCTGAAGGAAGTACGGGCGGTGCTATATACTCGTATCTAGTAAATTCAAAATTATACGACCCAGATTTATCGCAAACCATGTTTCAACCAGACCGAACAAACGACGCGCATTGCTAATGCATAATAAAACTGTGTTGAACGTGTTGATGGACGAGCGCGAGCACGCTTTTGCTTAACTGAGTATTGAATAGAGAAGATTCACCTAAATGCAGATCGAGCACGGACGCCAAAGGTATTGATTACGCAAATGGTGCAAATGGAGCGCTATTTCAAAATGGCCTTTGGTTTACACAATACACGAATTTATTGAACAAATGAGTAATTTCATAAATCACATAACAATGAAATAATACTTCAATTTAATTTCATTTATTTATCACATTATTCAGGCTATTAATTCCTATTAGTGTTGTAAAAATTGCAGAAAATTATACTTTTCAAATGAATATAATAAATTAATAATAAATTATTAATTGACTGCTAATCTTTTAATCTGAACAATAAATAAATAATCATTAAGTTAAAAAGTAGAATAAATCTAGCTTAAAAATCATAAGCATTATTTCACAAATTTAAACCATATTAAATAGATTCATTAACTTTAAAATTATTTAAAATTGTTCAAACTGGTCCATATATATTAAACTTCACACATGCACTGAATAAGCTGTCACCGGATGTTCGTCTATACAATTTTTAACGTACATACATTTAATTGGCCAAATTATTATATAAAATGAAACAGAATTATCTTTGCTAGTTATTTATATAACTCTTCTATTTCTATTGGTTGTATGTAACGATAATATCGGTAAACACAAGAGTATTTTATTGAAATTATGAAAAAATTCATCAATATTTTATTGCTTCCTGTTTCTTTGAAAATCAGTTGTGTATCTGTTTTGAAAAATATATTATTATTTGAATGTTTGTATCATTATGTCGGAAGGACGCTTCATTAAAATTGCAAAACCAAACCACGTAAAAATGATTTATTTGCACGATTTCCTTTTCCTATACAATAATAACAAAAAATTGCGTATTTGAAATTCCATGAAGTTATTATCTATTACAAACTAACTATAAAAAGCAGCAATTGTTTGTATTACCAAAAACCCATACGTACGCATCGAAACATTCATATAGTATGGCGTCGTTCTGACATGCCCGCTGCGGAGTGCGTGAATTGCAAACAATTTAATGCGAAATTACCATCGGATTTTATTCATTCCGGCTTTCTAATGTATAAACACTTCTAAACGAAAGCTCACTACACAATACCGAACATGTCGAGTATAATGAAGCTCTTGTGCGATCTTTGTGTGTGATAAATTAACAAAAACTTTACGAAAGAGAAGATAGAAAAAAAACTCAGATCCATTGCTCGAACTTGAATGTGAATGAGTTGGAAAAATCATTAATCCGTTAATTCCGTTGATCTTAGTTTCTGGTAACTTTATAAATTGTACCTTGAATAAAGAAGTACTAAGTATAGAATTGAAGGAAATGATGAATAAACTTACCATGGCTTTACTGGCAAAGCCCGGAAGTTACCCGTATCGACTTACAATCTAATATCATACCAAAACACTTACTAATTACTTATTGATTTCAAAAATATTATATATGTATATTATATAAAAATAATTAGTATTGTTATTATTAATTGTATATTGAACAATTTTTAACAATAATTAGGTCTTATTTGTTAGGTATGTAGGCGTCGTTTAAGTTTTAAAAAGTAATTGCGTAATGAAGAGGTAATGAACTTATTCTTTAAAATTATTCGAAACTACAAACACAATTCATTATTATTTATATTCATCAACATTACGTCGTTAAATAAAAACACACGCTCACTTAGTACAGTAATCTACTTGCGTATACAATGCGCAATTGTTTCTCAACTTAAATTGGTTTGAGGTAAATCGGGAACTTAAAAAAGTGTTTAACAATGTCATTAGGCAATCTTTCTAGCAACAATAGTATTAACTTAATTTTAAATGTTCAATCAACATGAAATATAACGTAAATCAAGTTGGAAGTTAATTCATCCCTCGATCCTAAGATATATACACTATTTTAATGTTTCACAAATTAATCTAATTATGACATATTTTACAGCACTAGGACTTTGAATATTACTTCTGGTCCAAATTGAAATACCAGAAAAAAAATCTAACAAAACGCTGCTTGATGATGCTTAAATAATTAATCCTAGAAACTATGATTAATTTAAATTTTGCAATTTTTATTAGACACAACTTTCTAGTAAGCAAATAGTACATTGTGTTGATATATTTACGGAATACAAATTCGCTGGGACAAATCGGTGTCTCCTGCGTGCTGCAGAATTTGGCACGTCAAATATTGTTTGGATGAATTTAACATTACACACGTTGTTGAATTATGTTGAAATTGTATTCGTAGTCAGCGATGCGTAGGATTCAATTTTGCACAGCGGATTCGAAGCTGATTGTGAGTTAATGTCTAATGACCACAGCAAAACATATATATGACGGAAGACGAGTGACTACGCACTTAATTACAATTCTGTGTTACAGTTACATTTAGGATACACTTAATTAATTTTTTACGCAATTAGCAAGGTAATAAATGTAAAACGTGTGTTTTTGTTTTTGGCAGGCAATGGTGATGTAACTGCAGAGGACAAGTGTCCAAAGTTGGACGAATGTCCTTATAATGCGCAAAATTGTGACGAAGACCTGGATTGCAGCTCGGACAGCATATGTTGCGACAGTCCATGTGGAAAGGTGTGCAGCAAGCAGTTGAATACAGGTTTGTAATCATGATTTTTTGCTATTAATTAGTTGTCGTGAACTGCTGATAGTGGAAAATTATAATTATCTTTGCTTTCACTTTCATTTTCATCAACTAGCGCGAAGCTGTAAACTTTTCTTTGCTGTAATATGCAAAGCGTAGAATATAAACTAAATAAAGTGTAAGGTTTTTGGTTTGTGTAAAGTGCATAATTGCAGCTCGCTTCTCTGAACATTATGTTCATAATCATTACACGAATCACAAGAGCGTGACATTTTCCCCATCTAAATTAGTGCTATTATAATTAATTCACTGATATACTAATCATATTTATGGTATATTTTTTCTTATCAACCTTCCGTTCGTTAATAACTTCATCGACTATTATAAAATTTTGTCAAGGTGAAACTGTTGCTTGTTTTAAGTAGCTCTTAAAATGCACTAAACGCACATGCGTCATGCGTATACTCACACTTTATTGCCTACCCGCCTCGGTGAATGATTTCTATTATTCTTCACTTTCTATGTTTCTTTTTATAATGTGGATTGCTATTATTTTACGTTGGAATTCTTTGGAAAGAAGAAAGTGCACCGAGTACGTTTGTTGCTTTCGTGAAAAAAACGCTTTGTGTTAACATCCTCTACTGCATTTCGTCAAGACCTTAAAACCGTAAACATTTGGTATCATCAAAATTAACAGTCAGCAAAGGTTTAAATTACAGTTTGACCTTTTGCTCGATTTGATAGTCGGCACAAATCAAAATATACGCATATTAAAAATATTAAAATAGAAAGTCTTCCTCATGCATATGTTCATGTTCATGTATTAAATGTACAGTTACGTGAGTCAAATTCAAATTGTTAGAGTTTTGTAAGCGCAAAAAGTGATGAGTCTCATATTTCTACAACAGGCCTTGATCTTTAACGTGCAACGGAGACATACAGAATAATCTTTATTGATCTTTACCTTTGCTTTTTGTTAGCATTAGCAATAGGCAACAATCGAATGTTGAATATCAGCAAACGTAGCCTTTAATTTGCATCTTTGCAATTGACATTCTCTGTTTCATTGAATACCACAGAATTCATTTATACAATTCTTTTTAATTATACAAGCTATTACTCGTATAAGCCGTTATCTTCTCTTGTATTACTAATTTTTGCAATGCTTGGATTTTTTCTATTTTAGGATGTCGTACCCTACGCAGAGCAGCATCACGTCGTGCAAAGTCGCTTGGCGTTGACAAGAAGAGTGTCCGCATGCCGCGATGCAGCAAAGACGGAAGCTTTGAACGTATTCAGTGTAACAACGAAATCGTGAGTTCATGCTGGTGCGTTGATGAAACGGGCTTTGAGCTGCCTGGCACCCGCGCTCCGGCTGCGGCATTAGTCAATTGCACCGGTAACTATCAGTTTTACATTATACCATTACAAACTAACATCGATAAATTGGCCCAAAGTGTGGGAAGCTAACTTTTCACGTTCGTCAGAATTTTAACTCGATGTAAATCGCTTGGCTTGATCAAAAAAGGTCAAATGCTTATTTTGGCATCACGATCGCAATATTGAAAAACGAAAGAGTTTATTGCATGATTTAGATAACCTATTCTGTAGTTATCTGAATAAACGCAATATTTGCAAATTAGGACACTCAATTCGTGGTTTTCTAAATTATATCTATCTAAATAATGTTAAATGTCGGAAAATGTCAGTTATTATCAAGCAATGTAAATAATTTTAATTAAACTATTACAGCACCAAAACTGTGTGCAGCTCATACGTGTCGCATGTTCTGCCCTCATGGATTTACTTTAAACAAAGATGGCTGCCCATTGTGCAAGTGTCGTGATCCATGCGATGACATTCAATGCCCAGACGCGTTATCTTGCCAACTTGAGGACCTCGCTTGTAAAGATCCACCATGTCCACCAATACCTACATGTAAGATTTTTTTTTTTTTTTTGTCCTTATCTGCTTGTTTTGTTTATGGTATAAAGTGAAAGTTACCAACGACTGCACTTTGTGTTTGCCGACTTACTACTCACTCAAGTCGCGTTAGACAATATAAACTAAAACTAAGTTTGTCGTCAATTTCTACTTGTTTTTTCAATTAATAGGTAAACGTGGTAGAAGTTTGGACAATATTTGCCCGGTGGGTGATCCATTAAGGATAAGTGATACAGTTCGTCCTTTCTTGTGTGGCAACGATGCTACTAAACCCAGTTGCCCACCTATGTACAGATGTCTAGTCCAACCGGGAAATGACTACGGTGTGTGTTGCCCTGCTTCTTTGCAAATTCAAAAAGCTGGCACGTGCCCAGCTAAGCATGAAGAAGTATATGAGTGCGGCATGATGTGCTCTCACGACTTGGAATGTCCCTCGGTGCAGAAGTGTTGTAACACTGAGCAGTGCGGGTCATCATGTGCTCATCCGCGTAATGTAACTGGTATGTTATGTGTATAGTTTCTGTGGCATGTAGGTAGTAATACATCTGATTATAGAATGCATTCATCAACGGGCACTCTCCGAGGTGCTGGCAGTGAGTGAACGTGCGGGTCGAGGCTACATCCCACAATGTTCCACCGACGGTCAGTTTGAACCGAAGCAATGCAGCCGCAATGGATTAATCTGTTGGTGTGTGGATCGCATGGGAAGAAAAATGAAGGGATCCATGGGACCTGCTGAGAGCACAAATTGCACTTTGACGGATGGTGAGTGACTATTTGTGCATGCGCCAAGCCTGTGTGGCTGACATTAGTCGAATGATTGGCGAGTACGCTCCGTGTTTGCACGCTGCGAAGCTGACATTATTGTATGCTTTTCAGCGCGTTCACAAACCTTGGGACGCAGCATTGGCACGAAGACAAAGCGTTGCGAAAGGCTTGACTGTGCTGCCATTTGTGAGTATGGATTCAAACTAGACGACGATGGATGTCCCACATGTAAGTGCGATGATCCTTGTGAGGGCTACAAATGTCCAGAAGATGAAGAGTGCATTACTGTCAAAGAGTCAAGTTGCTTAGACTTTTTGTGCCCATCTTTACCTGTTTGTCGTCCAAAACAAGTTTACACAAATCCGTGTAAAAAAGGTACCCCAATGACCGATGATTTAAGTGGTGCCCCAATTGCCTGTGCGTTGAGGGAGGATGATGGTGCACTTTGCCCAGATACACATGAATGTAGCGCTGTGCCAGGATCTACTCAAGCTGTTTGCTGTCCTTTAGAAGGTAGCGAAGAACATGTGGAGGAAACTATGACAGTGGCAGCGAATTCAAATGCCAATACTGAAGCTAGAGCTCAAACCAGTATGTCAATTATTGTGTGATTTAAATATGTAAATAATTATGTGTGTGTGTGTTTATTTTAGTGTGCGAATATTTATTCAGTTTTACGGATAGTATGGAAGGAACACGCGAGGGTATGACCATTGCATTACCGCAACCCCAGTGCGATACTGAAGGAAATTACCTGGCATCTCAATGTAGTCAAGATGAATGCTGGTGTGTTGATCATTACGGCACAGAAATACCAAAAACTCGTGGAAAATCGCAAGCACTAAAAAATTGTACAGAAATATGGGAAACTTCCGAATGTCTCGATTTAACTTGTCGCATGGGTTGTGATTACGGATTCGTCTTAGAAGACGATGGTTGTCCTAGTTGTCAATGTCGTGATCCGTGCGCGACTGTTGCATGCAACCAAGATGAACATTGCCAACTTGTAGAGGTGAGTTGTAAAGATCACTACTGTCCTCCAGTACCCGCATGTCTTCCAAAGAAGATAGGGCAATGCCCGTACTTGGTCCCAGCCACCGGTAGCACGACCTGCGATTTTGCATGCAACTCAGATTTAGCCTGTAATGGCACATTAAAGTGCTGCTCGAATGGCTGTGGCACGCAATGTGTTGATCCACTGCTGTTGACCGGGTGCCAACACGCAAGAATCGTTGCCGAGCATCAGGCGCATGAGAGTGGTATGCCCGCTGGAAGGGTTTATATTCCCAAGTGTAAGGAGGATGGCGAATACGCAATCAAACAATGTAATCCTGGCACGGGTGAGTGTTGGTGCGTTGACTTCCGTGGTTTTGAAATTTCACAGAGTCGAACAAAGAAACCACTTGACTGCGAGACATTCGAAAGTAACAAATGTCCAATGTATAAATGCTCTGCTGATTGTGAACATGGCTTTGAGTTGGACGAGAATGGATGTCGTACTTGTCGTTGCATCAACCCGTGTGAGAAAATGAAGTGTCGTGAAGACGGAGAATCATGCCGTCTTGTTGAAGTAGAGTGCACCAACTGGCCATGTCCGCCTGTTCCAATGTGTTTGCCGAAAAAGGAAAATCCGTGCCAATCTGGGGAACCATTGCGCATGGGAAATGAACAAGTAAATTGTGGTCCGGACTACGATAGTTGTCCATCTTCTCATAAATGCGAACTATCTCCTATTGGGGAGTATGCTGTTTGCTGCCCAAAACCACGAGATGTTTGTTTTGAACCATTTGATGCGGGCGTTTGTGATAATGAAGAAAACATCAAAAATCTTACTAGATATCACTTCAATTCAAGGACAAATAAGTGTGAACTCTTTAGTTTCACAGGTTGTCAAGGCAACCATAATAATTTTCACTCGGAAGAAATGTGCAACGCAGTTTGCCCAGTGCTTAGCCAATGCGAACGCCTCAGAGAAAAGAATCAACGCGCATCCGAGCGATACAATAAACCCACGTTTATGCCTAAATGTGATTCAAATTCTGGAAACTGGGAAAATGTTCAATGTCTTGATCATGTCGGCGTTTGCTGGTGTGTTACACCGCAAGGAGAACCTTTGAAAGGTACTTTGACACGGGGTGCTCAACCCGAATGCAACTTCAGGCAGGCCAGAAATAGAGCGCGTGATCGCAGTGATGTATTCAACGACGCAGATTTGGTTTTGGAAGAACTAATGATGCAACTAGGTAATCTCGAAGAAGAAGAGCAACAGCAGAATGACATGAGTTTGGTAGACTGGGAGTTACCGTTGAGAACGCGCTGCGAAGCATTGGGGGCTAAATGTGATCGTGATGGAAAGTTTCACCCTGCACAATGCGAAGATGAAACATGCTGGTGTGTAGATGAGGCTGGCAATCAGTTAATTAACACCAGCACTTTCAAAAAAGGAGAACATATTTGCCGTATGTATTTGTACATTTTACTAACAAAACAGAAAATAATGTTGAATGTTTTAGTACCGACGCCTATTGAACAGATTGAAGTTACTTTAGGAATCCGCGGTGAATATGATGACATTACAGCGGTACCAGTGGCAAATCAAATTGCTAAAATTATAAGAAATATGAAAGGATTGTTCACGCCTGAGGGCGTAACAAGTGATATTACTTCTGATGTTCTATACGTCAAATTTGGTTTAATTGGTAGTAAAAAAGTTGATGTGGCTTACCGTCTCGAACAAATGGTTAGTAATTACATTCTTAATACCTTTTATGCTTTACCATCAAATTTTATTATTTATTTTAGATTATACAACAAAGATTGCCAGGCATAGTAGCAGATATCACTCGATCGAGATTTATCCACAAGCTGGGTAACAGTGAGCCAACAATGGCGGATAGGGTTGTGGCTTTGGAGCACCGTGAAATCGTTTCACAGTCGCCAGTATCCGTAGTAACACATTACCATACAGCCATCATTGTTATTGCGGCTGCCTCAGCATTCGTAATTTCAGTATTAACATTGTTGGTGATCTTGTACAAAAGGAAGGTATGTTTACAGTTCATAATCAATATATTTAATTATGTAATCTGATTGGATATGTTTTATTTCTTCAGATGGCGGCACTGAATCGTCAATCGGAGAAAATCGTTGAAGATAATCAACGATTTTTATCATTAAATCGGCCGATCTATATCGAATTACCACACGAGAAGATTGGGCTCGAAACGGAGACTGCAGCTGAACCAAGAGCCTAAATTAATATATTGCATTTTGGCTATTACTCATTACAATGCTACTTAGTCGCTTCTGCCAAGGGAATAAAGATCTACTTGTTCTATGTTTGCAGTGGCTTTAGAAACCCATTTTAAAGATTATTTATTTATAAGGTTCTTTATTCGTTTTTTTCCAGTTTGATTTCATTAGCTTTTTATTCTTTTGGCAATATTGATGAAAATGCAGTTATTTTGAAGTTACAAAAAGGCGTACTATTTTCATTATAATTAAAGATTAATGTATTATTCTTTAAGTTGATAAATTGTGTAAATAAAATTTTCCCATATATGAGTAAATATAAGTGCTCTTGCCACTGGACGGCGCTAGCATCATCCATTTCCGTTTCACGCTGCCCAGTCACATCAATTCAATGTATTGTGTAACAAATATTCATCATTCGATAGATTATTTGTTTTTTATGTGGTGAAAATAATGAGTAAGGATTGCGTACCAATGAAATATTTGTTTAAAAAAATTGGTTTGTATAAAAAAATTAGCAATCACTTTCAATCTTCTCTATTGGCTGTTGTGTTTTATGGGTCCAATGGTGATATTTGTATCACTTGATATATAATTAAATTTTATATTAAATTAACAATTTATGTGAGGGTAAAGATTAATACATATAAATCAAAGTAAATGTTTTAGCTCTTTTTTAACTTTTTTTATCTTTTAGCTGTTATTAAACAAGTTAAAAAAGTGCTATGCAAGAAAAAATATTTATCTAGAGTTAGTTTAGGACACAGTCGAACAGGAGACCATAAATATTCAGTGCGGACGTGGATACGACAAAGCAATAATTTTAGTCATTTGTGTATTGTCGCTAGCATTTATCGTCGTTGCCGGTAGCCGGAAGTCATCTAGAGCCAAAGTTATAACGATTGGCTTTTCATATATCGGGTATTCGGCATTTTTTGCGATGGGATCTGTGGGTAACTTCACAGCGGTGACTTCGCCACCTTTTCCGTTAAGTCAATGACCGTCTTTGATTCCTCAGCAAAACAAACTCATAAATATTATTATTGCGAATGCACAAAGCAGATATTGAACGTCTGGCGACTATATCAGTTTCCAGAGCGTGATTCATCAAATTTTGCAGATGATAAAAACAATAAAACGTGAATTAATGACGTCACATACTTGGATAAAGTAATTGGACACGTTAAGTGTATTTAGGCGACAAACAAGATAACGTTCCTCGAAAGCAGAAAACATCAATACGAGCGTGATCAGGCGACGGCTATGCGTCGGCGTCGGGACGCACCTCCAGCGCCACTCGTCGTTCGTACAGTGAACCTGCCGCCTCGCGCCCGATCAGTGAAGGGATACATCGGTGCTGAACGCTCAAAGGCCTAAATGTGAAAATTTCGTGAGTGTTTTTCCACAGGAAATGTAAGTTAAAATGTGCAATCGATATTGAAAACTTGAGAAAATATACTAAGGTAAGTCACTTACACAATTTACCTCAAATAAATTCAATTGGAAAACGGATATTTTCACTTTTCAATCCAACATTAATCCTTGTAAAAGATATAAATTTGTAATGCAACCATAATGTAACATGGAATAAAACGTACATAGATTGCATAGACCTAAATGTTTTTCAACTAACATTCGCAACTCCGGTTAATTCATGAGATACAATGTGCGTTTATTTCTCTTTAACGTCTCGAACAATGATCAATAAAGTAGTAGTCATTGTGTATGGACATCGCGACGCTTTCAAAGCACGGCGTGTTTACAAAATATTACGTTTCAGGTGCTGCGTCCAGAAGACTGAATCGATTCACATTATATACAACGCGCGATTTCAACCACATACACAAGTGAAATCATAGAAGGGTCGCATCGCGAAAACAAGCACACAACGCAAGTGGAAAACCTAAGAAACAGTATACAAAAATACACACAGACAAATTGGAAAATATTTGCGCTTAGGTACGCCAGCAAAGGAAACCATCGAGGTCGTGAGACTTAATAAACAATTGTTTACACACGGGACGCGTTTGCGAGCGCAAAATCAGCAAAGCTGGCGCCGTTCAAGTTCAAATTCAACAGAATGTCCAAGTCGAATCCGTCGACGCGGAGCAACTCGGTGGAGACCAATGAAAACTGCGATAGCGAGTTGAATAGTCCGCAAGGCGCAGTGCCAGCCATTCTCGAAGGAAGCGAGGGGGAAGTGGTGCCCACCAGTCCGCCGCCGTCCTACGAATATGTTCTCGAAGAAGTAATCATTGCATACTCGCACTATAATTCAATTAGCTTATAATAAAATCTGCAAACTTAAGGATTGCAAAGTTTGGGAGTTCTCGGCTGGCATCCAAATTTTTCTAAAGATAAGCCAGAAAATTGGCAACGTATCAAGGACTTAATATGTCTCCTGAACTATGCAATCCTTACATACCAATAACAATATTACATGAATGTGGAATATGAAAGGCAGTCGGACTAAAAGTTTGGATATTTTCTAGAATCGAATGAAAGGAGCGGCAGGAGCGTCTTCGCCCACAAAAGGTCCGGAAATTCTGCATAAATCGTCGAAAGAGCTGTACAAAGCGGTGGCGAAACAGTTTGGCATCACGTGCAAGATGTCGGATCAGTGTCGATGCTTCGACTGCCAAAGCCACTATTTTGACTGTGAGTACGAACAGAATGAACAGGAGAAGACTGACGGGGGACTCGGTGCCGGCACACCAATGTTCATTTCGGAGGTGATGCACGGCACGGCGTGCACAATTTTATAAAGTTGCAAGCGCCAAGTCACGCACATTTCATGGACAGGGTGAAGCAAAGGTAGTTTCCAATTCATTCCAACCAACTAAACACAAGAGAGAAAATCACACGTCTAACGAATAAAACAGGATAAGCGCAGGCAGCAAGAAAGGCAAATATAAAAATCGATTCAAGAAAGAGGTAACTAACGCAGAAAACTGTGTAAATATTAGATAATTTGCGTGTGTATAGTCTGACAAATAGGGTGCTTTCCATGAGGATCTCAATTTGACGTTTTTTATATTCAAGAAAAGAAATAAACAACAAGCAAAAATTGCAACTTGCATTTTCAAGACATTCAATGTTAAAACGGATAACTAATTAGGATTAATACTTAGCTAAGGATTGATGTGCTCATAAACGATAAAGAATCATAAAAAGTACTCGCGTACGAAGCATATTAAATATTTTCTCACGTGAAATTTGAATATTTTATAAGTACCAATATAAAGTATAGTCATGTAAATTAAGAAGAAAAAGGATGAGTCAGTGTTGTTGCGCGCGTTGCTCATCATCACGAGAATTGCGTTTTACTCGGGAAATTGTCATGCATCTAGGAACGGGCATCATTCGTCGGACGCCTACGCGCGAATGACACATAAACGCCAAAATCTTGGACATTTTTAGTTAAAATTTCATTACTTTCATTGGTTCGTTTAGCTCGTCACAGCTCATAAGTTGCCAGCAAACATTCACTTTGATTGCAACGCACACAATAATAATAATAAAACTTTTAAAAATGTTATCAATCTACACGATCAAATCATATTATATTATCGAATCTCCAACAACTGCAGTCAGTATCCCACCAAAGACAATCATTTTAGAGATGGCGTATGTGAAGCAGATAAAAGTTACCCATAAAGGTAATGTTTGTAACTGCATTCATATTTTAAATTGTGCGATGTGAACCAAAACGCAATTCTCGTGCATTGTTGCAAAGCTACGTATCAACTGAACCTAAACCGCCGATTATATTAGGAACTTGTGCATTTTTCGCTATTTACTTTCGTGAAATTGTAAATTACTACGCAAGAAAAGTACATAATAGGATTTGATTGATTTACTTGTAAATGTATAAAATACGCAAACAAAATTAGTAATTATGTAAAACAGACTGTATGCACATGATGAACGTGTAGCAAACTGCACAAATTTTAATGCCTTTTCCCGAAGTTAAGAAACAAATATTATAATTAATAACACATCTGGATGAGTAAATAATATTACCAAAATATTAAAATAATTTAAATAGTAACAAATGAATTTAAACCTATGTGTCTACTTATTATTATAATAAGTACAGTACAATTAATTCGAAATTATTTAAACATCTGAGTCACATGTTACGATGTTACAACAATAGCATTCGGTTGCAATTAAAGTATAATCGGTAAGATTATTTCATGTAATCCTGGATAATTGTGTGGAAAATCAATAGATCTATGTGATTTATTGTCCGCATGGGAAAGTGATTAATCGAGGATCAAATGCCATTGGAAACGAGTTGAACCTTAAACCTTTAAATTTACTTTGGACGCAGACGAACTTTATTCTCTTGCGATTGATTAATTTTGTCCTGATTTTGTTACTATGAAAAAGGCAATTTTGTAGAATGTTATTATTGTAATATCGGAATATATATTTGAACGTATTTGAAATACGTTTATCATAACTCTATTGGTAAGCAGAACTAATTCAAATAACATTTACCACTATGTTAAAGTATAAAATAAGGTGAACTTAGCGGAGCGTCAAATTGTATTTTTTGGGACGTTCTCGCAAAACATAAAAAGCTTTAATTAACCTTAATATACCAGTAATATTATAATGATATTTAAAACGTTGTGCGTTATATAATGTTGTTCAGTTAAACAATTATTATTAACGTCTATCTAATTACTCTATTCAAGGATTGTATATATTAAAGAAACAATGGAACATAATTGACTCTCCCCCCAAAATAACTTGAAAAGAACAGAAATTAATTTGACTTTTGATTCAAGATGAGCGTTAATTGCTTATAGGTTGTAAAATGCATAGAAAAGGAATACAATGTTCGCAAAAGAGGAATTAAGCTGAAAAACACGACGAAATTAAGATAAGATTCGCTGAGTCATAAATGCATAATTAATTATAATAATCGGTTAATTGCATTGAGCCATAAATGATTTACTAAAAACATAAAGAAATAAGCTACCAAAAAACGTAATCGACGTAATATTGTGGAACCAGTTACTTAAATCCTTGTATATTGTCATATTTTTATACTCTATGAATGCGAATGAAAAAAAAATTATAACAAGACCGGACGGTGAAATCAATAGGAAAATTAAAAATTATTACGATGAATATGAAATAAATTCAATTTAAGCGAATGTCAACTCTAACTCAAAGCGGAGTTTATGAACAAGAATTGAATTGCAAAACATCAAAGCAATACATCTGATGAATTGATGTTGAATTGATTTTAGTTTAATGTATTTATTTAAGCAATATTTAAAAAAAAGTAATACATCGGACCAATTAATTTATTGTTTGACAATTTATTTAATTTATTTCTCGCGGTATATATTTATTTCCACTCAATTCAATTTAATTTGTGGTATTTTAATTTAGTTTTCGTTTTGTGTGTTAATGTAACCGAAGCGGTATGAAATTATGTTTGCTTTAGTTTATTTTACTGCATGCATGCGTCGCATGCAGTAAATACATTTCTGGAAATTAAACTTTTGCATTAAGGTGGAAATGTTAAAGATTATATATCGCCGCAGTTGATTGCATACTACACTTATAAATCACAAACATATCAATGCTGAATCTATTTTCCTCTTCTTAACAAACACGTACCTAATGAGCTTTTTATTTTATTTCTTGTAATAAAATATTAGACGCTACATCTAAGGCGTCCGACATTTTGTTGTCTAGTGCATTGTGCACTGCGCGCAACTACAATAGTCTACTCTACCTTCTTTAGTGATTAAGCTGAATCACACAACAGGGTGCGTTATATTTATATACACACTAACGTAAAACTATAACATTGTATTAACTTGTGTAAACTCACTTAATTAAAAGTTGAGAAATATATAAACGTCAAATGCAACAAACACACAAAGAAATAAGTATACACGACCGTAATAATTATAACGACAATGGCTTAATTGTTTACTTTCAACAAGTAAGGGCACTAATACAAGTATACTTACATACTCACTGAACATCAACAGACATAACTTTATCTCTATACGTGTATTGTAGCATATGTCTTTATTTATTTTTTGGTGTTCATTTATTAGTTTGAACATGGGTTTAATTGTCGATATAATGATGTTTGTCGATAGCTTCTATTATACGTTGACAAAACGGCAAGCGAATAATTTCGCACATCCGTCGGGGGAAATAATGTATTCGTTTTATTAATTAGTTTCAATTGGAAACGATTCCGACGATTCCGTAATAAATTACTAGAGTTGAAATGAACACGAATTGTGGACGCAGTGTTCGCATGAATAATGAATGACGCAACATTAATATGCAAGAACTTTGTTCGAAAACTGACTGCATTGTATTAAAACTGAAAATAATATGATTATATTATTATTTTTAAATTATAAATTAATTATTATTGTATATTGATATGAAATGCAAAAATTGAAAACGCAATTTTCGCAAACTATGTATGATATTAAATAAATTGAAATACAAATATTAAATGATTATGATTATTTCATTTGATCAATATTTAATTATATGTGAGTCAATAAATGAATGATTCTGCTATCATGTTTTGAAGCCAACTGGATCAGATAACTCGATTCTTATTTGTCTGGTTTCCCTGCAGCCGTTGGCGAAGGAAAACGGCAATCAGGCAATCCACCTACTCTCAACAAGTCCCCTTTCCAGACCCTACCATATTAAAGTTTCAAATATCTAGCAGAGTAGCAATAGTAATAATTTACAACTAATGGTCTAAAAACTGAAATAAAATATCAAATCTATAATTTAAAAATGAATCGCAAAATCTGTTGGTAAGCGCATAACTCAACAACGTCTGGACCAATTTGGCCAATTCTTTTTTTTAATGTTCGTTAAAATTCAAGGATGGTTTTTATGGCGAGAAAAAATCGAATAATTGCTGGGAAAACCCTAAAGACAGTCCTTTTCTATAGGATAAATGTTGGCATTGAGATTCAATCATAATTATAGTTATATAGTTGAATCCGAGATGGCGCGCTGAAGTGCATTATTAGCAATTCTTTATATAATTAATTTCTTTAAAATTAAATTGCAAACCTTATTGATAGAATTGACACATACTATGTCTAGAACAAGTGAGTAAACACGAATTACATTTTTTTAAACACTACCGGGACGAAGTCGCAGGCGATAGCTATTAATTTATAAATTTAAAAACTTAATTTTAATCGATTTTTTTCACATTGATTTTTTGTTTCTTTAGTTTACCGCTTTTGCAATTTCCCAGACTGCTATCAGTGTTGGCGTTTCATCAATTAACGTGCAATTAACTCATAATAAGGATCCGGCCTTCATCACTCACAGTCATAGTCACTACGTGCTATAAAATTGATAAACTCCTGATTTCAATTTATATAAATAAACACTACGAATTTTGCTTTTAAAATTAGTGGTTTCCAACAATTTTTATAAATTTAATTTCAACTTTTCTCGGTGGTAGTCTAATAGACAGTAATGCGCAAACCATGTCTCCCCACAATAATATAAAAGTAAAAGTGAAGTAGGTATCTGCTCACATAAAACGTGAGCAGTGACAGTAATGAACCATCAGAGAATTCGGGCTTATTAAGCGCTAGTTTAAACTCTTGGCAATATCACTGGTCATTTACGTTAGTGGTGTAGACTAAATCTTCTCCTGTTTGGCTCTTTCTCGGTCACGTTGCTGTTGACCACTTTCCATTTGCCACCGTCGCCAATTTGCGGCCATTGTGTCGTTCTCGTGTAACGCATTGCGTACCAAGTGGCCGGGGGGCACTTGAAAGCTTTCGCGGCTGGCGGCAATGGAGGTTTGCCCGGAATGCGAGCATCCTCCTGGGTGACTAAATAATTATATTGACCCGTCTTTGCGCGTCGGTGCGGTCCATTCGTCCTGCACATTGATACATACTGATTTTACTGCGTCAATTCTATTAGGTATAACTAGATATATTCAAAACCAATAAATTTCAATCTGATTAAAGTTTCTTAATTGAATTTAAAATATAAATGGAAGGAATTAAGGAAAACAATCACAATTTATATAAATGCCAAAAAATTTTTGTCGAATATGAAAACTTCCACTTTTAAAACGCCACTTTTTTACGGTTTTGCGACACGAAAAGAGGCACTTTAATCACGGACGGCCAAAGTCGTGACTAAAATACTTTACTTATGGGGTGAAGCTTGTGCCTGCGTATTTGCTTACGGCGCAGTACAACGCCATGAGCCGTCAGTCAAACCAAGCCGTATGTCCCGATCCTGCTCGTGTCGGCACGACGCGCCTGGCCGTATGTGATTTTGAATCTTAAAACCTTACATTTCCCAGTTATGTGTGAACAAATTTTGAAATTTTACAATACAAATGTCCAAATACAAAAACCAGAACGTGAAAATAAAGTGGAAGTAGAAACAATGGCATAAAATCCACGTCGCTAAACGTTGTTAAAGTTCTGTTTAGCAACTTAATACATAACATATTATTTTAGTCACGGGTTAGGACTTGTGTCTGTGCATTTAGCTACTGTGTAAAATACAAACGTTCAAATACAAAATCATAGGCGTGGAACTAGAGCGGAAGTAGAAAAAATAGGTTAAGAATCACATGGCTAAACACATTGTTAAACACTCGGTTAATTTAACGTTCGCTACGCTCGCTTTTATTCAATTTCATTACTAAAACTGCCGTTTAGCCACCTGATACTTAATATACTATTCAAACTATAACAAAAGCTTGATGAAAAGGTATAGGTTACAATTTATTAAATTTCATTAAAAATTTAGAATATTTTTATTACATGTACAATATAAGTTTTAGATAATAAACAATGTAGATAATACTTTTCTCAGTTTATTTTTAAATAAATATGCCCGCATGTTATTTATATATCCAATTTTCATCATTTATCATTCGCAACTGAACAAATGAATAATTAATTAATAATTTTCACGATTATTTAGTCCGTTAAAATGTCAAACTGATATTATTGAGTGAAATATATACATTGATTTTCTGTTACGTGGCAATAGAGTTGTTAATGAAACTGTGTAAATTTACGATAATAAATGCTTTATACAAGTTATTTTGTACGAATATTTTTCTTTACGTTATATATCTTGCATACTCTCTTTTTTACAATTTCTTTAGAAATAATGCTTTATCCTCTGCAAATCGCGTTCACGAATTTTACGATACAAATACGAAAATTTTAAGTTTAAAAAATTTCATATACGTGTTGCTTTTTTCGATAATACTTGCTTTGCATTAAAAGTCTTTTCGTGCTCGTTTACTTTAAAATGTTAAGTACATATGAATAACGTTAATATTCATTTGTTCGAATAATTTCATATTTATGCATTTTTATAACGACACATAAAAGCCATTGAGTTTTTTTTAGTTTAATTTGTAATATATTCATTCTGATGTTCATTTTCCAGAGTGATGTTAAATAAATATTCTTTTCTCATTATTGAGATGCTACTATCAAAATATGATCCGTGGCGAATCTTTTGAGAATACTTTTTTCCGCATGACTTTGGCATTGTTTGGCTTTTTTCTACATTTGTTCTTCGATGCACACTAATTCATTCACATTCCGTTCGCTCCGTTTTTTCTCCCGAATAGATTTTATCATCTTCATCCTACCATGTACTGCGAATCTTTAAGAAAAACAAACCAAAATGTACAACAGAATACGTACAAAGACACCAGTAATAAATTGCGCACACGAGTTTACGCCTATGTGTGGGTATGTATGTATGTGTGTGTTTATGCGTGAGTGTATGCGTGTGTATGCGGGTGGTACAATTTTCGTGTGTTCAGCCTTCTTCGTTATACTTTGGCGATGTTTGACGCCGATTTCGTTATTGAATGGCGCAGGAGGAATTGTGATCGACGTAATATTCCCCGCTGCCGCCACTGGTAGTCCCCAACGCGGACGACGTCAGCGGCGTGAAATCCAGGTCGTCTTCGAAATCAAAGTAGTGACACTAAACAAACACACAAAATATATAATCAGAATTTGCCGCTGTCGGCGGCGGTTTGTTATTATTAGATTTGCGCCGAGCGAGTGGAATTACTTGGCACTCGATGCACTTGCAGTCGTCAGTCTGTGAACACGTTAAGCCGAGTATCGTTGCCGCCTCCTCGTAGAGATCTATGCTGTTCCGTCGGCTGCCGCTTCCACCCGCCGTTGTCATCTGCTCCGATTGATTGCCGCTGGAGCTACACTTGCCGACGTCCTCCTTGGCGGCATGGCCGCCGGCAGACTTCGTTGTCGCTTTGTTCTGGACGAAAAACTGAAACAGGCAAACGCTTCGTGATTGGCTGCACTATAAATTTCTTATTTTTTAAAAATATATCAAATGTAAAACTGTAAGCACAACAGTACTGATACTTCGAAATCCAATAAATTTTCGTTGTCGCACAGCTTTTACGATTTCTCAGCCGGATCTTAGAGTTTCCGCTCGTTTATAAAACCAGATCATGTCTGGAGTGTTACAAATTTACGCCGAACCGCGAATTGGTTGAACATATATTTCAACCGCCGTCAACGTGCAACACGGACAGGAACGCGAAATCCGGAATTCGAAACGCATGAAATAAAAGGAGTAAAAGAGAAAAACGCGAAAATAAAAAACGACCACGCTCGCAAGTTTTCTAAGGTGCAGCAGGAGGCGGGTGGCTTGTTGTACATAGTACATGCTTACGTTCGCAGAGTTATCCCGTTTCGCACAAACAAGTTTCCCAACTTCCAGAGAACAACGTGAGCAAAAAAAAGTTACATAAAATAAGGTAAAAATAGAATAAAAATAAATTACTTGGATTATCTAAGCTTTTCTACGCTAAAATATAAATATTACTTTACTTTACTATTCTGATTGTATACGAGTACCGGCTCCATATATGATATTTGATTTATTAGATTTTTGAATTTTTGCTTGATTTCAATTCACGTCAATATAGGTGAACGTTTGCCACCCGCATGTGTGCGCTGCAGGTTTCTTCCTTTCAGCTCATCACAGCATAATGCCAGATCATATCCCACTATTCTGGTGATAGCCGTACGGCATGCGCTTGAAGGATGTGTGGAAATGATAGGTGAGCACATTGCGAGAGGAATATGGTGTGGAATAAGGCACAAGGGCAAAACGCGACCGCAGCCTCACCTTGGATGTAGATGTTATGTAAATGGCACCATCGAAAGCCGACCTATGAGATTGTCTTCGCGAGCGTCAATTGGCTTTTCGTGTGGGGAATATTTTGCTTTTTTTTTCTGCACATTGCCACGGCCGCGTTGTTCTCAATTTTTGTATGAAATATTTCAACATTTGCATTTTATTTTTCTAACATTTTTGGCAAAAAGTCAAGGGCACATAACCGTAAAATGTGACTCAAAATTATACCTTATTATATGTATTATCGTATACTCTAACTCTAAAATATTAAACTTTTTATATATAAAGTGTATTTAAAAAAAAACAAGTTACACCTAAATAATAAAAAAAAAATAGTTTATGTGTGCAATATGTGTTAACGTAAAAATAGCAGCTTATTTTATAATAGCATGCGTGCGAATAAATGCAAAAATTTAATATTTTTCACGATCGCTCGCACGCATATATCACTGCTACATGTTGCGCGTTTTTTATCGACATTATTGGAAATTAAATCACCCGTATGCATACCGCCCCAACCGAAAATATAAATACCTACGCAACACACGCAATATAGGGGGTTCGGAGTATAAAATACTTAAAATTTCGCGCGCATCGCAAACGTGCTCATTGTGACAGCAAACAATGCGCATACATATAGCATTTTCGAGTATTCCAGTGTGGAATGATAGAAGTTTCTGGCCAAATGCTCATTAGATATTTAATAAATGAAATGCCTCTATTAAATTCCTCAGCATCCGTAATAAATTCATGATTAGATGATCAAATATTTAATAAATGATATTGCCCGCTGTTTACACATAATAATTCCATGAAGTTAATTAACATTTATTTAAATAAATATTTGTACATTTGTATACATGCTATTCTCGTTTTATTAATTTTAATTACGTTCATTATGAATGTGTTTTCGCTTTAGACTGTTTATTATATTTGTGCGAGCACAAAACAATTTGCAAATTAGTCGACAATCGATAACGACCGTAACAATACATTGTGTTAGACTATCCACCAGCTCGCTACCGGCTGGATGGAGGTTCAGGGCCCGTTGAACAGCATTGTTAGCCGTGAAAGGTACACTTGCGAGGATGGTGTGAGTGGGCAAAATGAGGCGCCGTACAACACGTATCACCTCATTGACCATCTGGCCACGTTTCCCACGTATGTCGCAAAATCGCTTACGGCCGGCCGCTCGCCACCCCCACTAGCCTAAAGCGATGCCGTTGCGCAAAGTTTTAAAGGCCTCATACAGCACTGTTGCCAGCTGTTCCCAAACCGATTAATTCATTCCGTGTGCATTTGTTTTCTGTGCAATGCGCAGGTATCGATTTCAGCAAATAATTGCAGGATATTGGAGTTATTAATGTGCAATATTCAAATAGATAATTACCCGGTAATAATTGATATCAGCTCTCAAAAGAAATTTTACAAATTGTTTATGTACACCTAGAATTTGCAGACTTTGTCTAAATTTTTATTAATGTAAGGATTTGAGGCTGTTGGAAAGTTTGTTGCAAAGATTTCACGTCCAATATCTTTCCTTCGGGATGGATTAAAGCTTTTTGCTCTAATTGAAGTATAAAATATTTAAGACCAGGAGCTTTGTGCCCCGCCACATGGGCTTGCACGTTGCCGATTCGCGTTTAGCTCGCATTTACTTATCCCAATTAGAGTTTCCCGAATTGCTCTCAAATTCAGGCATATTGAGGCCTCTGAACATCAAAATCTCTTATTCAGAAAATTTGGGAATGCTCATCACAGATTTATATTCGCCACAAAATGCGGTTAATTAACGAGAATCAAAGTTTGAGCAAACATAAATTAATAACATCGATAGTACACAATATTTGAAGCATGCTAAAAGCAATTTCGTAAATGTCATCTTTTTAAAATCATGAGGCGGACGCAGAGAAGAAAGAACGCCAGCCCAAAAGTGGCGTATCGGAATTCATAAATTTCTCAATTCCATTTCCGGCGTTCAGCGCGCATCTCCGCTTGTAGCAATATCGCCGGCAATATCTTTTCATTTTCAGCGCAACGCTTTTTCGCATCATGCTTGCATATTGAACAAAATACACGCACTTAGGCATGTTCAAATATTCTTTTCAAGAAAAAAAAGATGGAATTGAACGTATATTCAACCGCATAAGAAAGTGATTACTGAAATTGATACACGAAATTGATTACTAATTATAAAAAATTAAAAATTTGCACACGTTCTACCTACTTGCGAAATTTCTTTCAAAATTTAAAAGATTAAAATTTTCACAATACATTTAATTATTATTTGTACCAAAATTAATGACGCAAGCACGTGAACGTATGGGAGTACGACTATAAATTTCAATTACGACGTCACCTAATGCAAGCGGCGGCCGCAAAGATGAAGACAAAAAATCGTCGGCACGCGAAAATCCGTTTAGGCGACGATCACGCTAATCGCCTGCCAGACACATTGGGTTTTTTGTTCTTATTGAAGCGCCTCGCACACCGTTTTAGTCACGAATCGGTTTGGCAGAGAAAAGCAAAAGCGTCTTGGCGAAACCGTATTATTAGACCGCACACAAGATACTTAGGCGTTGTCTACGACCTTACCTCTTTAGATAAAGCAAAATATAGGTACGCAAAACCTAATTAGTAGCACAGCGTGGCTTTGGGAGAAAATCTTCTGAATGAATATTTATACAAATAAGTATAAACTGTATAATTTACAGACAGTTGAATTAATAATTTATAATGTTTGGGATACTTAGGTTGATTTAAATCGCCCGGTAATAAGAAACACAAAAAAACTTAATTTCACTAACGGCCTATTATCTGGGTGCCGCCAGCGGGCGAGTCTTGTTGGAGGTGGAGGCTTACTTGCGAGGTGCGACTAATGACAGTTTAAGAGACAGTTTAAGCCGAGCGTTGATACCTATGTGAACGTTCGGGCTGTAAAATAACTCGCTCGAGCTTACGTTCGTTTCGCGCTGAAACTTGCTGATAACGGAATAGTCATTGGTAATATCCAAAAAGGTAATAATTTTCCTTACGTATTTATAGCGCAAGAAAACCTATCACATTTAGAAATTCCACGGTAAATTGTTTGCTTATTAGAAATCCATGTGTAGCAGAAATTTTAAAGTTGAAACTATAAAAGCTGCCTTTCTGTATATTAGGTTAGCTACATATTCAATTTACCTTGCTTACAAATCGACTTACTCTCCTTACATCTGGTGAAAAATCAGAGCAAATAACTCAGTGTCTACTTACATCTAGCGCCGGATTGTATTTCTGCTTTAACTTGGTGCGCGGTTTGCATTTTATCATGTGCCCTCGGCCTGTCGCAGACGAGGGTGACGCAAACATGTTCGCCAAGTCTGTGCTCTGAAAAAACAACACACCATCGTTTCACTTGCAATTCACCCAAAAATCATACACACCTAAATAAATCAAACACGCAAACAAGCTCAAAAAATCATATAAAAATGATTACGCCGGACAACAGAATCCCCCGAGAGTTTGAATGAAAAAATAAAAATGTGAAAAATAAATAACCGGGCACGAAAAATGAAGAATAAAGAATGAAATGAACGAACAAAGCGGAAAAATATATATGAGCAAAATAAATTAAAAAATTGATAAATAAATTGAGACTCGTGTTGCGGATTTGGTGCGGGAATGGAAAAAGTGTGACTGAATCCTTTTTTATTTACCTCGGATTTTGTGTTCGTTTCCAGGAAGTAAATATCCTTGTGCGGACAACTAATGATTTCACCTTTCATACCTGAAACAACACAAAAAAATTGAATTTTAATCTAATCAATCATAAATTCGCGTCATTCAAGCGTTTCATTAGTCACGTGGGAACGCAACATTTTCCTATCAATACTGGGATACAATTAAAAGCCAGCAATTTCAATATTTCAATCAATATTCATGCTTTCGATTCTGTTTTTCTATAGAATTTAATATGAATACATGAATATTTACGATTTCATTATACGTTAGGATTTTTGTTTTATATTTTAAAATCAAATTTATTCAATTTTTCTTCTAATGCTGTCAAATTCAACGCAGTCGTGGCTCAAACTCCACATTCAAATTCTAAAAGAGTTAAAGTAACAAGCTTGAAAATTTAGAGCCCTTAAGGTGTATACCAGATGTGCGCTTTATGCAAAGTTTATGCTTTTACGCTATTAGCCAGCGGCCAAACGTTTCAAAAACAAAGCGACAGCAGAAAAAAAAACAGAAAATTTTTAAATTACAGAGAAACAAGACTGAAACTTTTTTCCATTTTTGGTGTGTCGCAAGCACGTGCACTCCGTTGCGCTTTTATTCGTTTCATCAGCCAAAGCGAAAGTAGACTTCCTTTTCAAATGGTCCTTTTTCAAATCCGATACGTTTGCGCAATGGAGTCAAATGGTAAAAATAATAAATTTTCTTTATTTTGCAACAAACCAACAAAAATATTTATTATAACGCTATATTTTAATTGAGAAGTGTTATATTTTTCAAAAGTGTTTGAAAACGTCAGAGTCAGAAGACTGCAGGAATACTAGAGCGTATGTACGCAAAAAATGTCTCTTTCTACGGAGAGGAGGCCAGAGAAGAGAACAAAAAGTTCGTTTTCATTCCGACCACTGTCGTTTGCAATTTGCAACCTTTTCTGACTCTCGACAGTGCGCGTTAGTGTGCTTCTTCTTCTCTCTGTTCCTATTATTAAAATAATAAAACGAGTGCGAAAGTGGACCCCGACGATTCCGCAGATGTTCGCGCGGGTCGCTGTTTGCGTCCATCCATATTAGGTAAAATTGCGTAGAAATTTTACGCAAAAAAAGCATACGTTCCGGCGACCGACAACCGGCGAGCATACCATTTGCAAAATAAAGCCGACAAACGTGGCATTTTAATTTCACGACCTTTTAAATCAAAGTAATTTGTGAATAGAATAAACATTGATCGACAAATGGAAGAAATTTTGTTTAGTTTGAGTTTTTTTATAGAGCCAGCAATGTGTACCACTCATAACAATCAAAATGTTCATTCAACTATTCTAGAAGACGACCAGAATTGTCATGATTACGGCAAAAACGTCTCTACTACTGACGTCATTATTATCGCTCACGCCGAGCCTACAACGATAACGACGAAATAAGAAGTTTGGTTTGATCGCAAGTACTATGATTGCTCTGGTTTGGGTCGAGAAATTCGATTAATTTGTTAAACCCAAACCAATAATTAAATATTGTAAATTATAATTTCCCATTTCCATTTGATTTGCGTTTTCAAAACACGCAAACTCAAATAATAGTTTTTGTCACTAACTAAACTAAAAATTTCAGTATAAATATCTGATTCATTTTAAATAATATATTTCTCAAAAATAATATTAATCATCACACCAATGTATAGTTTCAGTATTTTTGCAGTAAAATAAACCTCGTTAAAAGTTTAATTAGAAAACGAAAAGTTGAAAATAAATTTCAATGTGGCCACTAATAAATTAGTTACCTACCAAAAGTAAGTCTTTCATTAGGCGTGCGCTTTCATGGTCGTAAATTAGAGGCAACTTATGGTCAAAATCGCACGTCAAACGCGTCAAAGCACGTTCCGCCAAGTGTACCACCAACCGTTATCGCTCGTTAACGTGCCGCCCCTCTGTACGTTTGCGCAGTGCACATAACGGGTCAAATTAGATCAGTTTGGTGGATGTGCAAAGAGAACGTTACCGCTTCCGACGCGCACCTTTCCGCGAAACAGGATTTGCAACTTGTTACTTTTGCAACATTGCGTTGCATTTCGTGGGCCCAGTGCGCGCGCTTAATCCGCTTAAACTCGTGTGAGCGGGTGCATTCTACTAGGATGAAAAGCAAGCGTAAAGTTGATATACTCGTAGTTACACAAGACCAAAATGTCAAATGCGTTGGTTCGCTGGGAACAAAAATTGGGAAAAAATGCAAAAACCAACACAAGATTAATTACAAATTTGTTACGAATTAAAAATTACGTTTCGCAAAACGAGAATAACTGCGTTGAAAAGAATTCGTTATAAGTTTAAATTTTTGTTAAATTAAAATAATAAAATATAATTTGGTTGATATTTATATTTTAAAACGGCAAGGATTAAGAAAAAAGTAAATTAGATTAGTGTTCACAACAAAACACAATTTTATCTTGAACATTCATTCACTTAAAATGGATTTGCATTGTGACGAAGCAAGTGGCACAAAACGTAGAGAGGAATTAAAGGGATACGTGTACAATGTTCACGGTCCTGGATCGCATGCCAGAGGTACTAGCACTGCAAAAGGTCGAAAGTATGCTAAAACGCTAAAACACGGTTGCGGTTTTTCGCATTCCTGTGTCTCTCATTTGACGCTCCGTATTATCACATGTGTAACAAACTTCCATTTCAATTCCTGCTAACTATTCGAAATAGATCACACCACTTTTATGACTAAAATTTAGTGAATTATTTTGAAAACAAAATTTGAAACAGCCGGTATAAATTTAATCCTAATAGTTGAATAAATTTGCAGTAATTTTGGACAGGCATGATGACAAACCAAACCCCGGCACAGATCACAACAACAGAGGGCTGATACACCTTTTACAACAAGCGGAGGGCGTTTGCGTACAGTTCGAGGATAACGCCGGCAAACAATCAGCCCAACGCATCTTCCCTTGCTTTCCTTCTTTATATTCACATCCGCTTGTTCACGTTTCATTTTGATTTGAACTTTTTTCGAGCACGTTATTAAATTGTACAGCCAGGTAATACCACCGCAAATACTCAAATCTTACAGTCATCTTTTCACTTCTTGTATAATCTCGTTATTATCATCCGGACAATTTTCTGGGGCCCCGGTGTATCACGCGGTCCGTCGTGCTTAATTTAAATTACTCGCTGAAGGCCCAAATGAAGTAACAAGTAGAAAAGAAGCACGAAGCAAGAAAAAGCAAGATTAAAGCGCGGGCGAAATAAGACTGCGGGACGTTGGCTAGCGTCAGAATCACTTTGTGCGCAAATTGAGGAATAAGCAATAAGCAAAGATTTAAGGAAAACTGGAGGCAATATCAGCCTCAACATTTTAAATTGGCTATTATGAGAATAGAAATTGCACAAAAGGAAAATCCAACACAGAAGAATATGGAAACAAGTCAAACCCAAGTTTACGAACAGACGTGAAAAATTAAATATTTGAAACAAGATATTTATTCATTGAATCAACACAACAAGTTAATTTACGAAATTTACTTAAATAAATTTTCTTTGCAATTTGTTTTTAATTACATCAGCTCCTGCTGAGTCAACCACATTGCCCCGAATAATAAATGGCCGTGAGCAATATTCAAAAGGTTGCTTTCTGATCTCCAGCAGGAAAAAAATTAAGCAACCACCAACTTCCAATCTCGTTTGCGGCGTTTCTTTTCGAACCGCACGTAACTGAAATTGATTGCGTTTATATCGCTCACAGTGTATGCTTACACGGTATTTTTCAGCATAATTACATTTCGTCAATGCTGTCATCGGATTTTTCGCCGAGCTGACTTGGATTTTGTTCATATTTAGAGTGCTGGCTTCATCGTCTCAATTTTAGCCGTCAACGTGTAACGATGTAACGGCAAGGTATGGGTAATGTAGGTTATAGATCTTCGCTTGCTACGGTTGCGCCGCACAAGCGATCGGCCAACAATTTTGATATTCTGAATCAAAATGTTGCAGCACGAAGAGCATACATACATTACGGCGGGCCGCTCCACTACTACCGGAACCGTGAGCACCCACGCGCGCTTGTGTCCGCCATTGTCGGATTCATGTAATTTTGATTGATTAATGGATGTTGAATGTGCAATTATAAATTTAATTTCAAATGATTAATTAAACCGTTGCCCCGGTGCTTCTCCTGTCCATGAAGGCTGAAATTGTATTATGTATGACAGTTCCGGCCAAAAAGTGAACATGTTACACAAAACTCGATAAATAGATAACACTCAAAGTGACAAATTGTATAGATAGACAAAATTAATTAATAATTACATCGAAAAAGTAATTATTTAATATTTTATTTACTTCCTGCATTGGTATTGGTCACATTTTCCACTGAACTATGTTGCTACAACCGCTCAAAAAAGTTTTGGACAGTCCGAAAGGCTAATAAGAAAAGAACACATCAATATCTCACCATATTGCGCCCGATGTGATGCGATATAATGCAATGAACTCTTTATCGTGTCATTTTTCACCCGCGCCGCTGGCACGAAGAGCTTGGATTGAGCTGGTGGAGGCGCTGGGCTTTATAGAATTATTGTCAAGGGTGTGTGCGCACATTGTGAAAACTGTCAATAGAAGGATAATACTTGAATGAAAAAGTACTGCCAAGTTATATTACCGTAAAAAAATTAAATATTCGAAAAGATATTGAAAAAAAAATTAATATATTTATCTTGATTGATTTTCTTATTTATGTTTAGATTTTAGTTCTGCGCAGGTATTAAGTTTACTTACTGAGGCAAAGAATAATAATTCCCAAAAGGTTTTTTATTAATTTCAAAGCCGATGCCGTTGACACCGACCTTTCAAATAAGATAAATTATGTCGATTCAAACCGTTCGAGCCGCGTTTGGCAAGGAAGACGAGAACAGGCGATAATGACGATGGAAAATCGGGTGGAAGACTACGTTGCCTGCACGTGAATAGATGACAACGGTTGTAAACATAAATCTAACTGTCTTACTTGTTCTCTTCTTATTTCATATTTTAAGATTTCAATTTTTTACACATTGTTCATGTTTCTGACCGATTGCAGTGCACGTAAAAAAGTCTCCTGCAGAAAAATAAAATAGAAAATACTTACCTACATTTATTCGTTCACAAAGTGACTATTTAAAGTTTATTATATTTGCAAGAGATAAGAGTTAACTGTATACGCTCATAGTTGTATGCCATTCACGGTCTGTAGAGTACAATTTGTGTACATTCCCCGCATTTCACATGAATGGATCCGCTAATAGCAACTGCATAAAGCGAATGCAACGGTAGCAAAAACGTTACGTTGTAATGGGAATATGCATATGCAACGCGTTCGCACTAAATTCAAACGCAAATATAAAAGCGCTACCTTCGGCTCCATGGCCGAGATAACCAAAATGTAAAACGCAAACGAAGGCAAACTAAAAGCTGCGTTCGTGAAATTTCACCGCAAAACTCAACCTCTAAAACCGTCGAGAGATAAAACTACTCTTAGTCTCCGTAAATTTTTTTTCAACTCTTTTGGCCTTGATAATATACAGGATCTGTATGCATCATTTAAGAAAACCATTCGCACACAATAAAGGCTCAATCCTTTTTCGCTCCAGTGCACGTGCAGAGTGCAGACTATTTCTTGGATGTATACATGTGCACACAAAGAGAAGGATGATGCATACTGGGGGCACATAAGAACCGCCTGTAACGACCACCGGCGAGAGGCATTAGCGAGCAACTCCGGAAGGAAATTGTAGCGTTACATTATTAAGGCAGGCGCTCATTATACGGATACGTTTTGTTTAAATACCCGGGCGACCTGAGCGAGACAACCTGAATAAACTATGTTGCATATTTGCAACGCTTCAATGATGCCAGGTATTAATTTCTTGCTGCCAACGGGGGCGGCTCACAGTTTTACATAAATTTTGCGCTACTATCTAGTAAATTTTCAATATTATTTTTCAGTATCCTCAACTGGTACATTATAACGGAATGTTTTAATTAACTTATAAAAATAATATTATTGATAAAGTAATAGCATTACAAATTATAGACAAAAAACAATCTATTCGAAATTTTCGTACAAAGAGAAATGCGTATAAGCTATGTAACTGAGCAAGAACTTCATGGACTATAACAATCTCTAATAAGAACAACTTTATCATAGTTTATGCTACGAATGCACAATAATGTGTTGAATTTACTCGTACTGCTATTATTCTATCACGCGTAATAGGTGCTTTTAGCTGCTGGAGGGTTTCAGGCATAGACCATTAAATTGTCTGCGCTCACCTTGTTTATATTTGTTAAATTTTCTCGTTTAATGGTTGCTTAATATACCTACGCGCGTACGTTGCAAGGTAAGCAGGTAAGAAAATTAATCGCGCGAGGTAGGACACGTACTGTTTTTGCAACAGCAGATAAATTCGGTCTGCAGCAGCAGTAGCAAAACATTTTGCGATGATAAATCTACAAGTATGCTACAAGCACGCAGCAGACATTCTTACCTAGTATGTTGGTGAGGCAGAGAAACGACGCCGTGGTTTCTGAAACAAACAGTGAGACATAGGTTAGTTTGTTAAATGCGTACCAAAAGGAAGAAAAAAACTTGAGTAATTTAGGTTATTATGTTTCGTGAGATTAACTAACTTTTACATTTAAGACAACAATTTATTAAAATCAAACTGTGTGATTTATAATAATTCATTGAAATTGAAAAAAAATAAAATCATAAGTAATGCGAGTTATCTATTTATCTCGCAGCCAGTGTTATAACATGATTAATCGTCTGGTTTTAGGGTCCACTTTTTGTAATTATTTTTGTGCTTTCACTGACTTATATATCACGTTGAATAGCCGCCAGACTGCAGCAGCCGTGGAATCAACGCGAAATTTTCAAAGCCGCAAAAGCTCCGAATTGGCATGGAAAAAAGCGATACGAACCGAAAAAGCTTTTTATCTTCCGCGCGACGTCGGCCATCGTTCGATCTCCATGCGTTGGACACTGCCACAAGACCGATAGACGCTGGAAAAAAAAGTCTTTCGCTTCAAGCCGAATGTAAGAAAGCGCTTATAAAAACTAATCAATTCCACGGTCGAGCGACATCTACGCATCGTCGCCTCGGCGCGGTCACGCAGCGGACGACAAAGACGCCATTGAAAGAAAGATAAGGGCGTTACGTGAAAGAAATTCACTCAACCAAACTAGTACGGTGCGATTCTATGCGTGACTGTATGCAAGTCGACCGATGAACCGATACGAACGGGGCACCAAACTCAAACGGAGGGGTTTATAAACCGTTGACGACCAGGCACTGACGGCGAAAATCTATTTAATGAACTATTAAAGCTTTTTCATGCTACCGACTCGTAAAGAAAACGCCACGTTAATGGATTTATTCTTTTTTGCGCGCGCGAGCATAATGCCCCATCAACCTCCGTCGACGCCTTCTTTGTTCTATTATTTTATGCTGGTGGCGTTTTAGCCTCTTTTAAGCGAGAACTAACATAAATTGAATAATTGACTTGTCAAATCGTAAAACAGTTTCTCGTATCGCCCCGATGCCTTACCCACGCGAATCGTTGAACAAAAGACCAAAAAACACACAGATACATATATACAAATACATATACCCGTGACTTATGGGAGGTAATAAAAATTTTGACGAGAAGATAAAATTGGAAAACTGGCAAACGCCACCGGCAATACATAGACTGCAGCGACGTTCAAACTGGTGCCATCCGTGCTCTTTCGCATCACCACCAGCTTGTTTCCTAGTTTATTTTATTTTAGTTTATTGTGTTTGGTGGCCGCACCGGGCTTTATGGCAAATAATAAATTTTCAATGGTGAACACCTTTCATCCACCTATTCTTTGTTTAGCAAACATTACGTGTCGTTTCGGTGTATAGTCATTTTCATCGGTGTCAACTGGCAAGCAGTCTTAAAGGACAAACACTATTTGCAGTTATTTGAACTGTTTGCAAACAGTGATGAAAAACGGAAAACGGTGTACCTGAAGGTAATTTATGCGCAACGGTTGTAGGTTGCGCCGTTTGCACCAGGCACGGAAAATAACTACACATATTATGAATTTTTCAAAAATATTTTATTATATCGCTTCAGCCTTTATTTTAAATTTTTATATTATAAGCACAGGAAAACGGCGATGTGATGAAAAAGTTAAGATCCGTGACGTCGACCTTTCCACACCACTTCACTTTTCTCTTTCCTGTCAGACTGCTGCTCATGAAGTCAGACGGACGGACGCAAACTTTTGCGAAGCGTTCGCTGCAAATCAAATTACAAACGCCCATAAACTTCGTTATTGTTATTAACGAAGGGAATCTCATCCCTGCCCAATTATTGCTTCCTTTTCTTATACCATTCGTTCGTTTAGATTCCCGCCTCAAGTCCAAAAAGCCCGAATTCGCATCAAATCAAATCCGTTACATCATTTGTGTCGGGCTTATGTTTTAACATGTTAATAATTACATTTGTATCTTAGCTTGGTCGGCACACTCAAACCTATTCCATCGTTAATAATATACTTTCATTACTTTTATTGCTCGCGAGTGTGGGAGCAGAGGAGTGCTACTCTGTGGCGTGCCGAGATTAATGAAAATGATGATAAAACTGATTAATTACAAAAGCGGAAGGACCTAGCCGAGAGCGCACCTGCAGAATAATGCTGGCAACGGCACACTCATCGAGAATATAGCCTGCAATGGAATGCGGGCTGCAATGAATCGTTGTTATAAAACCACTGCGCTAATTGCTGCTGAAGTTCAAATTACGTTCGACGATGGCCACTTATCTTGTAAGTTTTAACAATGGGTCAAAATGAGAATAACATAATTGCAAGCCCTTTAATACCTAGACATTCAATTAATGCAACTATCTATTGTATTGTATGCAATAATTATGTACAATAGTTGCAAATCCGTCACAGTAAGCGCAACCTCAATGTGTGCCATCTGCATCGCTTGCACATATTCGACCTATCCGCCCCCAGTGCGCATCCAATTTCCCATTAACATTTATTTTCACTCCGTGTGGGTTCGCAGCTAAATATTACGATAGTTGCACAATGTAACACGTAGGGTCTGAATCGGATGCTAGCTCGTTACTGTGAATGCGCCCTCATTGTTTGCACGTAATTCTAGGCGCACTAAAGGTCAATGAATGTACAGGGTTACAAATAATTATATTTAAATTATATTTATATTAAATGTGGAGTGATACATGCAAAAATTAATATTAGCTTAATAATTTCAATTTGATTAGTTCACTAATTAAGTAAAAAGTAAATTATTTACTTTTGTTTCTAAATAAATTTTTGTAATTAGACATATACTAGTTTGATGTTTTCTTTATTTCGCCCGGGTTTAACCTTTTTTTGCTAATTTAACTAGTCGTAGCAGCATCGCAGAGTTTTCTATAATTATAATCCCTGTAAATTTAAAAAGTTTGCCATGTGCCAGTAAACTTTTCTAATTAGTGTCGGATGACTAAGTTTGTTCTCTAAACTGTTCGCTTAATATCTTATAGGTTATGTTATAATTAGTACCTACTTTTTTGGTATAAACTTTTTCTCCACTTTTAACAATCCTCTTAAAAAAATCTCTTCTACAATGTAGAAGTGGCAGAACAGTGTGAAGAATGGAAGTTTCAAGATCATGTTTCTGATAATGACAGGACATGTGCGCGCTAGTCCCTCAAACAATTAACCAAAGTGCCATTATTAGTGCTATAGTGCTATATATATTGCCTAGGCATTAACTTATCAAGCACACGCGCAATGCACAAACAGTTAAACATGTACAATTCACCCCGGCACCATTCCACCACGATTCATTCATATATTTGCGAGGCTTGAATGCAAAGCAGCTACGGAAAGGTACAAGCGTGAACCATGGCTGGCGGTTATGTACAGATGGAGGCGGCACATATCATCCTTTATGTCCGCGCTGGAATGTGTGCTGTACGCACAGGGTGCGTGCAGTAGTCATTCCGAAAGCTTGAATGCTTGTTCGAAACATGCTGTTGGCTTTGTGTCCTGTTGTAGTGTTTTGTGTGCACTCTCATCAGACACTCACACACCCAAACACATTTGCGAATGGTTTTGGGCGGGTATCAGGTGATGAGATTTTCAGACGGACCCGGCAGGTTTTGATTCGGATTAAGGTCATGCCTGTATCATAATAATCAAGAAGTGGAGGCATAAATTTAAATGTTCAAACAAAGGTCGCCCTTGAACTTTGGTGATCATCAAAGTTTCCATTTAATTAGACACATGTGTTGCAGCTCGGTGAAATGTGACTGAATTGTCCCACTTCGAGCTCACAAATGTGCAGTTTAGATAAAATGCACAGTGCTCCACTTCCGCTGTGAAGGTCGACCAAAACGAAAAGGACGTAGACACACTAGCTGCGATTGCGCATTGCTTTAAAACCTCCACACTCTGTTGTTGTTCTACTTCTACTTCAAGTTCGTACAGCATATTATACGTTGACAGTGCCAAACTGGCAAAACCGGATGTATTTTTAAAAAGTGTGCGCGTCACAACTTAGAGTTTGGGATATTGCACAACGTTTTAAAGCTTGCGAAACGAAATTGCTTTTACATCCAATGATAGTAAGAGGCGGGTACAGGATTACCGTGTAGAAAGCCGGCTAGTTATGTCACGTTTCTATTCAATTCCGATATACTTCCTCGCGAATAACAAGTCAATCCGGTGCGAACACGGACGACAAGACGTTCCGACGCCGTTAGAGCAGGGCGTGTGTATTGATTTCGTCTAAAATGGAACTAGATCTTGTCCTTAGATTGTAATCAATTTCAGTTAAGTAATTAAATGCAGCTGGTATCGAAGCATCATCTTTACATCAAACATACAATATAAAAACTGTTTTTTTTTATTGCGTTGTTGCAAATAAATAGCTATAAAATAACAAACAATATTAGTAGAAATATAAATTTTGAAAATTGTAAATTTTAACAAAAGGAAGAGAAAAACGAAATTGCCGAACGAATACACCCACTGAACCTATTCATATATTCATACGTAGGGAGCCGTAAATTAATCAACATGCGATCGGTACAAATTAATAACCTAGCTCTAATTAAATGATTTATTCATCCAAATACGAGTATACTCTGATTTGTGTGAATGGGTGTGTTCACTCTTTACACTGGTGGAATTATATGTTACCGATGGTCAAACGTTCGCGGGCAATGCATAAAGCGTGGGCGGCTGAGCAACATATATATGTGCATACCACCGGGCGTAAACTTTAACATTTCTGCAATATATTGCGATTATGTCAGCTGCCGGCGGCGGCGGCGGCGCTAAACATACACGCGCACACACAAATATAATATTTGCCGTTTTGATGTGCACGCGCTTCTGCCTTCAGTTCGGTCCAGTGAAATTGCCAGCAATCAACAAACACAAAGCGTGGCAAACGGACAGCACAGCAAAGGGCAGAAGTGAAATTACGTAAAATATGCAAGACCTTATGAATATTGAAAACAGATTTTTTTACTGCAACATCCAACAAATATTTGCAGTTATTATTTAATATGTGCGTGTGCAACACTCACCGCTATTGTTATTATTGTTGTTGACTGTGTTGTCCGATGTTTGATGTTTCACCGGAAATGTGCGGATATTTCACCGGTATTGGTTTTAAAGCAATGAAAGCAAATTGCGTAAATATTTCGCAAATGACTGAAATAATGCCACAGTTTGCAGTGTTTGCATCGGTTGTGCAGTAATGGTAGGCTTGCCTGCCAAAGCTCGCAGAGGCAAACATGTTTTCCAAATGCCATATTAGTTATAACGGGCTTTGTGAAATGAATGCAATTACGTTTTTGGCTTCAATTTTCCGCCAATTTTAAAAATGCGCACACAATTGTTTGCGATTTAGGCAATTAATTATTAAATTCAAAAATAAATTTAATTTCACTGGTAATTATGTTCGACAACACTTTGCAAAATAAAACGAAATGTTTCCCACCGCGCCGCCTAATTGATATCTATTGATTCGTATATTAATTGCATTTGCGTTCCGCTTTTAGTCACAATATCTCTGCGCGCGTTTTCGTCGTCAATACGAGCCCATTTAGCACCGGCACCGATACTAATGACATTACGATGTGATGTGAACTGGCACGCGCTTCACTAAATTCTACAACCATAAAGTACAGTTAATTACTTGTTCCGGCCGAGCGCCATGGAATTTCGGCAAGAGAATTTCGACGAGAATTTGCGCGCTGACATGAAGCGAAGACAGGACACCTCCGGCATTGAGTAACTGTCATAAGAAGTTCCAAGCACGTGCTTTATGCGCGTACCTGAGTGGAACACAGCATGCGACTTGCTAGTGATATCGGAGCCATTGAATGCTAATAGGCACATTCCATACATCGAGATGAGAGAGGGCCTTTCGATCCTGTCGCAAAAGCAAGCAACACGAAAAGCTAGAACTTCAAAGTATTCATGCGCACCTTGGAGAATAATAATTCGTAAAATTATGAACTCTGATGAGATAAGTTCAGGTTTCGTAGAATCATTAGTGTACACTTACCTGCGAGTCTATTTAACAGGTTATAGCCGCAAACTGCAAACAAAAAATACAAAAAGTTATTATAGTTTCTTTAAATTAATATTGAGATGTAAGGCTGGTGTGCCTTGCGGTTATAATAAAATATCTAGTAAAAATGCTAAAGTACCACTTGCGCAAGACTAAATGATAAATATAAATACCTGCCGTACACACGGAAGCACCTCAGTGAGATGAAATTCTATTTATTTCACGTGCGACCCGAGTATAATAAGATATACGAGCAATTGCAGCCGCGAGCTCCGCACACCGCAAGAAGAAAACGTTTTCACCACTCGCTCACATTGCTGATGGTAGTAGCGCTCTTATACGACAATTCGCGGGAACGAGTATATTCACAACAAAGTACACTTACTGAAAGTACGTGTACGTGTGCACTCACACCCATGGAATATTGCAGTCAGGTCTTATCAACGTCATCGTACGTTTTTCACTCTCCGTTTGTTGATTCGCAAATTCAAGCGCAAGTATTGAGGTTTGGTATACCCACATGTGTATGCAGGTAAAATTGATGCTGGGGCAACATTTTCATTTCTCGCCAATTTCTACCCCGACGCATTGCAGCAAAACTTATATTTTTATTTAGTATAATCATTTTGTAGATATATCTTCTTCGTTTGAAAGCAACTAATTTGACTAAGTAAATAAGATTCTTAACTTTTCTTTAGATTTGCAGCCATTGCTATACATTGAGCGTAGAGCGTAAGGTTGGTGTAGTGGAAGAGTGATGTTCTGTATGCGCTCGGAATGAGAGGCCCCGAAAGCGGACGAGGACATTATATTAGACGCATACCACCGCACAGTGAAGACTCGTGTGCGGCCTTAATGTTATGGCAGCATTGTCTTCTCATCCTCATTCGCATCCCTGGGCACCTCCTGGCCGCGTCCTTCGTTCACGCGCACGACGGCACACGATGTGCACTTTATTGTCGAGCGCCGGGGTGAATTTCCGCATGCGAAAATTCCAACGTGCATCCTTTTACTTCCTCACAAACAACAAGTCGTAACAAACTGCAGGAAAAAGTGCGCTATTAAAATTATGAACCGAGAACAGGTGTTGAAAAAATATAAAACCCCTAAAATTTAATTTAAATGTAAATATTTTAAGTAACTTTAATGGAATCATTCCAAAGAAGGTGAGTTTTTTTTTCAAGTTAAATTTATATAAAACCCACCTTACCATTTTTTTCAGATGATAATTTTCCTTTGAGCTTTTTACTACGTGGAAAAAAGTGCTCTAATAAAGGAATTGTAAAAAAGCCAGTTTAGTTTTACATATGAAAATGAAAATAGGACCGATTTGAGATGAAGCCTATGTATGTGTTACATAGGCATACATGCACAAACCTACAGAAAGCGAGGACAGAAGTCAAGTTCAGTGAATGTAATAAACCGGCTTGGCTTGGATATGAAAAGCAAGAAAAACCACTAACGAATGCTTCCCACTACCCGTGTTCCCTCCACTTGGACACCTCGAACGTCTGGAGCACGCGCTCCAGACACTCCAAATGTATATAAAGGGACGCTCGGTGGCGCTGGCAGATAACGCAAAAACATCAAACGAAAGACAATAAACGTGGCGCTCCGATGCGCACGCGGTGACTTTCTCTAAGTGCCAATTTAACGGCAACATCGACGTGGTGCCCGAATTGAAGTAACGACTTCTCTTCCTGGATACACTTCCACATATATAGCTTCCGAAAATGACGCTTTCGACGTCCGATGTTCATTTTACAGATCTCCGGAGTTTGCGCTGTGGAATGTCAAAAGTAAAAGTCACTCCAAACTAAAGTCGGAGTAAAATAAATTACTATTATTGATTTTGAAAAGTAGGAACATTATGACGCCTTAAAGTTGAAGAGGCAATTCGTGCATTCGCATAACCATAGCGATAGAGTAACTTGTTTCACAAATTTTGAAAAAGCACGTAGGTACTTTGCGCCAGTCCTTGACAAGAAAACACAACTTCAGAACTATGCCCAAGCGCACGCTCGAAATGTAGTTGTTAATTAGTCATTGCGTCCCCTCTTTAACTACTTAAGAAGATAAGAAGTATGCACATTAAAAAAGTTGTTCGCCAAAGTTTGCCCTCTTGAAAAATATACTAGCAGACAAAATACTGTTTCAAAAAATGTTAAACTATCATATAATTTGATTTAAAAATTGATTATCATATTTATCTTCATTGTTAAATATGTAATCCATAGTAATAATTATTTGAAATTTATACACGAAAAAATTCAACTCAATTCACATATTAACACAATGTCATGATTTTAATTTTGTTTTTAGTTTAATATAAGTAGTATTTGTGCATTTTATGTAAACATGTGGTACATGTTTTTAAAGAATTTCTGCCGTTACACCCAGCATCTGAAGTCCTTCGGAACGCTAAGTAAGGCATGGCAATTACGCGAGGGTTAATTAAAAATGCACGGCGCACCTGAGACTCTTCGTGAAGAAAATACAACTCGGAAAGTATCAATTAATTCAAAGTATTAAGTTATAAAACTGAAAAAAAAAACTTTAAAATTTTTAAACCTTTTTTACTTTAACTTCTAAGTATAAAAGTATTCTTTTCAACAATTGCTCTCAAAACAATTTTCCAGTTCAAAAATATAAAGTGTGAAAAATGTTGGATGTGATTAAAAAAGTTATGCCGTTCAAAGCGACAAAAAAGGAGCATTTCTGCTGATCATTCAAAACGTTAATTAATCGAAATGTTCACGCTTCATATCTGTATTAAGAAATCAATCCATTTTAGGACCCCAGATAATTCAAACAAATTCTTTTAAAACTTTGCAGGCTTCGGTGAATTAAATGAATGAAAAGTTAGAATTAGGAAGTCAAAATTTATGCTTAAATTAGAAAGCAGACAACGTTTTACAACAATCAAAAAATCAATTAATCCCAAACAAGAAAAGACACGATTTTTTTATAAACAAAAAATCTAAGTTTTCTCATTAACAGATAAAACTTTTTCTTTGAGCATTAAATCCCAAGCTTTGTTTAGAAGCTCGCATAATTTATTGTGTGCGTTGGCGCAGCTTATGCCAAAAGTTATCCGAGAAATAAAAGATTGCCGCCCACGCGCGACACTCGCTTTGGGTCGTAAAGGATGGCTGATATCAAAAGTGAAACACGATATGTCTATTCTGCTGTGGCCTGGAACAACACAATTTATCTATCTACACACGGGTGATTAAAGTCTTTAATTAGACCAACATTACGATTAATTACGATTCTCTTTACGCCTGCTTACACCGTCTAATATACAAACACACAACCGCCCCATCTACACTTAGTGGTTGTTGGACGTGTTGTGAGAGTTAAGGGTGGCAGTAGTGTCCTTGAGTTACTTGAGGTACCTACATTTGTTCGCTTATCCTGGCCGATCGTCGAGCATTGGTATGTGTGGCCGGGTGCTCTCCTGGACCCTTGAATGCTGCCATTTATTTTACCTGAATTGTTTCAACGCTTGCGTCCACAGCGGAGCCACCGGTAGTTTGTCAAAGAAAACACAGAGTTGCACTTAATTAAAATGATGTTTTTGCTCGTTTTTACATTTTACAACGGTTAAACATAAAAAAATCGACAAAATAATAAAATTTAATTAAAAAGCATATTTTTTATTTATGCAAATAATTATACATCCTAAGCCTGAAATGCAAACGTAACCGGAGGAGATGCTAGGGAATACTGTAGTGAAGCGGGTCCGAAGCGGGAGCATGCCGGAGGAAATATATACACGCGGAGGACGCAAATTTATTGCCTCATTTCATGGTCCTGGCTCTGCACTAATTCACCGTCTCATATTTACACACCTCAACTATTAAATCACCATAAAACACCCCTCGTCGGCGGGGCGGATGCGAAGGCGATAGGCTGCTACGTGCTACCTAGCACAACCACCACCAATCTGAATAAGCGTGGTCGTCTGCACACGATATTAATAATTTAAAACGTGGCTTGATATACATTTGGCGCGCGCGCAGATATTATTAACCACGCATTCAAAATCGATTACAATATGCAACGTTTTAAAATGTCTACAATTTTATTAGTACAAGATAAGTACAAAAAGCATGGTTCAATTTAGTAGATTAAGGGCCTGAAAATTGTAACGTTTAATAATATAAAAAATGCACTAATGTTTCTACTGATGTTATGCAGTAATATTTGCATGGTCATTAAAATCAACACAATTTTTATAAATTTCATGTTTTACTTTTTTATGGTGGTTAAAATAAAATAAGAAACGATCATTGGTAAACGATGCGTAAACGCGGGTGTGTACGCCCCGGGACAGCTGAGTTGTCGGGGATGCGAAATCCCGGATAGCTGGAACGGCCTGAAACTGTCCGCGTCCGCCGGAAATGCCGAAAACGCGAAAGTGAATCCCGAAAGTGAATCCATGGCCAACAATAATTATCGAGGGCGCCGATATAAATCACATGCCTTTTCTATTACTTTCTACATTCGCCACCTCTCTGTCTCCCTGTGATGCTCTCGTATTGCCCCTTTTTGTTTTCTCTACGACGGCAACCCCCTGTGCATCCAAAGCTTGTTTGCTCGGCTGAGTTTTTATCTGTGCGCGCACACAGCCTTGACGTTCCCTTCGATTTGCAATCGCTTCGCATGCTCTCGGCATTCGGCACGCTGGGCCATTTTATTCGCCCTTCGAATGTCGTGCCGAAGCCGAAAACTAAAAGGAGTATTCGGCACCACGCAAAAGTCCTTCATTATTTTCGTACTTCATTATCAGTCCTTATCCCTTGTGTCGTTGCTTTCGCTAGGACCTTCCGCGTTTCATTGTGCATTCGATCGGGAAATTTTAAAAGACGTCAAGCGCATTTTCATCCCAATTTGTTCCACTCTAATAATTTTATATTAACAGTTACATTATAATTTTATATGAGAATACGAAAACATTATAATCATTAGTAGCAATTTGTGACTTCTATTGTTACTTTTTCTTCGATTTTTTGTTATCTGGAATATCTATTTGTTTCTTTCCTTTTTTCATACTAACGCGATCAAATGTGACCTCGGCTGGTGGCACCAATCGACGCTGGTCTTTCGAACAACCTAAAACAACAAAAAATAAAAGATTTTCTCTCAATTTTGGTTCCATCGATCGCATTCGGTTTTGTATTCAATTGTGTTGCCGCTTTGGTTGTTAAGAAACTTTACCGCTTCCATATGCGAGCATTTCGGCATTGGGCCTAATACCGAAAAATAGGTTAGGCAAGTCGACAACACAAGAACTACTCAACAAACTATAGATATCCGCATGTCGGTGACGCCTTTCAGTTGCTGGAAACTTGGCAGCGCAACGTAATACAGTGTGGGTGAGTACTCTTCAACTTTAGACTTGTGACTGAGACAGACAGACTCTAATAAATGTATGAAACTTTTGCACGCAATAATTTTTAGGAACCATGTTTATTTTGCATTTCTAATGAAGCTTAATATACCTTAGGATTTACAAAGATCGATTGAAAGAATTTGTTAGGCGTCGGTCTTTGATTCAACTTCACAAATCTAAACGTAACTAGGAATGTCACGTTAAGTTGAACGCACTTAGTTTCATTTCATTAGAGACAATGCTTTGTGAATGTATTCAAATGCATTTACATCTTTTGCAACGATTGCTGCTTTGCGCTTTGATTTCGTCGACTTCTCAGAGCTACTAATTTCGTTTGAATAATTGAAAAGCTTCCTTAAGCATCGGCACTGATTTCGTGATACGCACGCAAAGGATTCACATACTTTTGAATACTAAATTTAAAGAAAAAGAAACTGACAAATAAACTTAATTTAAAACTTCGCTTTTAATCAAAATTTCATTGAAAACAAATAATCATAACTATTTCTTGAAACAATCTGTAGATATACACTAAAAACTTTTAATCCCAATGTGTGTTGGCAACAAGAGGCACCAAGCACTCAACAAAAGTAGGCAACTAATGCAATGCCATCAGATTTCCGAAGCGCTTGCCAATAGTTTGCTTGGGCGCCCGGTACCTCCACCATCATCACTTGACTGCAATTGCGACATAAATATAATGTATGAGAATTTCGTAAGTAATTACAGGTGAAATATGAAAATTTTCATGGCAAAACCTCCTGTCCACACACTAAAACGCCAACAAAGTATAAAACAAAAATGTCGAGGAAATCAACTAAAAGCCTACCAGCAGACGGACTATCAACACGGACTTCAATGCAAATAAACATTCGGAGACCTGCAGGAAGCATAAAAGCCACACACACACACAAAAAGATGCCATAAAGAAGATTGCCCATAAAATTGACAATGATTGAAGATGAAAACCTACGCAGGACGGATAAACTACGTCGTGTAGTGAAAGACATCAAGGCATAAAGTTCAACAATATTCAAAAATAATATTGTAATATGCAATTAATTTAAAAATGTTTAACCTTGACGTTTAATATTAACCCTTCATAAAAGAGGATTTTTTTTAATCCATGGAAGATCAAGCCTTTTTATAGGGTCAGGTCAAAGTGCGCCTCTTCAAATGCGCTTTATGTCTCTTCCATCCCGAATCCTCCAGCCCTGGTCACTAGGATTTTTTGTTCCAATTCGTCGAAATACAGAGGCTTTCGAGGAATACTAACATTTGTTACAAATAATATTCACAGTTGAATATTATAATAACACACTGTATTGTATGGCTGTTCTTGCTGCTGGTTCGTCCTCTGTACTCGACGTTTTTGCTATGTCTGCATCTGATGTAGAAAACTATTACTTTTTTGATCAAATAATATTTATTTAACTACACCAAAGTCAAAGATATTCGATGAGCACGTGTTTTCGTACCAAAAGTAATAAAAAAAGAAATGTTTGGTAAAAATACTTCGACATTAAGTCTGAAAAACATTCGGTAATGTTTATAGACTACAGGCCCATGTCCAAAAAATTTATGGGTCATATGAACCATCAGGTGACCTATTTAGGACGATATAAGATCATAAAATAATAAGATTTAACACTATGCCGTCACTTGTAAGCTGTCCAACTGAGTGCTGGTGAGAATTTGAAAGTACAGGCAGAGTGAGTACATTTCGGTCATATATTTTTGTACGGCATTTTTACCATCGATAGATCTTTAAAAAATAATAAGAAAGCGCGCAGTGCCGTAAAAAAATAGTGCGCCACAAAGTCGGTAAATTTTTTTGATTTTCGAAAATTTCCAGGGTAAATTTGGTCATTCGATTTTGTACGGCATCAGTTTCGTACTGTTTCAATACAGCTTCTAATCCATTATTCCGCAACGCCGTTCAAAAAATCATGCGACAAGGGGAAAAATTGAGGGTTGCAACCCCCTCTCTTTCCGTGGTCCAGGGGGTGATTTGAAAAAGTACGGCATCGGTTCCAAAACATTCTCTAGCACTCAAAAGTACTATTAAAAATACTGCCGTCAAAAATTATTGTTCATTTGAATGTATATTAATAATTATCTTAATTTCATGGTATACTTGATGTATAAAGCTGTAAAACCATTTGACCCTGTACGGGAACTTTTTTTTTAACATGATATTGTGAAATACAATGGTTATATAGTATTGCCGTTCAAAAGAAACTGTTCAAAAAAATTACAGAGAAATACAAAACTGAAATTTTTAAATTATTGCAAAAGTTTAAATATTCATAGATTAATGAAAGATAGCAATTTTCTACATTTTCCCTTGTTTTAAATAGTATTAAGGTAATTAAATTAGGAAAAATAATGCCGTACATTTTAATGCAGACCATATCTTTTAGGCTGATGAAAATGACGCTACCATTTTAAGGGTACTTTATGGCCATCTGATACTGTACGGCATTAACATATTTTTGAAGAGAACAATTGATAATATGATAAAATCATTATGACGTCTAACTGAAGTGAAACGGTGTGTATATAATATCCAAGAATTGAAACTGTCAATCCCAGTATCAACAGTTTTGTATACTTTTTGGTTTAGTATATGCTTCAAACATTATTGATAAATATATATAATTGATTTGTTTCATTATAATGATGTGAATAAATAAAACAACTATTTTTTAGAAAAATTCGATATATTTGAAAATGGTAATACAAAATAAGTGACAATAAACTATCTAAATGCCGTATAAAAAAATATCGTCATGGATTTCACCTTACATTTCGTTATATGGATTTTTCTTACATTTCGTTATATGAATTTTTCCTTGAATTTTTTTTCCCTACAAACCTTTGGACCAACGAAAATGTACGGCATGTAAAAAAATATTATCTATGCATAAAATACTTTCGAAATAAATTAATTTTGGGTTGTTTCAAATCACCCCCTGGACCACGGAAAGAGAGGGGGTTGCAACCCTCAATTTTTCCCCTTGTCGCATGATTTTTTGTACGGCGTTGCGGAATAATGGATTAGAAGCTGTATTGAAACAGTACGAAACTGATGCCGTACAAAATCGAATGACCAAATTTACCCTGGAAATTTTCGAAAATCAGAAAAATTTACCGACTTTGTGGCGCACTATTTTTTTACGGCACTGCGCGCTTTCTTATTATTTTTTAAAGATCTATCGATGGTAAAAATGCCGTACAAAAATATATGACCGAAATGTACTCACTCTGCCTGTACTTTCAAATTCTCACCAGCACTCAGTTGGACAGCTTACAAGTGACGGCATAGTGTTAAATCTTATTATTTTATGATCTTATATCGTCCTAAATAGGTCACCTGATGGTTCATATGACCCATAAATTTTTTGGACATGGGCCTGTAGTCTATTACCCACTGCCATATACTTTACACCTATTTCGGTGGAAGGCACTCAGCGACGTGGCGTAAAAGTGCCACGAGATGAACAGAAAGCGTAACTTAACGTGATGAAAAAGCAAAAGCAAAGCCCGCTGAGAATGCCAGAGATATCAAAAGGCCATTTGGCAACCGACCAACAAGACCAACAAAACATATTCAATGGGATTCCTCAACCTATATCGCGTCCTTTTCCGCACCGATTTTTTTCTGTTATTTTTCAATGTCTACTATATTTTATTTATATAGACAATTATTTATTACCCCATTCTATAAAACTACTATTTCTAAACCTTATTTACCTTGTTTTAATGCACTAATCAAGCTAGCCTGTGGTGAAAAATCAGCGGTAAAAAACGGTGCTGCTGTCAGTTTTGAGGTAGCATAGGCAATGACGTCAGCATCACTGCGACTTGGTTCGTGCTCGTCGACAATTGATTCCAACATTTCCGCATCGAGCATTTCGCTGTCCTTTTCACCATCGCGGATAATTTTCACCTCGTACGGATCATACTGTGCGCGTTTTTGCGCTTTTTCTTCAACGTAATCAATGACTTTCATTTGAGTTAAATTGTCGTTCCATGGTTCATCGTAGTCCTTCATCAACACATAGATGCGACCCTCTGCGCCAAACAACAATGCCGTTGTAAAAGTTATATAATCAGCGATTTGGAAAAACAATTCGGGTGAGTAACGCCAAAAAATTGAATATTCATTTCGTAGACCGTAAATGTCATAAATTATATCCTGAAAGTCTTTGAACGGCATAAGCAGATTCATCTCGTCCAAGTTGATCGAATGGACAGCAATCAATTCCGAACACAATTTACTCACTAATATCACATGCACTAACATTTTAAAATTTTTTATATCGAAATTTAACGGTTACAAATAAAAAAAATTATCACATATAGATTTTGATATTTTAATAACATTTGGTGACAGGCGTTATAAAATAAAAGCAATAAAAGCTTCATAATATTCCATAGGTGAAAGGTAGTAAAGTCATGAATGAAAATATATCCCCAATATTGAACAAATAATCTCGTCGACGTTATAGAAAGATTGAATTGTAGAATTCACAAGAGAGCCGCTGAGCAAACCGTATAGCAAATCGAATTGTAATCTTTGGATTCTCAAAAGATGCGCGTAAGAAGAAATTTCAGGCGCCCACGTCACACTTTATCTTTTATTAGATTCCTCGCCATATTTATCCTCCTACAATAAATTTATTGATCACAACCGGCGCTGGGTGGTTTTGATGAAATAATGCTTTTCACTTAGTAATGACTGAAAAATTAAATCAAAATTCCATATTTTACCTTTACCACAAGACATATAGAAGAAATGTTAAAATCAACGAAAACTATTGAATATAATTAAATTCTGCGGCGTGTTCATTGATTAAAAACTAAAAATAAAAAAACTTCGAAACAAGGTGTAAAAAACGAAAGCAAATATAAACATTGAAAACCAATATTTTAAATCCTCCGAAACACTACTATCAGAGTTGATTTGCACTGGTCTTTCTATCTCTAATACGGTAATTTATATTACAGTTCCATCAGCCAAGTTTATGATTGCAGTTTATATTCTCGATAGCAACCTGTAAATCAATCCAACAGGACGTGGACACCCATTACGTGCTACCGACACCATGTCTATCTGGTTCTACACCGCTTCAACGTGTGTCCATGTGCAATTTTCTTTTGATTTTGTTCGTTCTTGCCCTGATCTGATCCAACCAACACCAAAACCCGCTGAAGTTGACAGAAACACCGTCCACCGACGTCCGAATCCGAACTTCTCCACGCCAATTTTCCGATTTATTCCTTTTTTCTCCTTTTTGCACAACTGCACGCGATTGTGCTCCGGTTGGCAATCAAATAAATATATTTTGACAGATGACAGGTGTCTCCCGAATGCCCCGAACTTCTCTACAACAGCGATCGACCGCAAAAGCCAATCCACCGTCGCAAATATTCCCAATAATTTCTATCGCTCTGCGCACCGGAATTTTACGTGTCCCCAGCAGCATATACCTCGTGGGAAATCGATAGCGCATTAATCTCACTCGCGCGCACAAACAAACAAAAACGTGCCGGAGTAAACAAAAACGAGGCGAATAAATAAATTCTCAAGACCACGCCGTGCAAATGCTTTACCTAAATGTGAGGTAAAACGAAAGAAAAAACAACCAGGAGTAAAACACAGCTAAACGCAAAGTTTTTACAATGAAAAACACTAAATTAATTGCATGTTCTTTAACAACTATTTAAATTGTCGTGCGTTTGTCTTGTTGATTTGTTGCTGCAATTTGCACTTTTGTTGGCGCAAAAGTCAAACTTCAACTCTTCAATTCTCACCTGAGTAATTTTACGATCACAATATTGCAACTTGTGATGACGCAAAATTTACTAACACGTAAACTTTCTATAGTTTGCTGCCTTGGAGACTCACGAATTGTTCGAGAAGTTTAAACTTTGCATCGTTTAATGAATTCATCGTCGTCGTCGTTTCGACTTCACGCCGTTTATGCGCGATGAGAAAACACATTCGCAACGCTCACCGCTCACTCCCGGCTTCCTGGCGCACGCTGCTTGCATTCTGGTGTTAATTAATTTAGTTGGACGAATGCTCAAAGAAATTATCGCTGCCATTGTTGTCTTTCCTACCCTCCACCAACATTTACGTACTCTCCACATTTGTGTACCCCAATAATTTTATTTTATTTTATTTTGCTTGCAACTTTTTGTTACGCGTGTACCTTTCGCATTCGAAAACTTTTTAACGCCCACTTAAACACTTGTTTATTCTACGTGCATCACTGCTCTCCGCAGTAGTTTTTAGTCTTAATTTGTCTGATCCTTTCCTTGGGAGTCGTTGCTTTTTCACATTGTGTTTTTGTTTACGCATTTGTGTTGCATTCTTACAATTACGAGAGCTTGTTAGCTTTCAAAAATTCTTTAAACATTTCTGACGATTATTCATGTCTTGTCTTTGTTTGCCATTGTGCGTCACAACAAAAGAGAAAAAAAGGACAATATTTAAGAAGAGCGTCATTCGTCAAGCCGCGTACGAAAATAATACGATACGATAAAGATAAGGAGACAGCGAAACAAAACATCAACCAACACTCACTATGGAGCTTTCATCGCCTCGTTTAATACATTCATTTAAAATCCCAGCGTCCACGCGGGAGCTTTGTCCGCCACCGGTTTTAAGTTTGGAGTGTTGTTAAATGTTGTTTTATGAGAGTTTGAACTTTGCTTTGCGTTATGAATACCTAAACTTATATTAAATATGCCGAAAATTCGAATATAATTAAATATTTCCATGCATTCCTGCCGGCAAGTGACAATCAAATAATAATCTAGGCATCTAAAGACATTTTAGTAGAAGGAAAACTTTCTACACATACATTCCTCGAAGAAATTTTAACTTGTGCAAACTCAATCACGCGCAAATCGCAGCGATTACCCAAAGTTTCTATAACTCGAATCAATCGCAAGCGCCAGCACTTCACAACTACTTCAAACATCTCAAAGTGCCGCACACGTTGTGTTCGCATAACCGCCCGCTGCGCCACCTACGCATTATTCAATAAATCACTCTTGAAACGAGGCGTAAGAACATGGCAAAACTGTATCTCATCAAATGCAAAACTTTAAATTCAAATAATTACGTTTTACTACTCAAATGACATCCTTGACAATATTCTTGTAACATTAGAACTTTATAAACAACACAAGAGCTTGTAAAAAAGATCTCAAACATTTCTTCTGTTTCTTCGGCTTTGTTGTAGTTTCCTAACTTTCAAACACGCACACACATGCGTTGTTGTATTGCACTCATCGCTCATTTATAAATGTGATCCAGATTAATCTAATTCAAAGTTGCGTAATCGCGTCGACGCCATAGCGAATCTCGCAGTGGCGCCAAGAACCGAGCAAGACAACACACTGAAGACTTGTTCCCAAGCGAGGAAAACTTGGGCTGGTGGTGTGGGTCAGAGTCGTAATACAGCAGGCGCAACACAAGATGAACGCAACCGGCGCCAGCCGCCACCACTACCACCACACAATAAAATGAATAAACAACGTTTTACGGTCGCCGTTGACGCAACGAATCGCAGAACCGATAAGCATGGAATCCTCGTACGCCTCTCGCCAATATTTATATCCTCGTGACACAGTTGCAGAGAAATAAACAAAGCCTGTACTCTACCACCACCATCCGCCACCCCCGGCGTTGCGCATTGCAGTCACACAATAAACGATTTAACGACAATTAATGCAGTCGCTAAACTTTATCTCTCACTATGTGTAAAAAGCAATATTATTCGTCTGCTTTCAATTTTTATGTCAGCAATAAAAGGTATATAATAAGGACGTGAGATTTCTCAAGCGGTATCCTGCACACTTGAAGATGTATATATTCATATTTTATTTCACTATACGAATGAAATTGCTTAAAATTGTATAATTGTATAAATTTATGGAATGATGATATATCTCAAAGATGATGCAACAAACGTAAAACATATAATATACTAAAGCTAAGTAATAGTAGAAAAGAGCGCCGAAAACTGAAAAATGTGCAGTACGGTTTGACGATGGTGATGCTCAAGTTATGTCAGAGACGAGACGCGAATGGGACATATGAGTCCATAAATGTTTCGGACACATTCGGGCTGCGCCATTGTGGAATGGATGGTCGTCGGCGCGCAAGTTGAGTACATAATGCGATGTCGGGTCAACCACATAAAAGATGTTTACGACGCACGCCCTCATAATCTTCTTTAATAACGCAATGTCTTCAATGCTCTGGAAGTATTAATTTTACTATTTCATCATCATTCAACGCACATCGTAGGCAATTTACATTACCTTAGTTATCCCTAACGTAGTCTAATATAGCCTGATTTCAAAATTATATGGCTTTTAAATAAACAAAGAATACATTACGTCCACCAAAAAAAACGCGAAAAATGGCGTAAATTTACAAGTGGTACTCGGACAAACCCCTCGACTATTGAAGAATACATCAGGATGTGAGTGCGGTGAGTGCTCTCTGCCTTAGCGATGCGCAAGATCTAGGTAGATAGGTAGGTAAGTATATACATACATAGAACGGAAAACAAAAAGACTGAGTGAATCGAGTGTTGAAAGAGAGTAGTCGAGTCACTCTCGCGTCGCTCCCGAGGACGCATCTTTTTAGTGCTTTCTCGTTGGCGTCGCGCTAGAAGCCCACTCGAGAGCGTCGAGAGCACCTTTCACCTACACGCTTGTAATTACGCGGTGTTAAGTGATACCCTTTTCATTCGACGAAGCATCAGCCCACTTGTAGTGCGCGTCCATTAGGTCAGTCAGGCACGCCAGTTCGACAGTACTAACAAACGTCTATTGGCGTCCTGTTATCAAGAATTAATTTTAAAACTTACATGATTCAAAGCAAAGTTAGCATAAAATTCCAAAGTAATATTTACAAAACGTATAATTAAACGTTGTAGTTTCGTTCACTTTCGATTAATTTACGTAAATAACGTCTGATACTCTTCAAATTTTAAATGCTTCTCCTTACATCTTACATCCCCTCCAAACAGAAATATTTTATAACAAGCACGTAAATTATAATTCGCTTCCTTTCATCCGTTCATTACGTGCATTACATTTAGCGTAATGTGAAATTCACGTCTTACAAATGCATTACTTTTTGCTCACTTTGATATTTCATATGCCTTTGATTACTCTCGGCATTATAGAAAACCTGCACCAAAAGGATTTGCAACGCAGGATACTTACTTTGTATATTCAGTAATAAATTGTTTACTAAAGATCTACAACCAGCTGAGATTCTGTTTGCGCAAAGAATATAATGGCAGTAGGTACGCGCACAATTTCTGCTGATTATTCTAATTTTAGGCTTGATCATCTGACATAATACGGTTGGATTTACACGAGTAGGCAACAAATATTACACTGAACCTTTTATAAATATATAGGTATAAATATATATAAACAAACGATAGTATGCGCTGTTTATGATAACCCTCAAATTGGATTCAGAGAGATGCCACCCACGTCTATTATCATCGTCGTTATATTTCAACGTGTTCGACGCAATTAATGCGCACGAAACATATTTGAGTAACAAATTTGCCTTCGGTTGCGCTTATTGCAGGCTTTCAATGGATCTCTACAACCAACGCTAACGAAATGCTAACAGGGGTTTTCCATAGCCCAAAGAAAACAGAATAAACATTCATAATGATTCTGTACTCACCCTTAAGCCAGTCTCTTGATCGCTCCAGTATATATCCTAAAAAAGAAGTAAGAAAAACATACGTTAGTTATTAAAATATATTCACATAAATAAAAAAAATAAGCATAGCGCAAATTTGGAAAAGGGAATCTTTAGAGACTTGGCGATTGTTGTGGCGCTCAAAAACCGTGCAAGCTCGGTGCACGTCGTCGAGCATGGCCCGCGGGCGAAATTTTATTTCCCCGCCGGATCGAGCAAAAGGTTTCCCTTTGCGAGCGTTTATTCTTCGTTTATACGTCGCGAGCCCGCGTGCACGCTTTGCGGCAAACCTGAGGCAACTAAAAACTGACTTTCATGCACTTGCTCTCCGTTTGTGCCATGTGGGATTTTCTTCAATGCACGCCAACATCGCCAACGCTCTTTTAACAAATGCCTACCAAGAAAAGATACAAAACAAGTGTGATTTATAAATCAAAGTTGGTGAACGTACATACACAAGCAGAATGTAAACTGAGCTTTTTTCTTTGTAATTATCAAAGAGTTTTTGTTTTGCGTTCCAATATGCATACAATATGCAGACATAAAACCAACTCAGTTAACTCAGTAAAAAATCATTTCGGTTCATTTCAAGCAACCATGAATTGGTAAAATACAAATTACATAATTATGTCAATTGCGGCGGTAAATGTTTGTGTTAGCAATTTTCTTGGACGTTAATTTTTGCCTCATCTTCATCGTCATACGTTTTCTTCGCAATTTGCTCCGCACAGTCGTCAATGTTAAGCAACTTTCCTAGAGCTATGCGAGATCCAATTAGAGCAAGTAATGAATGTGTACACTGTGCAGAACTTTCTTTTGTACTGGACCGCCTCATTCAGGGTTAATTTCTGTAGTTTTTTGTGACTTGTTAGTTATATTTTTATCCCTTGCCTTTTGAAGCAATTTCTTTAGCATTTCACCAGTTTCAACCTGAATGGCTCTGAGAGTATTATTTTTTGCAGTCATAACGTCGTCCACTTACGGTCGTTAATCCTTTTCGGCTGCAGCGAGCGGTGGTGAGCCCCATGGCAGTCACGTAATTCGCGTTCCTTCCGCCAAATTTAACATTTACAAAAGGCCGCCGCCACTGCTGCCGCCCAGCAATTGGTTTCGAGCTCACGAGAAACGCACACACCACAGCAGCAAGAGAAAGGTTCATAGCAATAGCGCATCTCGCCACACTCTCAACCATTAAACCCTACTTCGAGCAGCAAATCCTGCGTGCGTTCAAGATCGCATTCCAAGCACAGAATCACCGACTGCAACACACTCCAGTCCACACGCCACGGTGGGTCGGCGGTGTAAGCAGTCCTCGTTTGGTTTTAGGGTTTTTGCTATTGAGAGGATATTTGCTATTGAAAGGAGTTGGCTGGCTCAGATAGTGTGGTCGGCCCTCAACGCCACACCGCACATACTCACGTCAGCGCAGGGTATTAGTATTTAGTGGTCGCACGAACGAATACAAATTGGCTCGATAAAATCCGCTGCATTTTAAACTCGCGCCCACACCTCGAGAATTGAAATGAAAAGGGGGCAATAAAACGTAATCTGGGTGGGACGTGCGGTAGCTCATTCAATATGCCTGAAGTATTCAACAAATGCTTCGCAAATGTGCAACGTTAAACTTATTTCCCCAGATGATTCACCAGAAAGGTTGGTCGTACGCTTACTGCATTTTAATGCACTTTATGAGATCACAACCACTTCCTCAGGATATGTGTAAATCGTTTGTTTATTCGAAACATATGTAATAGAACATCATTCAAACGTATTTTAGAGCGTATATTATAATAGACCCTTTGTGTCTTCTCTTCTCTTGAAATGGTTGCGGTGGAAACCCTGACCGCATTAGAAATTGATAGTTTCGGTTTGAGTAACATTTAACCCTCCCATGTCTTGACTTGCGCATGCCTCGGGCACCTTCTAACGTTCTCATAAATATATAATTTATCGTTGCAAAATGAACACGCTTTAGTAATATGGGCCGTAGTACGCTGCCCAAACAGGCAATCGCTTGTTTTGCGTAGGCCCCAATTTGCAGAATTGGTAACCCTTAGCACTTCTCCGATACTGTTCCGGAACCAATTCGCGGCCTTTGTGCGCACCGTTATTTTCAAGAAAGGATAACCACCCTTGCAATGACCATTATGTCAAACCCTGCATTTCCTTCCTCATTCTTTTAATATTGAAGCTTATACTGACCAGTTTATGATAAACCCAATAAAATAACCTTTAAATAAAACACGCGTATAATTGTTTATCCCTTTTCGTGCTGATGTGTCTGCGTGTGTGTGATGCGGAAATGAAGATCGGCGCTGATAAAGCGACGGCCGATGTACTTTTATCGTTGGTACGCGCAATCGAATTTGGATATAGTTAAGGGCGACTAGGGGAAATTAGAAAGAGAGGCACCGACTAGCTAATCCTTATATCCACATGAAGAAGAATAGAAAGCTGCTCACAGGAGGTGGCATCCCGGATCAACAAAGATTTATATACGCGGGCTGAGTGCGACGGCGGCGTGCGCTTTTAGTTCGGAAATTCGTTTGGGATTCATTCCAAACCCAGCAAATAGCCGAATTAGAATCGGCACTGAAATGGAGATTAGGCAACGAATAACGTAAAACGTGCGAGTGAAGTCGAATGGGGGTCGACTTATGGACTAAGAACAGTCCTGGCCCAATCTAAATGTATGTGCGTCATTTAGATACATCTAGAACCAGAGGCTCAATTCCGCTGACAAATCTAGCTCTAAACCTAATTATCGTAATTGTCTTCCTTGTGACACTGCTATCTTAAATTAGAAACACATGTAAATATATTTTTAATCCCTCTAATCAAAAGTGTAGCAAATAAGAGAAATGGTAAAACGTGCATGGAAAATAATTTGACCTATTTTATGACAAATGTTGAGAGCAAACACACATTAGAGAACAGGAATTCAGCCATAAATAGAAATTTCATTATGTGACAGATGACGAAGGCATCGCGTCAAAAGGAGGTCCCTTTTCAAATAATCACAAACACGCAAAGCGTGCAAATTATGTGTGCTCTCGTTTTGTGTCCTAGCAACCAACCGCTGCCTCTGCATATGTCGTCGCGAACATCAACCATACACAAGTACTAGTTGTCTCAAAAAAATCAAAAATAAAAATACATCAATTTAATTTTTTAATTAAATAAATTGAATTCTAAGTCTCCGCAAACACATTATAAGTTCCAAAGTCTAGAGTTTCGACAATAAAATGCCACTTCCATAAGTAGCGCTCACGCCCGATCCTTGCCATTCATTGTGAGCGCAATGTGAGCGATTCGTGTGAGCGCTGCTGAGGTGCGTAAAGTGGCTCGCTATATTATTTATGTTTAATTAAATTTAAAGTGCTTAGTAATTAATTTTCCTAATCTACGATTCCTTTATTCGCCATTTATAGGTCGTACCGTACATTCACTGTTTAATGCAAAATTTGCGAACGTTGGAAGTCTTCTGGAATCAAATTCAAGTCGAGCAAAACTTGAAATTAATTAGACTTCAAATTATTGTGGGTTTGGAGTCAAATGGTATAAAAATTACAATTATATATAAAGAAATGCAATGAGAAATTACTATGAAAAATGCAAAGTTAAAATTTTACGCGCAAATGCTTAAAATGCTAGTTTTTACATTGCTATTAGTAGGTTACGGATGTGAATCAAAGATTTGTTTCCAATTTTCCATTTTACACATTTTTCTAAATGTAATTCATTATTATAGTTGTAGCCTATATATAAAAAATGAAGTGTTTAAAAAAAGTATATATAGACTACGAATACAAAGTACTGAAGAGCATAACGATCTGTCGGTCCGGAATAGGAAAATGTAGTGTTCCGCACATGTACAAAACGCCGAAGGAACACTTTCTATACGAAATATACGAATACGGCAAGCGTACTTATGTAGAGTTTTCCCGGCCCAACCCTACCAGACTTTCTGGAGTTGCGCTGCAGTCATCACATATTTTTACACGTACACAGGGTGACACAATATTTAAGGTATAAATGTCCCACACACAGATTACAACACAGTATGGAACATATCTCCAAATATAGGCAGTTAAAAATACATTAAACCTTGCTTGTCTATTAACAGCCATATCAATAAATTCAGTTGAAATAAATAAAGTCACGTAAATCACTCGCAAAATTTGCGACCCCATGTGTCGACTCGCCACCAATACATACTACGCACGGGGGCGAAACGACTGCGAGCATAAAATTTATCTAAACGACTTCGTATTTAGGAGTAATTTATATTTCCATTGAACGATATCAGGCCATGCGTTGAAAACCCCGAGCATAGCGAGTACGAATAAACGCTGTCATCCACTGCGTGAGCGAATGCATTCAACAAGGTATAACTTATTTCAATATTCTCGCCAAATCGTACAAAATTGTTTGCGGATAAGAATTTTATTTATAACCCTAGAGGCATTCATCAACGCAAATTCTCCATTCTAGAAAATTTATATTTGTCATTTGCACTCTCTGAAATATTTGAAATATTGATATCAATCTATTTAAAATTAATTTTAGGTACAAATAAATAATTTCCAAGCAGACATGCAAATCATTTGCAAAGGCAATTAAACACAGGGCGCATTGAATATATTTCAAGCAACTTGCAACACATTGAATTAATTGTGTTAGAATAGTCCGCCCATCGGTTGCATCTATGAATTTATTTCCATGGCAACATTATGCCAACTTATAGCATCAACTAAACACAATCTTTTTTGCATGCTGTATTAGAAGTAATAGTATTCTATTCGTGTATAACTAATAAATTGTGAAGCTTGTTCTTTTTATGCCAACCCAAATACATTTTTCATAGATATTCATTATACTTTGCTTTTATTCGCAGCTCTCATTTTGCGCGACTTCCTATGTAAATGTATATTGCTTTGTTTCCATTATTTACCATCACGGCGGAATGCACTTTTCTCATTTTTTGCTTGTTGTGCATGTGGGCGCTTTCATTGCACAACTTATAATTAATGCACGTTTCATCTTTATGCATTTTTCGTGATTACTTCCTAAATATGATGTTTTCAACGGTGCCAGCTTGTGAACAATGACTAAGTTTCACAATTAAAAATGTCGCATATGTGCAATATTGATGACCACCAGAATTCTCCGGAAATATTTATATAAGTGTATAAATGTATATTTGTATGTAACAATTTACTATATTTTCTATAATATAATAATGAATCGCAAAATCTGTTGGTAAGCGCATAACTCAACAACGACTAAACCAATTTGGCCAATTCTTTTTTTTTTAAGTTTGTTAAAGTCCAAGGATGGTTTTTACGGCGAGAAAATTTCAAATAATTGCGGGGAAAACCCTAAAGACAATCCTTTTCATTCAAGATTCAAGATTCAATCACAGTTACAGTTATATACTCGTAGTTGCATCCAAGATGGCCCCCTGAAGCGCAGTATTTGTAATACAGTATTTATATAATTAATTTCTTTCAAATAAAATTGCAAATTTTATTGATAAACTTGACACATACTACCTACTATGTCTAGAACAAGAGAGTAAAAACGAATTACATTTTTATTAAACACTACCGGGACGAAGTCGCAGGCAAAAGTTAGTGTATGTATATTGGTATCTCTGATTGATGTAAGAGATGAAATGAGTCCATCTAAATTGCCGAATTGAAAATGCAGAATAAATTTTCTGATCAACAGACCTCTCCGCACAAGCGAGCAAGTTTGCTGGAAATGTAAAAAAGATCAGAAGATAGCACGATTTGCACGTGTCTGACTGATTTCACTAGAGACAAAACTTGCAAAAAATAGAAAGTCTTCCTCGCAATCACCATAAAATGTTATGATCGGAAAGTAGTAAAGAAATCTCTCTCCGTGAAAAAGAAAATTATTATCTCCATCTCTCCTTGGAGGCGCGAAAACCGGAAACGTTTGTGACGATGTCTCATGTTCGCGGAAATAGTATTTTCCAAGTTCTTTGTTCCGGCTTCTAGTTTGCACTTTTCGTCACTCTACGTGTCTAGTTTACACATTGACGACTCGCAAAACTTGCGTAAGTCTTCTTTAGCAAAACTTTAAGCCCTTCGTCTTGGCGCTGGCATATATAGGCTTTCGAGTGACGTGCGAAATTGGAACCTTTAAGCTGTCGATATTTTTATACCTTTACAGTGTCCACAATATCCATCTGCTGGCGCAACAGAAACACGTTCGAGATGTTGAACTGTCCTACATCTACTTGTCCTACATCATGTTCGCAAGTTTCAGGCAGTCGCATCTCAATGTCACTCAAGTGACCGATTGACTAGGAGCTTTACAGACTCAAAAGTAAAAAAAAAACACGCAAACAAAAGCAAATAAAAGTACAAAGATGTCTTCTTTTCTTGTGAGCGAAATTGTTAAAAGAATACACATTCCACTACGACATTGCCCGAAGTAGAACGAGTAAACGACTAAAACAGCGACATAAAGTCTCGTCGACCATCAATCATTAGATCTTCCCAACTGTCGCTTGAATTGTGTCGTTCTTTGCGTGACAATGAGCACGAATCTGGTGTAATCTAACCTAAGAAAATTCAACGTCACTTGTCCTAGATTCCCTTAATAGAAATGGAAATTGCCAATAAAAGTTTATATCCGTTAAAATAAATCGTTTTTTGTCGAGAGAATGCTATGAAATTCTATTAGGAATGAAGCAGGTCTTGAATTGTACAACAATAAGAATTCCAATAATTCTCTGCTTTTTGCTGGGAAAGTTTCTCGCGGGAAAAAAGCGCAAGGTCAAACAGCGCATAAAAAAATTGAGGTTATGTTCATTGGCGCCGCCGCTATGGAATTCTCTGGAGAGGCTTCATCTCAACGTTTGAGTCTGCCGCAGACTCTGGACCAGGCCGAGACAAGGTTAGATTTTTCACAAGTCAGCAACGAAAGTCGCTCGTTTTTCATTCTTTTTACTCGCCCATGCAGGGCACAGCAAACGCTGGGAGGTCCGTACGCGGTGCATAACAAATGATTGGTCAAACTGTCCGAGCGCGAAAGTACAGTTTCGTATACTTACTAACTATTTATCACTCGTTGTACACTGCGCTTACTTATTGCTTGCCATTTTCTTGGAAAGTGCCTCCATGAATCCGATAAATGTGCGCTTTTTGTAACAGATTTATGTCGAGGTGTAGGTAATATATTCAATTGAAAATTAGTATCACCATATGGTATGTTCACCTGTCTAACTAAAAACAACAAACTAAAGAGAAATACAAAATCAATTAAACAAAAACGAACTTTCTTTATTTTGATAATTTCCAGTAAAATAATACAAATTATAATATTTCATCGATAGTTGACAGTGACACGTGAAACGTTGAATTAATTAAAAGTTTGATTAAACTACCCTACTTTAGATTGAATAAGCCAGAACAGTGGCGATAAAACACATCAGAAATTTATAAAGAAAACTCCCGCTTTTGTATAATTCGGTAATTTCCGAATATCATTTTTAAGCACCTATCAAAAAGCTTTAATGATTGATGAATGCTGGTACTAACTTCGGCTGGCGTACGCTGCCTGTGCCTTTAATAATTAATCACGCATTTCTCAGCATTGAAATAATAGTAAATGAAATTCGAAATTGTTGGCGGTGACTGAGTTGTCACTGCCTAGCTATTATACATTTATAAACTATGTGATACAACAGTCAAAGTTACCAAATTAATGTACATCGAATCGAAACAAACACAACAAACAAACAGAAAGATAAAAAACGAGTCATGAATTAATTTTCAGTTGGCACATGTGCAAGACATGATGACAATTTGACACAGTGTTGAGGTATATTTAATTTAATTTGTAACAAACAACAATATAACTCATATTATATTTATTAAATTTGCATGTTTCGGTGTTGTTTCAGCGTAATACTTGTATTTTGTCTGTGCCCATCTGTCGTTTCCGATTTTGTGGTTTGTGTAAATATTTCTTCATGCCGTTGTTATTTCAGTAAAAGTTTCAACAAATTTTCATGTGTACGCTTAATCGGCATCCCATCCATTTTCAGTTAAGCCTACGTACCCTAACAGGTGCACATTAAACGAGCAAAATGGTGTAAACGAATTTTGTTGGACAACATTTAAAAGAAAACATTTTAACCTCAAAAACATACCAACATTTTTACCAACCACAAAATACCACTTCAATGACATCAATGACTTTTAATTATACACATAAATGATGTCATCAAAATATTATATTAAATTCTTTCAGTCACAAATGGGAAGTTTCATGAGCGCACGCGTTTTGAATGTGAATTTTAAAAATTACAACTTTACTGAACAATACTCGTATATACTTGTTATTGAATTTGATCCAGGCATGAGCTTTAGAACGAGTACCAAAAAGCGTTTTACAGTAATCACTAATGCGATATTATTCATCACGATTGCTGCATTGGCATAACATTAAATAATGTGAAATGTAAACCGATTTTTTATTACTTCTTAACAAAACTTGGTTTATAAATACACGTACATATTATGATACACATTAATGTTACATGATGTAAATAACCAAAATGTGTAATATCTGTGAAAAACAACTTATGATAAAATATCGGTGTATACTTTATTGATTTGCCAACATTTTTCAAAGATTTTTACACATCGTACGTTCCTCTGCGTTTCGTTATTGCGCATTCAGCTAGAGACGCGAATTTACAACACCCTTGAGTAGACTCGTTTCATACGAATCCATTTGCCTGCCTCATCGCCTCCGAAAAATTTGCGTAACATATTCCACGCATTCATCATCGCTAAAAACATTAGCAAATAATACCTGTTCTAGCAACTGAAGTTTCTGAAGCAAAAAATCAAGGATATACAGAAAAAATATGATGTAGCTAAAAGATAATTAAATTATTTTAGCAATTTACGCCAGAATTTATGAGAATTGAAGAGCGAGATATGTAGATCGTGAGAAGCTTCAGACTAAGACAAGTAAGAATGATTTACTACTTCTAATTTCCATAAATGCCAGTCGAGTTTTTTTGTGGTGAGGCAAATTGTATATCAATACCACAATTTTAGATAAGTACTACATATTGAATTGAAACCGCTACTTGTTGATGCAATATTGCCATTCTGTTTATTTTGCGTGTGTGTTCACGTACACTCACAGTCGTGTGGTATTTGTGGTCTTCCGTCAACGCACGTTACGCTTTTCATTCGCATCGCACGCAATCTCACGCCCATTCTCGATGTGTAATTGATTGTCTCCTTATTGTTATTCAAAAACACAGTGCGGCCTTTAATCTTTCGATTGATTTAATAGCTATAGATGATTGTAGGTGTAATGTGTTTTTATGTGGAACCTAAAAATAACACCTACCTGTTTGCGCTTTGGCACCGTTGAGAATGAAAATATTCGCTGTACGTAGGACACGCGATGCATCAATCTCCAAAATGCAAAATTTAATATGCTTGGAAGAGATCCGGGCCGCGTGGCGTTCGATGCGGTAATTTTCGTCACGTGTCGAACGCGTCACACAGCTTCTCTCATTCAAGGAGAGCGAGCGCGATTCGAGGGCAGGGCAGGGCTGGCTGTTCGCGCTGCGATCCCAGATGCGACTGCCGGCAGCAGCGGCAGCGGCGGCGGCGGCCGTGGAGGTGGTGGTGGTGGTGGTGGCAGCAGTACAGATCCGATCGGATGGACGAACGCGCGCGGCTGCGGCGGCGCCTCTGCCTCTGGCTCATTTCGCTCTCCAGCTCATTCAGTCTTCATCCATAAGACTCACATGTGCTACGTATTCTCCTGCAAGCAAGACAAACCCACGACTTTATTTGTGAGCAAGTATTTCCCTACAAACTTGGGTTTTGCAGCCTCAGGCATCACACGAGATAAATTATAAAATAATATTCATAAGTACGCATTTATGTTAAAGCTGAAAATATTTTACAAACTCGTATGTTTATATTTATATTTCGGTGAAAAATATGTATGAGATGCGATGGGTTTTGCAAAACAAACCGGAAATCTTATCCCCACGCTTTACCGCCGACAACCACTAACACACATCCGAGTTCAACCTTTTCTAACACGACATTGTCGAAATTTACATTTTAATCACTCGTGCGATGCGCGCAACACGTCGTTACTATCGCGCTCAACTTGCATTCCCTATTTTATCTACTTGTATTAGTTTTTATGCGGAAAACATACCGTATTATAAAACTTTGCATGGATATGAATTATTACACAATCTTTAACCTGCAACAGCATAAACGTTTTAAGTTAGCGGTTATGTCAAATATTTATAACCAGTTTAAAAGAAATTGTATTTTAAAAAATTAATTAATTAATGGCACATTTAGGTTTTAGCGTATTATCAAATTTTCAGTAATATTTGCTCTCCTTTTGGGATTGAATCTTGGAAACGCTCGTTTAAAGTAAGTAATTCTCATTTTCAGTGTGGAATGATGGAAAATTTGCCGCGCTTAACCCTGCTCTAATGCTTTAAATTTTCAAATGTGCGCACTTTTGGCAAAATGGGCCATAGAGTCGTGTGGGTGCCCGGCGCCTCAACCACCACTGCTTCATTTCTTTACTGCGTCCGAAAAAACACACGCAACTATAACCATTACTTACGCTGGTTGAAAAAATCTGAAATTGCACTTCACGCTTTTTAATGTGAGCTTGAAGAAGTTTGCTCTTATTTCTTATTTATATTTTCACTCAAAGCATCGTTTAGAATAAAGAAAGTGTAATATTTTTCTTTTTTTTACTTACTCTTCCTTGAATGTGAAATGGAGCATGGTTATGTTAAAATTAATATTCTTATACGTTTACAACTTATTCGTATTTACTTCGTTACACGCATAATCAGTGATGAAATTTTATTAATAATTATTCCATCTAAGCTTTTCAATGTTTTGCTGTAAAAATTATTATTTTAGGTTCAAATTTGTTGCAAAGTTTTTTTTAAGGACATATTTAGTTTTACACAGGTGGTCAAATAGATATATTGTACACACGATAAAAAATAACGTGTTGTGATGGCAATTTAAATAAAAAATAGTAGATTCAAGGTACATTATACATGTCAATACATAACCTCATTTAAAAATCTTCTTAGATGATTGATCTGAAGGCAGTGAAGAAAAAAAAAACGAAATAAATTGGAAATGCTTGGTTGGTTGCGATGAGGTGAAAGGCAGGTACGTCATACGTGCGGCTCTGGGGTCCACTGTCGCAACGCATCGCGAATAAAAGATTTATTCGGCGTTCGGTCCATTCAACGTTATTTATTGCTGACGATGCGATTATGTGCTGCACATTACGTGCGTATAAAACGTGAATGAGAGCGGCGCGCAACGTTCTCGCTCAGTAGTTGCTTTCTCGAATTTTTCGGCCCAGAGTCGAGTTGAGTCGAATGCCGAATTTGTTCGCCTACTCGCACACTTTTTGGTTACATTTGCGGACTCGGATTCGTACGTGTAGTTTATTGCTTACTTTTTTCCACACCCAGTCACCCTCACATGCAGGCGACACGTCTATAAAAAGAGACATTCTTCATCTTTTCGCTACATGTTTCACTAACGCTGCCAGTGTAGCGAAGAAAAAAAATCCACTGGAATGTTCAGATGTTCAGACTGTGGAGTAAAAAGAGAGATGAAGAAATAAAATGGAACATAAGTAAAAATAAGCAATAAGCAGCTTTAAAGCGTAGAAAAGCTCACCAGACGAAGACGAAACAAGACGTGCGGAAAAAAATATATAAAAAGGTTATAAGAATGTGTTGTGAAAATCTGATTTTTTGTTTGTTTTATGATTCGACGTGCGTGGTTTCATACGCAGAAAAAGATTAGATGAGGGGGACAAGGAGATGAAGAGATTGGAAAGATTGTAACGCAAAACTTGGAAGTCATTAGGATTTATTGACTTGACGTCTTGTTTAAAAAAGTGCCATTAATCATTATGTTTGAAATAATTAATAGATTTACCTAACGAGCGTCAACATAAACATGGATGTTGAGGAGGAACCAATGTGAACTCAAGCTAATGTGAGAAAAGTCCTGAAACGTCGGGCGTAAGCCGAATTGGCAAATCAAAACCGCCACGAGGATTTTGATTGATTCGCATCAAAGCTCGCCGTAGATTCTCAACCAACGTACATGTAACGTCTTACGGTTGTAAGTAGACGTAGTTGTTCCGGAAGCGACAAGACTTCAATCAGATCCTGTATCACGCATGACTTGTTTCCGACCTGATTATCGGTTCTGCCGATTGCTGCAAACACTCACCACAAAACAAACAAACAACTCTTAGTACTTTTTCACCAAGCTATCATATATATATATTACTATTTTTGATATTTATGGTAAAGTTTATTTATGCGTCGTTAAACCCGAGCCTACGCAAGGATGACGTATATTGGAAATGTTACGAGTATACTGCTTATAGTCAATGATGGCACAGGCAAAGGGTAAAGCCGTCTTGGGAGTACTGAAAGGCTTGCGCCCGGAGTGTAACCAAGATTTAATCATCTTGCGCTGCGCGTCTTCTCGCTTTCCAGAAAACGTCGCCGCGTGCGCAAATCTATAATCGATAGCCGATAGCATGAAGGATGATGGAATTCATTGTGGAGATGATAGCACTGCTAAGAAATAGTTTTTGTTTCTATACTCATCCTGCAAGACTAAAACTTTTTGTACACTTTTTTGCTGAAATCGATGTATTAATTATTGTTATCCTTTGTTATATCGGCTGACTCGGCAAAATTTGTATCATCGCATTAATAAATTTAGCTATGTTTTCACGATAAAAAAAAGATACCTATACAAAATAAAATATTTTTTATGTCATTGCAATTCAAGAATTTAACTTCACATGTAAGTTACTCAAGTTGCACTAAATTTTGATTCAAATATCGAACAATGCCCTGAATAATATTTATGGTTATATATAGTACTTGTTGAAAAAAAGTAATTGATACTTAATTATAAATGATCCTGCTATGACATTCCCTTCTGTATGAAGGCGACAATTTTGTGTTTCTAAAGTAAAATAATTCAATGAAAAATATGAATATAGTCAGGAATGCAAGAGTCAAATGTCCGATTTGGCGTGGAAAGCCTCATATGTTTAAATATAGGCTTGTACAATTTTGACTAGATTTATATTGAATCAATTATGAATGTAAATGATAAGCAACCAACAATGAATATTACTTTCGCATCGATTGTGTATGAAAGGGCGAAATTGAGGACAACACCGGCTAATGCGCACAGTTCAACCGTAATAATGCGTCCTCTATGCAATACCCAGTTGTCAGTGGTGTCGTCCTGCATAAAATATCATTCAATCACGCTGGCTCGCCGCGTCCGACGCGCTCGAGCAAAACTCATCCCCATTCAACCATCTCATCATGCTGTGTAATAGTGCGACCGCACGTATCATGTAACGTCACGTCAACCCTTGATTCGTGCAATTACAATGTTACCAGCGATCAGTTTATTATGTGCACAATATCATCATTGCCCTGTGGATCATATATGTATTGTCATTTCAGACTAGACATTGTGATGTAATCCAATTGGATTTGTCCCAAAAGTTCAAATCAAATTAACTCAGTTTTATTGCGCAATTAAAGTACTTGAAATAAACTCATTGCGAATTTTGTTCTTTTTAAACACTTTGTACATGTATACGGTGATTATACGGGGTACAGATTTGTGTTAGGAAGGATTACAGCGATTATAATTAATTTACATGACTAACCATGAAAGTTATTGCGTTGTTGGTCTGCATGTCGGCCATGTTGTCGGCTGATCGGGCTGCAATCCGCTTTAATCAGCATGTTGCAGTAAACTAGCTATTGCTCAGCGTGCGACAAGCAATGAAATTATCGGGAATGAAGTTTATTAGTGGTTTATTAACAAGTTATTAAATAACGATGTACATATTTGTGTATGTGTATGATGGGTCCAATTATTTATTCGTGTGGAAAATTAAAGCTGTGTGCACCAGACAGTAAGGTGCGGTTTACATCGCCGCACATTTGCGTTGAACATCCATTTGTAATTTGAAATTCAGAATTCAACGTCTGTTTGACGCACCGCGCTCTACTTGTCTTTAATTTTCTATTCGTCGCTATTTGTCGCTTCTCTTTGCTACGCTTGAATCGAATTGGATTCGGCACGCATTACGCATGCATCTAGTTAACAACCAAACAGATTTGTGGACTGTTCAATTGTCGAATGCGTAGGTATATTTTAAGCCTTACTTCAGTGAAAACCACAACATATTCTGTGCATTTGTAAACACATAAGAGAAAATTTTTATTTTTATATGTGTAAAGTCTTGGCACAAAACAATTTTTGGAATTCCAATTAAATAAAATTACTGCAGAGTGACATGACATGGTAATAATTAACTGTACACAAATTTAATGTAATCTTAGATAAAGAATTAATTAAAGTCTATTGTAAATTATTTATCAAACCCAGCAGAAGGGGCAATATATAGAATATATAGATTAACAGCAATAACTGTTTTCCTATATTACTAAAAATATGTAGAAATATTTACACTTTTGATTTAATATTATTTTAAACACCTTTTCTATGTGCCGCTTAAAGTAAAGCTGTAAAAGTAAAACACGTTTAATTAAAAAATAAATATATTTTTTTTTCTTAAAATTTTTATTATTTACCAAATCACTGGGCGATTGTGCCTTTCATTGGTGCCCAGCTCCATCCAAACGATTTTCGCCGATTCGACTTTATTTTCGTTATTTTCTTTGATTTTATTCTATTCATTTCCTTGAAGTCGCTGCGTACCCCCATATCTGGCGGCTTTTATGACGTATTCACTATTTTACTCTCTGTGGGTCCTTTACCGTTCTAGCTTTAGCTGTATAGCATTATATCCACACTTTATTCCTAGTTATAGAAAATTTGACAATATTACAACACAACCGAAATTTTTTAGTTATTTTTCTAAGTGGTTATCCTCTATTCGATATAAAAGTAATAATAACAATAATATTTTCCTTGCCTTTACGGCTGTAATTACTTTCTGGTTCGCCGCTGCACGTCAATCGCCTGCCAAATTATAATATCGACCATTGTGTCCGCGCACGCTCCTCGCTCCCTGCATTTCCATTTAATGCCCAGTAATTCCGTTTCCTGTTCTGCCGCCGCCCATGAGGGTGGTTTTGTTGAGCAATTTCACGTCGTCTTCAATTGACATGTCCATGTCGTAAATAGAAATCGAATCGGCGTGGGTGCAGACAATGACAGGCCGGATAAAACAGGCTTCTGATGGATATAACCTAGCATGAAGGCAATTGAAATACGAAAATAAAAATAGAATAATGTAGGTGCGATTTACATGATGGAAATAGAGTAATTTCCTACAGTAGATCAAGTAAACTAAGTAAACTTATTGATTGTATTCATTAAATTCAGTGAAGATAGAAACACACGCGCGTGCATTATTAATAAACATGTGAAATATTAAATATAATTAGTTTTATTCTTAGTAAAAATACAATTTGTTGTTTACAAAATTACAGTAGCGTGTTTTTAAGTTTTAAATTGAAAATATATGCAATAGATAAAATGTTGGATCATTATAATTAAAAGAAACATAAATTGCACACAATATGAGCATTGTTTTTTACGTTTTAAGTTTTTGTTTCATTGCTCTTTAAATGGATGTTAAATAAATATTAATAGAATATCAATAAAATAATATCTACATTTTCAAAATAAAAAGAAACGGGAAAAGTTCTCCAAGAATAGTATTTAGTTATATTTAATTGTTGATTTCTTGAATAAATCGTCCTGTTTCTAACAGTTGTGAAAACATAATATCTAGTAGAATAATATACGATAAAAGTGCAGAATTTTTAAGTCTATTTAAATAAGAAAACAAATGTTAATAAGAATACGATTACGTAAATATCATTACATAAAAATGAGTTTTGTAAGTATCACAGTCATTCCTTAAGCATTTTCATTTATTTTATTATGCAAACTTTTAGTTGTTTTCTTTGTAGTTATATTTATTGTTTCTTGGTTCAATGTTTCACGCTCGGTTGATTATGACAAATGCTAAATATCTCGTAAAACTATTGTTAATTCAAATGCTAAATGTTTGCCTCTTCCATTCTGCACTTAAATTGGTTGTGGTATTAATAGTTTTAGTTTTCGTTGTCGCGTTGTTACATTTACCGATTTTGGTTAGCGACGAATGTGTAGATATACAAATGAGAATAGCATAATAAAGCCGAGTGAATACGAATGATGACTGGCAGCGGCATTCTCGGCAACAATATATTGCTCTTCGGTGACTTTTTTCACGCGCAGATTATTGTGTGTTCCACTTTTTTCTACGCTCATCTGATTACCAACAATTAGCTTCTTATTGCTATAGACTTTCGTTTGATTCTTGACAATCTCTTCAAATTCTTCATGCCCGTCTTCGTAGTTTACTTTGATGAAAGAAGTGATGGTTATTTCGAAGATCTTGTTTGGGTCAGCTGGAACTGAGGAGATGGCACGCTTTTTACGTCCGTAGCCTACTTGGCCATCACTGCATTCAATCTAAAATAAAATAAAAATAGATATAAATAATTAAATGAGAAATTTACTATAACTCATAATAGTCTTGTATGTGATAAAAACAGTGTTAAAATAAAATGTTGGTATATATGAGAAATGTAGCACAAAAGAACAACCGTAACAGCAAAAAAAAACAAGGTATTAAATATTGACATTAAATAAACAAACCCTAGTTATGTAAACGTTGCGTATTAATATCTAGAACATATATTCCCCTTTCTATTGTGCCGTTAAAATGATTTTCCCCTGACTTCCTAGGACAGACTTCCTCTCATTCAAACTCATATATGCCTCAAACACGTTCTATAATCTAATTAAGGTCCAGTCGTATACATAAAATCCGCTTCCTCTTGTGCAACCCTCGATAAGAGCCCAGCCTCGTATGGTTTTGTTTGTTAGATGAGAAAACATCGTCGGGATTTTTGACTGTTTGCGGCGATTGAGCGCTTTTATTTAGATTTCACTTTAGGAATCAAAATCCTGTCAAAACAACAAATCTAATAAAATCAATTCCTACTATCCGTATTTTTAAATCAGAATCAAAAACATAAATGATGATAAAAATAGTTTTTGAAACATCTTTTTGAGTATAAGAGTAAATATTCTTAGTTTTGTCGTTAACCTTTAAAAATCCGGGTCAATTTGTAAGACATTGAATACTATGCACAAGCAGAAGCACACTGGAAGTCATTACCGGAAGCAGCAGGATGACGACAATGACACGCGACGAAAGATCGTCTCTCTATGCAGAAAGCAGAATGCATGCAAACATTTATGAAGCTTCCGCATGCATGCTTGTGTAGTTGCCTCGCGAGGTTGCTGCTTTCTATTATGACTATATTGCGAAAATTCCGGAAGTTAATGAGCAGCGAATGTGTTTGCACGATATGTTTTCAAAAGGATTACTAGTTAAAGATTGAATACATGCTAACAAACAAATTAAAATAAATATTTATTGTTTAACCTCCCAATAAAAATAGTTATCATTGATTTATGACGTATTTACATTTTGGGTGGCTTAAATGTTGAAATCTGTGGAAATGTACTATCCATAAAGTAGGTTTTGGGATGTTTACCCAATTCTTTATAAAAAAATGGCCGACGGTATCACAAAACCGTAATAAAAGGATTAAGAATGAACTATTTGTAGATCAAAATAAGCTCATAGCTTAAAACGCACGTGAACTTGTTTTGAAAACAGAAAGCTCACTCGACATTATTAACAATGTGAATATACTGTACCTACACCAAAGCTTTCGAATCTTTCACAAATAGAAATCTAAAGCTCATATCTGCATAGGTATGATTTGTCAATTTTGCACTTAGAAGATTGCGAATTATATATTTACGTTCATTTCACATGCACATGAATTTCAACCCGCGATGCAAACTCGAATAATTCAAGATCGCGACATATCTTAATATGTACATAGGATCGAGGTAATGATAAATCCAGCAAATTCTGTGGCGAAGGCAAATGTAAATATATATCTTACCCCTTTGCATTTATCCAGGCAGACGTTAACGGTGCCTTTGAATTGCACATACGTCGATTCGGGAAACTTGAACGCACGGAATTTTGCCGTGAGAAAATCGCCGTCGACGGTGTTGAAGTTCTCGAAGAGGTATGGATCCACTGAACAACTAAAACACAGACACATTTAACTTCAAACTACGAGTGTAACATATTACATAAAAATAACGCTGTCGCAAATGTTATGGGAATATACTGTTTGAATTTAGCTAATTTAAGGAAAGGAGTATGGGGTAATGGTAAATTTGTTCCTCAATTAGATTCTTATATCAGCGGTGAACGTATGCAAACGTGTTTCGGACGCTGGCGAATGCCAATATAACTGTTTATGCAGGTTTAATTCAAGCACGTAAAAATCGTAATGAATGCCAAATGTGAAGAATCGCGAGAAAGTAGGAAACGAATGAAAGAAATTTGCATAAATAATTTCCAACATATTTCATATGCCCAAGCGCGACATATATAAATTTGTTTGAAATTACCAACTTTAATAAATTTTATACGTACCCATTATAAATAATTGTTTCTTCTTGGTTTTTGGTGTCGGTGACTTGCATGTGCGTCACGAGTAGACCGTAGATCGGCGAAGAGGCCTTATCGAGAAAGATCTCCATCTGAAGAAGCGTGCCGGGCGACACGTTCAGTTCCCCTGTGACGAGGTTACCACCCTGCCGTACCCCAACCCCCAATACAGGTTCCGGTGCTAGTTCCGTTAAACTGTAGGAAACCTCGATGTCCCTAAACGAACACGAACCAAAAACGTGTCAAGACGCAAATCGAATTTTCTCGGCCATAATAAAATACAAATAGAGTTTACTCCGTTAAAGTTTCACTATTTAAAGTTTGAATAAGGTAAATGACTTTACATAACTCCCAAAAGTTATTTTGTACCAGTTATTTAGTATATTGATAACATTTAACCATAAAATATAAAAATTGCTTACTCAGGTTCTTGAAATCCAATTGGTAGTGTATTGCGCCTTGTTATCACATGAGAATGCGTATGATTTTTCAGAGACGAAACTGAACATTTTATATGGACCAATTCTCGGTTCGGAATGCCTTCATCATCCTTATTATCAATTATCAGTGTTTGGTAGTAGACTTGTTTGCCCTGCAATCACAAAATGAAAGCTCACTAATCCCCTGTTGGATAATCTCATGTCTCTGATCTGATGTGACCGAACCATCCGTAACTAATTCAATTGCAAGTGCACTCGGTGCACAGGATCAACTCTGTGGCGTAGAAAGCTTAATATTACATAAATCCACCTGATTACAGAGATGCACCTTCGTTACCGACCTCAAACCACCAAAACAAAAAGATAACAAACAGACGTTTTACATGTACGTGGTGGTAAACTTTATCGTGATATCTTCGAACGTGCGGTATTATACAATTATAGAACTGAATTCGGAATAACTTTGAAAGGAAATTTAACTAAAACTAATTTAGAGTTTGTGAAAGTTAGAATAGTTAGTATTACATAAAGAGTAATAAATTTTTAAAGAATATAATTTAATTAAAAAGGTGGTGGCATCATACCGTCAGTTTATTTGTGACGCGCGTCGTGGCGCATTGGTAGACGTCAGTGAGGCTCAGTTCAAGGATCGCCAGCGATCCTGCCGCGTCTTGACGGGGTCGGCATGCTGGATCTGGGTAATCCTTCAATCCCTGCAGATATACCTGACGCGTCAAAGCACCAATCGGCACCTCTATCCGCATCGTATCTGGTGTGCATTTTACTTTTGGATTTACTACAAAAAAATAAAACACCATTAGTTAATTATTGTATAAATGCGAAACAAGTATTTTTAGTGAACACTTGGCAAATAATATTCTATTAATAGGTGTTTGAACTTGTACGTTCAAATATCATCTGTAAATAAAGTTATAATAGAAATTCAACTTTTGAAAACATCTAATAAATGGCACATTATTGAAGATTATTACGATGAATACGAGTCTTTCGAGTATTTTACAGTCGAAAAATCAACATTTAATGATGCATGCCGAGACTGTGAGGGTAATCATAGAATTGGACACGTTAAATGGGATACATCATCGTATATTTCTTTAATGTATGTTTGTGCGTTTATGTGTGTTGTTTACGTTCAGTTAATATTCCAAAATCGTCGTAATCCGCAAAGCGGAAACGAGTAGCGCGCCATCGTTCACGATCCGTCGTGCCTCGGGATAGTTTACGATAGTGGGCTATAATTAATTTTGACATTACCGTTTTGTAAAGAATACTGTACAACAACGAATACCACACCGAATGTACTCGTATACAATGATCATATAGGTTTAATGTGCGTACGGTACCAATGGCAAACGGAATAAAATTTAAATGAAAACGTAGATGAAATAGAGAGAGCAGAGAGAAAACATACACATTTGTATATATTGCCAAGAAGAGCAGGAAACATCAAAGAGAACATTAGAAAATTACAATTATTGTTATGTTGTTTGCTTTATAAATTAGTACCTCGTCTGCGGGTCTTGTATTTCCTACATTATAGTAGGCACATCACTTTGAAACCATGAAATATCTCAAAATACTCAGAAGTATGCTTAAATTATAATTATTCTTTATACAGGGTCATAACTATTTGTTCTAGAAAGCTTTTTATATAAGAAGTTTAGACTAGATGCTGTATATATGAACCCACGGCTGTACCTTACAGATAGGCGCCCGAAACCCCTCAGATTTGTGCATATTGAATACACTTTCTATGTTATATTTATTATGCGCTTAAACCATGTGATGCAGTGGTTGGATGTCATGATTGTATGGCACCACTGGTAGTAGTTTACTGGTAGTAAACTCGTAGTAGTATGTATTTGCGAGTCGGTTGTTCATATGTGCACACTCCTTGTACGTGATAATACTAGGGTCGTATATTACCCAAATTAGTTTCGCGTTAAGCTTATGTTCCATTCCTACTTATGTGTGGTAATAATCTTACTACTTCTGGGAATTTCTTAAATATCAAATTTTCACTAATTGAAGTTATGCACATTTTTATGAGGTTGTGTGATATAATGATATTAAAAAATACAACATACAGCATTTAAATGCAGTGTCTTCTGAATAAATGGAGCTATTTGCTCAATCGACTATCTCTATAATATAAAAATGAATCGCAAAATCTGTTGGTAAGCGCATAACTCAACAGCACCTAGACCAATTTGGCCAACTCTTCGTTAAAATGTTTGTTAATGTCCATGTATGCTTTTTACGGCGAAAAAAATTCGAATAATTGCCGGGAAACTCTAAAAACAGTCCCTTTCTTTTTCCAATACAAACGTTTTCAAACTAAAATATAAACGAAACAAATTCCGCAGCTTTCTTCGATTTATTTTTGATAGTTTTATATCGTGTTTTGTGGGCCCAACTAATATGCTTTGTTCTTGAAAGAGTTTTGGCCACTCGTGGAAGTAAAGATACTTTGGTCACCTAAGCTGAACCCCACACACCGCCCTATCACCAAGGTGGCGGTTCTGTTCAAGAGATTTTTTTGTGCCGACTATAAAATAGGTAGAAACAAAAAACTGCCATATTCTAAATCTTTTTGACAGAACGAAGTCGGTGGGGTCCGCTGGTTACTAATAAAAATTACCTTGTTGTCTTTGTTTTTGAAGTAACAAAGTTTAAGTTATGCAAAATGTTTCTGTATTAAAATTTTTGTTTTATAAAACCCCGTTTAGTCAAAAATTGAACTTGTGCCAAAATGTATTATTTACTTTATTTTATTGACTATTGAAACTATAATATTTCGACATTTCCACGTAGTGTTATAAAAAAATATGAGGACTATGACGAGTAGGTATGAAATATCGATTGCCACATTTGGGCTCATATCTTTTTCAGTATGCTCTCAGCATTTGAGTTCTTGTTTTGCGCCGCTCAGTTTCGTGTGTTCCGATGTATTGTTAGCGAGTACACACGCCACAGGCATCAAAATATTTGCCAGATTGAACCAACGCGACGTCGCGAGTTCACATCACATGGGGTGTTTCGATGTTCTATTAATGCGCATGCCCAAGTTGTTATTTTGTGTGTGGTGTTTGCTTCTTTTTGCCCTAGGTTCGCGTGAGTGTGAGTTTACGATAGGCATGGATTTCGACCAGCTCGACGTGTGCTAAATAATGCACTGGCTTTAAAAGTTTGTTTCGTCGTTGCGTATATTTTTAATATTACATAACATGATCTGGGCCATCAACAGCAAGCGGGGCCCCAATTCAGATGTGTTGCGGATGCTACAGTCTATAGGCGCAAGAATATATACTTTTTATGACTTAACATATACACGCATCTTCAATTTACCCATTTAAACGTTTGCACCTGTGTATGTGACTATAATACACCTTTCCATGATGCCCTTTGCTCACATTACTGACTATAACCTCAAATATTTATTTATTACTAGCTGTTGCCCGCGACTTCGTTCCGGCAGTGTTTAATAAAAATGAAATTCGTTTTTACTCTCTTGTTCTAGACATACTCGTAGTAAGAGTCAATTCTATCAATAAGATTAGCAATTTTAATTTAAAGAAATTAATTATATAATGTTTTGTCATTAATGCACTTCAGCGCGCCATCTCGAATTCAACTATTTAACTATAACAATGATTGAATCTCAATGTCAAATTATATTCTATAGAAAAGAGCTGTTTTGAGGATTGTCCCGGCAATTAATCGAATTTTTCTCACCTTTTAAACCTTCCCTAGACCTCCACGAATAATTCAAGACCAAGATAAGATAAATCCGTTCAGCCGTTCTCGAGTTTTAGCGAGACTAACGAACAGCAATTCATTTTTATATATATATATAGATTAAAATACTTTCCAATTTCAAAAACAGGCATTATGCCGTTATGTGTGTTTACATGTTAACTAAATAACATAAAAATGTATGTACACTTAATACAAAAAGATGTGGAAATTCGACACTAAACAGAAGAACAGAAATTTTAAGTAACTTGTTCCAATCATCCCCCCATCTGACTTTGACAAGATGGAAAGCGAATTCGGTGCCTTCTGATTAAACTTTCATTTTGTTTTGCAATCTCATTCTTTTGACGATTCTGCGCTTTTGTTTTTCGTTTCATCATAAATCTTTCCTGTTTCTTGTTAGCTACGCAAGGGAATATTTCATTTCAAGGTTGATATATCACCATTTTATACTCGCTTGCATATTCTGCTTTAAAAAAAAATCTTATTATTATATGTCACCGAATAAATCACTACTACAAAATTAACTATTTATAACTTATGGGGGGGGGCAGGAACATTTCTTTGTTTAATTTTATAGATAAATCTCCACTCCAAACAGCAAAAAAGGGTCAAAACTTAAATTGTTTCACATTATCAACATTACAGGGCATTTCATAACTTGGCAACTGATCTAAATTTTACTAGATTTGGTTAAAATTAAATTTTATTTTTACAGCTAAAGACCAATTAACGTCAAATGTATTGCGAACACAACATTGTCGCCTTCAGCAATCCAAGCGTGTTGACGCAAATTTATAAACTTCAAACAAAATGAATGTTTTTATTAACTAAACAAACAATTTCCGCGAATTATCTTATTCAATTCAAACAATATATCATTCTCAAAATTACATGAACGTTTTTAAAAATTCATTATACAATATTAACACAAAAACCTTCCATTATGAGCATATAATTCAGTTTATAATTAATTTAAAAGGTTTATATTGATGTGGTCTTTCTAAGTTCTCTAGGACAGCAAGTCGTAACATAAAATTTATGCAAAATATGGTACGCAGGTAAACCAAGCTAATCTTTCAGGAAAACTTGAAGCGAACTAAGTGTAGGCTCGAAGTGTGGAAAATGAGTTATTCGCGACGTGTTCATGGTGTGATAAATACCTTAAACGTGCATTATATATTAGCTAATTTCCGGTTTCCGTAAAATCGTGAAATAAATTTCCTTCTGCACTATCATCTCACTTTTCCCTTCGTACTCCAGCAGTAACACACGTTTTATGAACTCTGCTTCTCATGGAGGGTGTGTATATGCTCGCAGATCATAGTGGAAGATGTAATGCAAGTAAGTAAGCAAGCAGCAGTACTAAATATACGAATTGCGCACGCTTTACTCTTTTGCGCTGGAAATCCTAGGCCAGAACACGCCGAAACGCAAAATTGCGGCGTTCGTAAGAAGGAAAATGTATGTAACCATTGTATGCGCGGAAACAATGATATCATGAACACACCAACCGAAGAAACCAATAAAAAACACGGTTCAAGCTCCTATCTCATTGGTTATCTTTACGATCATTTCACACAACAGCTTTATTTTATCCATGGAACATTAAAACTGACTATAATTATTTGTTTATTTTATAATTATTTATTATACCTTTATAGGAATTATTAATATGGGTCTCTATTATTGTCATGACAATAATACATTTTCGTGTTTGTGTCCCTAATCCATTTTTATCTTAAGAATAAATCGTAAAAAAGCGAAGCGCTGATGCTTTATCCACAACAGACAGGCAGACAAGCGAAATATCCATAAACAGAAGTCGACATTCGACATGAATGCACGTACGGCGGGCGCGCGCACACACGCACTTGACGTGCACTTGTTCGTTGTTCGTATAACGATCATACACGCATACCCGGCTGCTTCAATTGCACGCTTGGTACTTACCTGTAGCATGCGCTACAGTACTTTAGTTATAACTCTAGGCAGCAATGTGCTTACGTTTTCAACTGA